TTGCTGAAAGTTAATGCTTCATGGCATAGTGCTGACCACATCTCAAGGTGAAAAGCATGAACTCTACTTCATCTGTCCAAAGGATCGCTAGTTCTAAAGAGGAATCTTTACTTTTTTATCATCTATTTGCTGAAAGTCAGCCGTTCTGAAGCCGGACTGTTTTATTTCTTGCTAGCAAACACCGCCGCGTGGTTAGATTAAGATTTACCGCCCGTGGCCTTTGACCTTCGATGTTCCTGTATATTGAGTAGCTTGTCTGGAACTGGATTACGTAAGGTTTTTGAGATGGAAAGTACGTGTGTCAGGTCTTGTCTTAGTTGTGTTGTAGATACATTTGTTGCGTCATGCCTCACAAAGTTGTAGATTCCCGCGTCATGCGTCATACATTTCTGATGACGACAGCATGCCTCGTCATGCTAGCTATGTTAATTGGGGTGTTTAATATCACTTATCGTTAATTAAATCCATTCTTCATGACGTATCATCTTTGTAATTATTAGCAATGCTGCGATACCTACAGGCGATATTTCCAAAATTTTAAAACATAATGCACATATATTGTTTGCATTGTTTGAACTCTTCTACCACCCCACCTTCACGCCACCACTATCCCACTACCATTCCAACCCACACACTCTCCCCCCACCACCCCACACTACCCACCACCCCATTCTCTCCCAACCAACCCACACTTTCCCCCCCACCACCCCACACTCTCGTCCACCACCCCACACTTCCCCCACCACCACCACTATCACCTACTTTCAGTGTAATTTACAATAACGGGTAAATGTTGTTTTGTGATGTTTAAACTCGATTTTTTAAAAACTAGAAAAAAAAACGTGGCTATTTTAAAGTTTAACCATTTTACGACTAAATTTCAGATTTTTTTTCTCACCCTATTATGTCCAAAAGACCAGGAAGAACTTTAAAAAAAAGCATTGACAAGCAAAGTAGGCGGTGTTTATTTTTAGAGTTTCGCCCCCAAAGCAAAATGTAACTTTTCGGTTCCCAACTTTTTTTACCTCCCTTTAAAGATGGCGACCACCAATTGATTGACTTATGCGCCCAATGAAGCAATTTATTCAAGAAATTAGGTCACTTCCTTAAAGATTTCCTGCCTAGAAATTGGTAAACCAAATACTTCTTTTTTTTTGCCAAACTAATCAAGTAGATTAGTACCAAGTAGCCGATAATGATTTAGAATTTTGCGGTCGCTTTGTTAATTAGCCCACCCGTCTTGTTCGGTAATTTTTTTTTTTTACTAATACAACAAGAACTAGAAATAAAATCGTGTATTGGATGTATTGACCACTTCACATAATAGAAGTGTTTCTTTCACACTTTTTTGGGGGGGGGGGGGGGTGGCACTTGAAACTTTCGGGAAGGTGCGGACACTAGTAAAAGTATATATTTTCTATTTAAATTCTGTTTTGTTGGGGGGGGGGAGCGGTTGGCGTGCTTCTGTGGGGGGGGGGGGGGGGGGTCGGGCTGTGCCCTCTCCCGACGAGATGTTTGAAACAAGCAATGAATAAAAGCCTACGTCAACTATTTATAACATTCAGCAACTGGTAATCACATATTGGTTTGGTAGCCAATTGAATGTCGTTTTACATAGCACATTTTTAGCTGCCATTTTACATGTTATTTCAAAGGTCGTAAACTCTTGGTGGTTATTGTATATGACATGTGACACATGACAGATGTCAACTGGTGAGGATGTCAGTCTGATGGTGACCTCCCCTCCCCCATGAACTAGCCCGAATGTTGTGTTGGTCTACCTGGTTCAAAGCATGCACGTGATGCTAGCACTTCGTTGATAGGATGGAACCAGCATGTTGATTATATGGGACCACTGTTGATAAGATTGAACAAGAATGTTGATAAAATGGTCCCAGAATGTTGATAAAATGGGACCAGACAGTTGATAAAATAGGACCAGAATGTTGATAAAGTGGTACCAGAATGTTGATAAAATTGTGTCACTGTTGATAACATGTTGCTAAAATGTAGATTATAAGGCACCAGATTGCTAGTAAGATGGTACCTTTTGATAATTTGGTACCTGACTGACAGTCATATGTCGATAATTTGGTACCTGACTAGCAATGATATGTTGATAATTTGGTACCTGACTGACAGTTATATGTTGATAATTTGGTACCTGACTGACAGTTATATGTTGATAATTTGGTACCTGACTAACAGTTATATGTTGATAATTTGGTACCTGACTGACAGTGATATGTTGTTAATTTGGTACCTGACTGACAGTGATATGTTGATAATTTGGTACCTGACTAACAGTGATATGTTGATAATTTGGTACCTGACTGACAGTTATATGTTGATAATTTGGTACCTGACTGACAGTTATATGTTGATAATTTGGTACCTGACTGACAGTTATATGTTGATAATTTGGTACCTGACTAACAGTTATATGTTGATAATTTGGTACCTGACTGACAGTGATATGTTGTTAATTTGGTACCTGACTGACAGTGATATGTTGATAATTTGGTACCTGACTAACAGTGATATGTTGATAATTTGGTACCTGACTGACAGTTATATGTTGATAATTTGGTACCTGACTGACAGTTATATGTTGATAATTTGGTACCTGACTGACTATGTTGATAATTTGGTACCTGACTAACAGTGATATGTTGATAATTCGGTACCTCACTGACAGTGATATGTTGATAATTTGGTACCTGACTGACAGTGATATGTTGATAATTTGGTACCTGACTGACAGTGATATGTTGATAATTTGGTACCTGACAGTGATATGTTGATAATTTGGTACCTGACTGACAGTTATATGTTGATAAACCCGTATATGTATCGTCGTTCTATTTAAAATCCTAGTAGAAAGTTCATCGATCGAATAGTATCGATTTTCCAATCAATTTGTCTAGAGGTGTCAATACGGCTGTAACGATACTGTCATTTATAGATACGAATGGGTTAATAAATCAGTATCGATATGTTGGATCGTGGTGAATCGATACTGGAACGCGTCTGAAATAAGTTGATGTACCAGATGTTCTTAGCAACGTGTAACATGAAATGACAGATGCTGTACATAACAACGTGTGACAGATGGCATGACAGATGGCATGACAGATGGCATGACGGATGCTGGACATAACAACGTGTGACAGAGGACATGACAGATGACATGACAGATGCCGCACAACGTATGACAGACGTAGAAATGGGTGATGGACACTACTAGCTAACATCTTTACAAAAATGTAATCCAGACCGGCAGTTCTTGCATTGGCTGTTACGTGTCATGTCGCTGAAGACGTGTTGGGACACAAGACATTGTCATAAGACACCTACAATATTTAAGACAGTTGGACATATTTTAAAAAAAAACATCTCAAGACATTCAAAGTTTAATTACTTTTTGTTGTCGTTTTCTCCGCACGTTCGTCTTCTTTCAAAAAACGATAACTGGTCACGTGATCATTTCCATGACGTCATGTCCTTATACATGTCAGAAATTTTTTTTGAAACATGAGCCACTTTGTATAAAAAAAAGTTATAAAATAATTAAAATGTTACAGAATGCGAAATTATTTTCTGGCCGCAGAAACAGGTTGGCGTGTGTGTTTGTGTGTGTGTGTGTGTGTGTGTGTGTTTGGTTGGGAGCACATTTGTGTGTTGATCGGGAAAAAAACGTGTCTCATACGTTAATAAAGTTAGACCTAATGACTTTATCAGACAGAATAAGAAATGTCTTGAGACCACGATGCGCTGTACTTGATACATTCTTGTTTGTGGAAACGACATGTCGTGCGCATTAGGCATCGTAAAAACACCTAGTTGCTGAAGGATTGTATAACACTTGAATTTTTTTATAATTTTATTACCCGATATCTCTAATCAGCAATCTTTGGTTATTGTCCTCTCAACTGGAGTGTGTGCGTGCGCGTGTATGTGTGTGTGTGGTTGTGTGTGTGTGGTTGTGTGTGTAGTTGTGAGTGTGGTTGGTGTGTGGTTGGGTGTGTGGTTGGGTGTGTGGTTGGGTGTGTGGTTGGGTGTGTGGTTGTGTGTGTAGTTGTGAGTGTGGTTGGTGTGTGGTTGGGTGTGTGGTTGGGTGTGTGGTTGGGTGTGTGGTTGGGTGTGTGGTTGTGTGTCAAGTTGTGTGTTGTGGTTGTGTGTGGTTGTGTGTGTGGTTGCGTGTGTGGTTGTGTGTGTGGTTGTGAGTGTGTGTGTGGTTGACCTATCATACACACACACATCCAACATAGCCACAAAATGTTGGTGGGGGGATTAGTGGGGGAGACAGTTATCTCTACAACTAAAAGAAGGGCTGTGGTCACGTGATTCTGTTTGTGGGTTGTAAAACAATTATCAGTTACAGTGTCAAGATTTTATAGCATTTTATAAATATTATAAACATTTTTTTTCTTTTTTTTATCTCTCCCCCACCCTTAATCCGCACATCCATTAATAACGTCGACTACAATCAAACGTCTTGCCATCACCTTTCAAAACTTCTCCATCCTTTACCTCTTCAATCCCTCCATCCATCCATCTCTCCACTCCCCACCCACCCATCAATCCCCCACCTAACTACCCATCAATCCCTCCACCCACCCGCCCATCAATCCCTCCACCCACCCGCCCATCAATCCCTCCACCCACCCGCCCATCAATCCCTCCACCCACCCGCCCATCAATCCCTCCACCCACCCGCCCATCAATCCCTCCACCCACCCGCCCATCAATCCCTCCACCCACCCGCCCATCAATCCCTCCACCCACCCGCCCATCAATCCCTCCACCCACCCGCCCATCAATCCCTCCACCCACCCACCAATCAATCCTTCCACCCAACCACTCACCCACCCACCCATTAATCCCTCCACCCACCCCTCAATCCCTCCACCCACTCGCCAATCCCTCCACCCACCCATCAATCAATCCCTCCACCCACCTACCCACCCACCTACCCACCCATCAATCCCTCCCCCCAGTTTAGCCGAGAGAAGGTCTCAGAGATCGAGAACTACCCGGGCAGGAAGGTGGTCATCGCGTCCGACGGCTCCAGCGGTCAGTCGGCCCGGCTCCTGGGCCTGAGCGACGAGTTTCTCCACAGCTCCTGCCACGCCTTCGGTGCCGTGGCCTCCATGGACCGCACGGACCTCAGCTCCGTGCCCCTGGCCGAGCGGCGCGTCCACGGGCTGGTCTTTGACCTGTCGGCCTACGGCATCGAGCTGGGGGACATGGACGTCAACACGGGTAAGATGACGTCATCGTCACGTGGTATGTAACACCCTGAACTATGTAACGTCTTCTCTGTGTAATCACCCGTGTCGTCTGTTTGTTGTGTTGTACGACAGTATACATCAGCTGACCTCTCAAACCCAAGCTTCTTCGTGCTAAGCTAAATTTAGAATTGATAATTAATTTGTTTAAAAAATAGTCATGAGCGCCACAAAAAAAGTATGTGTATAAACTGGTTAAAACTTAAAATAATTTACGTGAAAGACTATATAAATAAGGCATTTTCGTTTTAATTGTCAATGACTTATCGCGTTAATTACCCTGCTTCATTAATGATATAGCGACCTAGCCTGCTCCATGGGTGACCTAGTGACCTTCCCTGTTCCATGAATGACCTAGTGACCTAACCTGCTCCATGAATGACCAGTGACAGATACCCCCAATGACCTATGACCTCATCACGTGTTGTTACAGATCCCTATGAAACAAAATACACCAATCACCTCTCTGTAATAACCCTGTTATGTTTTTTTTAACAGAAATCGTTCCACAGCTCTAGCTTATGGTATGATCATTTCCCCATATTTTCTTTGACATTATCAAATTTCCTTTCCCTTTGGCGAACGTGATTTACTGACTAAAAAATTCACTTTGTGAAAAATGTCTGGACGAGAAAGCAGGTAATGAGACCGTCTAAAAAATTAGTTGATCTAAAGCCTTCACAGTGGGGAAAAAAATTTAATAAAAAATTAATTAATTACATTTGTTAAAGTAAACATTTTCGATACTTTGGAGGCTCTAAATTAATCAAATGGTAATATTATATATATATATATATATATATATATATATATATATATATATATATATATATATATATATATATATATATATATATATATATATAGATATAGATATAGATATAGATATAGATATAGATATAGATATAGATATAGATATAGATATAGATATAGATATAGATATAGATATAGATATAGATATAGATATAGATATAGATATAGATATAGATATAGATATAGATATATAGATATATATATATATATATATATATATATATATATATATATATATATATATATATATATATATATATATATATATATATATATATAATAAAGTGCAGAAATAGATATCGTGCTTATTTCGGTCAATGTTGATCTATATTTTACTCTTATTTATATGCATACATATTTTTTTACAATTTTAATGGACGTTTGTCAATGCCCGAAGTCGGCCAAAGCCCACATTGGCCGGCCATAGCGCGCAATGGTCAATATAAATTCCCATTGACCGGGCGAAACTTGTTTTCGTACATTGGCCAGCCAGTCCGAATTTTTGTTACGGTTGATGAAATAAGCACTGCGCTCTTAACCTCTAAATCGTTAGAGGATATAAGCTCAGTGTTAATTTCCTCGAAAGCCCGTTAGACGGAATAAGCGCGTTGCTTTTTTCGTCTACCGATGATGGAAACAAGCACTACCATATTTAGATCCTAAAGTCAGATATTTTTATCCGCTGGCCGCTTTAACAATCTAGTAGAATTTCAATCTTTTTGATGGAGAAATCTGTTTTCTCATGCTCTTTAAATAGGCTTGCGTGGAGCTATAATTAGAACAGAGAAGAGTTCTCATATCGTACGGTAATTGTAGTCTCACGTTTCTCGTTTCAGGCTAAGAATTATGTCCCTTGCCTTGTGTGTTCTTTGCTATTTTTGTCATATCCGGTTTACATGGTTACCTCCCTTTTCTGTCCCTAGCGTTATTATTGTGTTTAGTTATTTGAGCCTAATCTAACAGCAGTTAGGGTAGAGGGGAGAGAGGGGAGACATGTCATTATCTGCTTGGCATCATTGTTCCTCTGGCGTCTGAAAGTCTGGGAAATGTGACTTTTGTCTGTCTGTCGCCTGGTTAAAGCATCTTTTAAGCGATATAATTCTGTCTGATTGTATGTTTTCCCCTCTCCTCTATACATCCGCTCTCATCCCCTCCCCTAAAGCCATGTTTCAGACTTCTCTGATTTTGTAACCCCTGCCCTTCTCCCCCACCCCCCAGACTTTACCCTCCTATCCCCTCCCCTAAAGCCATGTTTCAGATTTTGTAATACCTGCCCTTCTCCCACCCCAGGCTTCACCCTCCTATCCCCTCCCCTAAAGCCATGTTTCAGATTTTGTAATACCTGCCCTTCTCCCACCCCAGGCTTCACCCTCCTATCCCCTCCCCTAAAGCCATGTTTCAGATTTTGTAATACCTGCCCTTCTCCCACCCCAGGCTTCACCCTCCTATCCCCTCCCCTAAAGCCATGTTTCAGACTTCTGTCCCCTGCTATTTTGTAACCCCTGCCCTTCTCCCACCCCCAGGCTTCACCCTCCTATCCCCTCCCCTAAAGCCATGTTTCAGACTTCTGTCCCCTGCTATTTTGTAACCCCTGCCCTTCTCCCACCCCCAGGCTTCACCCTCCTATCCCCTCCCCTAAAGCCACGTTTCAGACTTCTGTCCCTGTGATTTTGTAACCCCCGCCCTTCTCCCACCCCCAGGCTTCACCCTCCTATCCCCTCCCCTAAAGCCATGTTTCTGACCCCCGCCCTTCTCCCACCCCCAGGCTTCACCCTGAAGATGTTTGGCAGCACTCGTCATCGCTACATGAGCCTGGCCCTGCCCCGGTCAGAGTCTACCCTGGTCAGACACATGAGGCTCATGCTGGACAGATCGGTGAGTAGTGGTCAGTCACGTGATGCTGGTCAGTCACGTGATGCTGGTCAGTCACGTGATGCTGGTCAGTCACGTGATGCTGGTCAGTCATGTGATGCTGGTAATTCACGTGATGCTGGTCAGTCACGTGATGCTGGTCAGTCACGTGATGCTGGTCAGTCACGTGAGGCTGGTCAGTCACGTGATGCTGGTCAGTCACGTGATGCTGGTCAGTCACGTGATGCTGGTCAGTCACGTGATGCTGGATAGATCGGTGAGTAGTGGTCAGTCACGTGATGCTGGTCAGACACATGAGGCTCATGCTGGACAGATCGGTGAGTAGTGGTCAGTCACGTAATGTTGGTCAGTCACGTGATGCTGGTCAGTCACGTGATGCTGGTCAGTCACATGAGGCTGGTCAGTCACGTGATGCTGGTCAGTCACATGAGGCTGGTCAGTCACGTGATGCTGGTCAGTCACGTGATGCTGGTCAGTCATGTGATGCTGGTAATTCACGTGATGCTGGTCAGTCACATGAGGCTGGTCAGTCACGTGATGCTGGACAAATCGGTGGGTGATGGTCAAACACCTAAGACTGATTTGGTCAGTATGGCTTTCTCCTCCTGGTATTGATCTAATATTAACGTAAAGGTTATAAGTTAGGACATTAGTTATAGAGTCCTTGCAAACACGTGACCTAAATCACGTGATACCTACGCCCGCCGCCACAGTGGTGTACATCAGACGTAAACACAATCAGCTGTTCGCCAGCGCTGGACGTGTTCACCAGCGCTGGACGTGTTCACTGTATGTAAAGAACCGCACCCGCGGAAAAGGAAAAATATTTTTAAAAACTTGAACTCTTAGGAATTGAAGATCCTTATACTGTTATTGACAGTTTCGTGGATAATATAAATATGTGGACAAAATTTCTAAATAAAAATACTGTTAGTAATATCGTTTGCGTTTAGAGTTTAAGTAGACGAAGCTGATCAAATGCAGTAATATATTATAGGTTATCCACTTAACTCCTACAAAACCCACACTACAACGGCTAATATAATCCATGGGTAATAACCAATCTGGGTAGCATGTTATACAATTTAAGACCCTTATAATCCAGCAGGAAGTAATCAGACACATTAATACTGACGTTCAACTCCACCTGTATCTAGCCCACAATAAAACCAAAGAGGAGTCTGCCCTGCCCTCCCCTGAAAATGTCTCACCTCCGTGATACCCAGCCCCACAGAGATAGTATTTCTTATATAATTTTGACCCTCAGGGCCCAGCAGGGAGAACAAAGGGGAAAGTCCCACTGCTCTCCCCTCAACACTTCTCTCCCCTCAACACTTCTCACCTCGGTGTCATGTTATGTCATTTTTAGCACACATGGCTTATCAGGGGAAAGCATTAAGGCATTAAGAATCTTAACTCTGGACAGCTACACACTAGTATACTAGCTACACACTAGGTGCCTACTGTAAACTACTAGACTGTAGGCCCTATGTAGACCTGCAATTGTATCAATTGTAGACTGGGTCCATTGTTATTATTCTAAACCATCTCACTTATAATGTTTCTAGCTTGATTTTAAACAGTGGATTTTTAAAAAATTAGCCTAATCATTAACCTAATAATAATAATGTGGTTATTTGTTGTTGGCTGGTATGATCTAGATTGTACTACTAGGCTACAAAAACTTAGTAGACCAATTACTAGATATGAATTTGAATTTAATTAAACTCAGTCCAGTATCAGATACATATTGCTGTAAAAAGACAACAAAGTAGGTAGGCCTTAGTAATTTATTAAAGCCTTCTACTACAATAATATCAACTACATGCTTGTATAAAGTTTTTACAATTTAATTTAAGTAGCAGATTCTAGATCTAAGTCTAGTCATACAATCTATTTCAATTTCAGAAAATTTCGTTTGCTAAAAAAATGATTAGATAATAGAGCGAGATTTTAGATCTTAGAGACAATTAAATGCTTTATTAGGCCTATTATGACTACTTTTGATTTATTATGGGTGTATTTTGAATCGAATGTAGATCTAAAGTAATTAAATTTAAGTAAAGAAGTAGATTCTAGATTCTATGTCTACCCAGCGGAGCCAGGTATTAGGCCTACTATTAGATCTTATTATTCTTATTATTACTTTTGACTTTGTCTTTTACTATTAGTATTTGTGAAGGTCGAGCATATTTGTTTTATTAATAGTTATCTTTTATAATTAAAATGAAGTTTATTATTTTACTGTCCTTACCTGAAACAAAGTATCGAGAACTGCATTTGATCAGATTCGTCTACTTTAACTCTAAACGCAAACAGTATTACTAACAGTATTTTTATTTAGAAAATTTGTCCACATATTTATATTATCTACGAAACTGTCAATAACAGTATAAGGATCTTCAATTCCTAAGAGTTCAAGTTTTTAAAAATATTTTTCCTTTTCCGCGTGTGCGGTTCTTTACATATAGTGAACGCGTCCAGCGCTAGTGAACACGTCCAGCGCTGGCGAACAGCTGATTGTGTTTACGTCTGATGTACACCACTGTGGCGGCGGGCGTAGGTATCACGAACGGACGTGACGTCATATGAAAGGACTCTATAAGATAAGTTAGGCCTTAGGTTAAGACTAGTTTTGAAATTCGTTAATATTATACAGTTTACTACTAATAACACAATAAGGCATTTATTTTAAATATTCTTTACCCTACTTTTGATAAATTAACTGACATTATTTTAACAAGTTAATCAGCGCATGCGCATGTTAACGTTATTCCCTGAGTTGAATACACGTCTCTTCCTGTACATGCGCAGATGATGAGGAACATCTTCGTCAAGTGCTTCAACGCCTGCAAGTGGCAGAGCGAGGCTGAGCTGACGGAAGCGTGGGCCCTGCGCCACCTCAAGTTCAGCCCGCGGCTCTTCGACATCAAGCTCTTCCAGCGGCTCGAGACTGTGGCCTACTTCCAGGACACGGACATGTTCGTGCTTGTGGAGGGGGAGGCGGCGCGCTGCTGCAACTTTCACACAGGTGGGTCATGTCACGGCGGTCACGTGACAAAGTGGCATCAGTCACGTGACAAAGTGGCATCCGTCACGTGACAAAGTGGCATCAGCTTAAGTTAATCACGTCATATAATGTCATTAGTTGAAAAGCATGTCACATCACATATGCCACGACACAGCATCTCCAGTGTTTCTTCCAGACTTTTTTCTCCGGGGGGGGGGGGGGGGGGGGCACTTGAAATCTTCGGGGGGGGGGCGGTAAACTTTCTTCGGGGGGGGGGGGGGCGGACACTGTTAAAAGTATATATTTTCTATATAAATTATATAAATTTCATTTCGTTCGGGGGGCGGTAAAAAAATTTCGGGGGGCTTAGCCCCCCCCCCCCCCCCCCCGAAGAGATGTCTGGAAGAAACTCTGAGCATCTCATAAAGTCAACTCACGTAATGTATGTCATTTCACATAAATAACGCCCCCCCCCCCACCCGCCCCCGGAATAAAATAATCTGAAAGAAATACTGTACGTCTTATAATTGAAATAGATGTTATGTTGCATAACGCGAAAATATTTTCTAGCCACAAGCAGCAGTTTGGCGAGAGTATGTATCTGTGTGTCGGTGTGTGCGTGTCTGTGTGTGTCTGTGTGTGTGTCTTTTTGTGTGTGTGTTGGTGTGTGTGTCGATGTGTGTAGGTGTGTTTAATGGCCCATTTAACTTCTCCAAGTCCCATTGATTATATCCGTCACATTACGCAATTAACTGAAGACACATTATGGTACGCCTTTCTATATAACATAGTCGCGTCATGTTACGTCATCACATTAACTCACTTTAAGTCACGTTACATGTCCTAAGTCACCTTACATGACCTAAGTCACCTTACATGACCTAAGTCACCTTACATGACCTAAGTCACCTTACATGACCTAAGTCACCTTACATGACCTAAGTCACCTTACATGACCTAAGTCACCTTACATGACCTAAGTCACCTTACATGACCTAAGTCACCTTCCATGACCTAAGTCACGTTACATGACCTAAGTCACCTTACATGACCTAAGTCACGTTACATGACCTAAGTCACCTAACATGACCTAAGTCACCTAACATGACCTAAGTCACCTAACATGACCTAAGTCACCTAACATGACCTAAGTCACCTAACATGACCTAAGTCACCTAACATGACCTAAGTCACCTAACATGACCTAAGTCACCTAACATGACCTAAGTCACCTAACATGACCTAAGTCACCTAACATGACCTAAGTCACCTTACATGACCTAAGTCACCTTACATGACCTAAGTCACCTTACATGACCTAAGTCACCTTACATGACCTAAGTCACCTTACATGACCTAAGTCACCTTACATGACCTTAGTCACCTTACATGACCCAAGTCACGTTTCATAACATAAATCACGTCATATCAAACAGCTGATCACAAAATTAAAATGTTTACCGTCTTGTGATCTGAACCTCTCCCCCTCCCCAGGGCTGGACGTCAACATGGCAATATCCGGTCTGTCAACCCTGCATACCACGCTGGAACTGGCCGTGTGCGCGCTGACCGACATGGACATCATGAGCACCATGATGACCAAGTCCAAACACTCGGAGTCTATAGCCAAGCAGTTCCTACGGACAGGGCTCAAACAGGATGTGTTTACACATTTTTACTGTTGATATAAACAGGATGTGTTTACACATTTTTACTGTTGATATAAACAGGATGTGTTTACACATTTTTACTGTTGATATAAACAGGATGTGTTTACACATTTTTACTGTTGATATAAACAGGATGTGTTTACACATTTTTACTGTTGATATAAACAGGATGTGTTTACACATTTTTACTGTTGATATAAACAGGATGTGTTTACACATTTTTATTGTTGATGAAAACAGGATGTGTTTACACATTTTTACTGTTGACCAAAACAGGATGTGTTTACACATTTTTACTGTTGATATAAACAGGATGTGTTTACACATTTTTACTGTTGACGAAAACAGGATGTGTTTACACATTTTTACTGTTGATATAAACAGGATGTGTTTACACATTTTTACTGTTGATATAAACAGGATGTGTTTACACATTTTTACTGTTGATATAAACAGGATGTGTTTACACATTTTTACTGTTGATATAAACAGGATGTGTTTACACATTTTTACTGTTGATATAAACAGGATGTGTTTACACATTTTTACTGTTGATATAAACAGGATGTGTTTACACATTTTTACTGTTGATATAAACAGGATGTGTTTACACATTTTTACTGTTGATATAAACAGGATGTGTTTACACATTTTTACTGTTGATATAAACAGGATGTGTTTACACATTTTTATTGTTGATGAAAACAGGATGTGTTTACACATTTTTACTGTTGACCAAAACAGGATGTGTTTACACATTTTTACTGTTGACCAAAACAGGATGTGTTTACACATTTTTACTGTTGATATAAACAGGATGTGTTTACACATTTTTACTGTTGACGAAAACAGGATGTGTTTACACATTTTTACTGTTGATATAAACAGGATGTGTTTACACATTTTTACTGTTGATATAAACAGGATGCGTTTACACATTTTTACTGTTGATATAAACAGGATGTGTTTACACATTTTTACTGTTGATATAAACAGGATGTGTTTACACATTTTTACTGTTGATATAAACAGGATGTGTTTACACATTTTTACTGTTGACGAAAACAGGTTGTGTTTACACATTTTTACTGTTGACACTGAAAACAAAGGATTAGTATTAAACATTGTTCATAAAATTCACTGTGCAAGACCCTTTAAAATTACTAAAAGGGAGACAACAATGAACGAGTTTAAAAAGCAATCATTCCAGAGTTACCAGACCTATCAAGGGAAGTGATCTCAAGCGCAATGTATCAAGGGGACGTAACTCTATATTTTTTTCACCTACAGAGAGAAGTCTTATAGAATGTAAACACAATTTAAACAAGAACAATTAAGTAAAACAACAGTATTCTGAGTGAGTGATGTATGTTTATTATGTGAGTGAAGGTCATTACAAGATCGATGGGTATTTTATAATTTGTTTTTACTTTTAAAGTATATGTGATAATATCGATGAACATGGTTGTGACTGACTAAACTATTCTATTAAGTAAGGCTTAGTAAGGCGTGTATCAAATATATATATATATATATATATATATATATATATATATATATATATATATATATATATATATATATATATGGTAATCTATCGTTTTGGGTACGTAAAATCGCCCGCGACTAGTAATGTGAAAAACAGGTGACTCCTTAAATTTTAATAATTATTTCACATTTTGAGGAGGATTTATGTTTTGAAAAATACAAAAATGTTTCCTTCTTTCATTTATGTACCTGTTTTTAAACAATTGAATTAAAACTTTTCAGTAATAAATGAAGACTAGCGATATTTCCAACAGATGCAACCATGCTCATTTACTATAGCAGCCATCTTGTTTAAGTTTTTTTTTATAGCGGATATAGCGCGAGACAGGCGGAAGTCACTCTATTTTACAAATGGCTGCTGTTTATATAGCAAATCTTGCTCGCAAACACTGCTGTTTAAAGTTAATTTCTGGCATATATTGATATATTTAGCCATTGATTTAGGTTTATTATTCATTTATCTATAATATTTGACACAAATATATCACAATATACTTCTACTAAAGCCTTGACAATGAGGTAACTTTTTCGTACATTAATAGCCGCGGGCGATTTTACGTACCCAAAACGATAGATTACCATATATATATATAATTAATATTATATAATGATATATATGCCTTAATAATATAATTAAGAGAAAGTGATTCTCCTCAATTGTTTTGTTTAAACTACAAGGTTTATTATGAGAGGAGGGATTAGAGATTGAATAACTTAATTGGTAACTTAATGAGATCAATCTAGCTCTAATCATAATGAGTACTTGTCATGAGACAGTGACTGGGAACTGAACTATCTGCATAGTCCCATCATATGCAGAATCTACTTCACCGTCTCTGCTAAGATCTCAAATTCGTACATTTACTTCTTATAATATACTTAAATTTACTATAATAATCCAAAATCTCTGAATACCAATTAATTAAGGCATGATAGAGTTGTCAATTTTTCAGTTTTTCGACCAAAGTATTAACTTAGTACTCAGATTAAATAGTAGTATAGTTAATTTTGTTTCAAAAACTGAATATAATTAGTACCTTTTTCGTGGTAACCATGCGAATGGACTGAGTGATATCTAAGTGTGGTTTTCCATTTTTTTTTTATTGTATTAATTCCAAAACAATGTGTGTAAATCTGTATGTATCTTATCTTTTGTAACTCATTTTTGTACAAAGTGTCTTAATTAAACTATTTGACATTCAACACACTTGATCTTTACTAATCTTTATGGGGTCTTTCTTTAGATGATGTTTCTCCATACAGATGACATGAAGTGTTATAATCTTATAACATCACAGTACATCATCAGAAAACATCAAATGTCTTGTAATATAATTATCACAATTATCCCAATAATGCAACATAAATGGTTGTAACTATTTATCAAATACAATCTGGTATCATGGGAACATATCACCACAAATAATGACCTCAGATTTGTAGTGTAAAAAGTTTTACAATAACCATTAGGTATGTGTTGTTATATTCTTCCTATTACATTTGAATTCAACAATGAGTAATTTTCACATCTTTGCTTTGTAAGTTGGAGTTGTTTTTGTTTAAAAGTTATTCACTTAAACCTTTTCACATGGGATGTTAAACTTCATTTTTTAAGGAAATCAAATTGTGAAATGATTTACATGAATTAGTAAACCAGTTTCCTAGAAAATGCTTTTTTTTTAAATGTGTTTATTATTAAACGGCTACCATGCTAAATCTTGATCCCACTGTGACGCTCTGCTTGTTATTTTCACTGTTGTTGATTTTAGTTCAGCCGTAGCTTAGTGTCGTCTGATGTAGTTTGTGGGGATGGCATGGCCTAGCAGTATATCTTTACACTGCCAACCCAAAAGCTTCGAGTTTGGGTCTCGGGCTCAAGTTTGTTGGACCACTGAGTCCACTCAGCTCTGATGGGTACCTGACATTAGGCGAACAAAGGCAGCTGACCACACTATTCCCTTGTATGCCGAGGTAATTGAAACAGATGAACTCTGCTTCATCTACCCCTTATGTCTTGGGAATGAACGAGAAAAGATGATGTAGTTAGTGCTGTTTAAAAACATGCTTCTTAGTATATTGTCTTATACTGATTATTGTTTGTATGATTTATCTAAATTTTTATTTTTGGAATTAGTTTTGTACAAAGGAATATTCAACTTCCATAATGTAAGTTTTAACTTATTCCCTGCTTCAATATACCAATCATGTCAGACAGACCAACTACCAATGTCATGTGAACAACAAACATTGCAAAACTTTTTAGACAAAACATGGTTTGGATATTTGCAGTGGACATATTTATCCAGGGGGGGTAAAATATATAGGTCAGGTCACACCCTTAACCTTGTCTAGGATATTTGTGAGCAAAATTGGCTGTCAATTTTTCTGGCTGTCAATTTTTCTGGCTTTTACATTTTTTCATGAAACTACCCTAATGATTGTTAGTCTAGTTATAGACTGCCAAGAGCTCATGGCAGTATGGCTATGTCCAAGTTTGACATTTGACCCTGGGTGCCTAAAAACCCCAGCACACAAGATGGCCTTCATGTCTGCAAGTCTAAACAAAACATGTAAACTAGGAAGTCTTGTACATTTTTTTGTACCTGTTTTTTTTTATTTTGTCAATAATTTCATTAATAGTGTCAAGTCCAGATAATGATGATCATTTATTTTATAAAAAGAATTTCTATCTAAAAGTTGTTAATGATTGCTTTATAGAACCTTAAAAATTATCTACTAGCTGCAGCTAGCAGGTCATCAACATTCCATTGCCTCACTGATACTCTAATTAATGAAATTAGCTGCAGTTAGTAGGTAACTTTTATTGGCCACTTGTGTGGGGAATAAGATCAGACATTCCACTATCCTCACAACTTGATCTGACATTCCACTATCCTCACAACTTAATCTGACATTCCACTATCCTCACAACTTAATCTGACATTCCACTATCCTCACAACTTGATCTGACATTCCACTGACAATGTAACAAGACACCAGCAGTGAGTAGAGCTGAGTTTATTTGTTCATCAAGTTAAAGCAATCAATGTACAAGATTCAAAAAACTTTTTCTGTGTAAAGTAAATTATAAACAATTTGCAAATAAACACACACAGTGGCTGGGCTAAAGAAACGTTTACATTTTGTAACAGGTTGCACTGAAGTATGAGAGAAATAAATTGATAATCATGTCTCTCAGAAGATAAGACTGTCTTGTGCAGACAGACAACTGTCTTAAGCATAGAGACAAGCTGTAGCAGATAATTTGAACAGGACATACAGCTCTGATGGGTGCAGAAGAAATGACCCCCTCATTTCCCTTACACCTGTGTCCTACTTCTACCAATTATCATTATGTCAGATGACATTCTGTCACCCCCAACTAACATGTCAGTGCCTATTGACATTATGTCACTGCCATATGACATAACCAGTCACAGAAAACTTAAAATCAACATAAGCATGAAACCATGTACAAAAACAAAAAATTGTGTATATTTATATATATTGCTATTATATTCTTTGTATGTACATACCAAATGAAATAAGTTTTCTTAAATATAATCTACAAGATAAACTGTACATTTAAAACAATCTCTATCATACAAAACAAGACAATCATAAAAGGTTCAAAACAAATAAATGCGCTAAAAAGAAATGCCCCAGCTTAAATGTAAAATAAAATTTTAAAATATTTTCACACTAATTTTTTATATAGACAGATGCTAAATTCACAAGAAGCTTTTACAAAATAATTCCATCCTAGATTGTGTCAGCAACTAAAGCTGTGAGAGTCCATGTTACATAATGATCTAAGCACAGTCTTAAATGTTTGAAGGAAGTTAATTCAGCAGAAACTGGTAAGGCAAAGCAAGCACTGTGTGTTCAAACATAGAAATAAAATCATTCCACATGTATAGAAAACAATGAAATCATTACACATTTAAATGATTTATGAAATAATTTTACATGTAAGGAAAACAAAACCATCATCCATTATTATGTTAACAATAAATTCAATACACATGTAAAGTTTACATTAACAACTTTGAATAGTTGGGCACAGCTCATTACAAGAATATTAGACCACTAAAAACATGATTTAGTATGTGGTAGGCTGGTATGTCCATACAATAGGCTGTTCAACATGTTACACAACATGCCTGAAAGGTTAGATCCTCTATAGAGGGCCAGTACAAGTTACATTCTGGGGTGTACTCACTTTGTCAATACAAAATATTGCCTTCAACATGCTTTCTTTACCACAACTATGAAGTGGAGTACAATCCACCACAATACTGAGGTGACAATCCACCACAATACTGAGGTGACAATCCACCACAATACTGAGGTGTAGCACAATCCACCACAATACTGAGGTATAGCACAATCCACCACAATACTGAGGTGAAGCACAATCCACCACAATACTGAGGTGAAGCACAATCCACCACAATAATGAGGTGTAGCACAATCCACCACAATACTGAGGTGTAGCACAATCCACCACAATAGGTGTAGCACAATCCACCACAATACTGAGGTGTAGCACAATCCACCACAATACTGAGGTGTAGCACAATCCACCACAATAGGTGTAGCACAATCCACCACAATACTGAGGTGTAGCACAATCCACCACAACACTGAGGTGTAGCACAATCCACCACAACACTGAGGTGTAGCACAATCCACCACAATACTGAGGTGAAGCACAATCCACCACAATACTGAGGTGTAGCACAATCCACCACAATACTGAGGTATGGCACAATCCACCACAATACTGAGGTGTAGCACAATCCACCACAATACTGAGGTATAGCACAATCCACCACAATACTGAGGTGTAGCACAATCCACCACTATACTATACTGAGGTGTGGCACAATCCACCACAATACTGAGGTGAAGCACAATCCACCACAATACTGAGGTATAGCACAATCCACCACAATACTGAGGTGAAGCACAATCCACCACAATACTGAGGTGTAGCACAATCCACCACAAAACTGAGGTGAAGCGCAATCCACCACAATACTGAGGTGAAGCGCAATCCACCGCTATACTATACTGAGGTGTAGCACAATCCACCACAATACTGAGGTATGGCACAATCCACCACAATACTGAGGTGAAGCGCAATCCACCACAATACTGAGGTGACAATCCACCAGAATACTGAGGTGACAATCCACCACAATACTGAGGTATAGCACAATCCACCACAATACTGAGGTGTAGCACAATCCACCACAATACTGAGGTGAAGCGCAATCCACCGCTATACTATACTGAGGTGTAGCACAATCCACCACAATACTGAGGTATGGCACAATCCACCACAATACTGAGGTGTAGCACAATCCACCACAATACTGAGGTGAAGCGCAATCCACCACAATACTGAGGTGACAATCCACCGCTATACTATACTGAGGTGTAGCACAATCCACCACAATACTGAGGTGTAGCACAATCCACCACAATAATGAGGTGTAGCACAATCCACCACAATACTGAGGTGACAATCCACCGCTATACTATACTGAGGTGTAGCACAATCCACCACAATACTGAGGTGTAGCACAATCCACCACAATAATGAGGTGTAGCACAATCCACCACAATACTGAGGTGTAGCACAATCCACCACAATAATGAGGTGTAGCACAATCCACCACAATACTGAGGTGTAGCACAATCCACCACAATACTGAGGTATAGCACAATCCACCACAATACTGAGGTGAAGCACAATCCACCACTATACTGAGGTGAAGCACAATCCACCACAATACTGGGGTGTAGCACAATCCACCACAATAGGTGTAGCACAATCCACCACAATACTGAGGTGTAGCACAATCCACCACAATACTGAGGTGTAGCACAATCCACCACAATACTGAGGTATGGCACAATCCACCACAATACTGAGGTATGGCACAATCCACCACAATACTGAGGTGTAGCACAATCCACCACAATACTGAGGTGTAGCACAATCCACCAAAATACTGAGGTGTAGCACAATCCACCACAATACCGAGGTGTAGCACAATCCACCACAATACTGAGGTGTATCACAATCCACCAAAATACTACTGAGGTGTAACGCAATCCACCACAATACTGAGGTGAAGCACAATCCACCACAATACTGAGGTGTAGCACAATCCACCAAAATACTACTGAGGTGTAACGCAATCCACCACAATACTGAGGTATATCACAATCCACCACAATACTGAGGTGAAGCGCAATCCACCACAATAGGTGTAGCACAATCCACCACAATACTGAGGTGTAGCACAATCCACCACAATACTGAGGTGAAGCGCAATCCACCGCTATACTATACTGAGGTGACAATCCACCACAATACTGAGGTATGGCACAATCTACTAGTAAGGAAGTGAGGTACGGAGATGAGCAAATGTAAAAATAATGAGCTGCCGAGATCAAGACCGCAACAAGAGGGCCCCGACTGAAAGTGTCATGGTTTGTGACGCCGTCAACAAAACTTGCCTGACAAAAACTTACTGACATTGTTCAAATACTGTCACGCAAAAACAACATCTCACCAACTCTCCTCTTACTATTTGCATAAGAACTTCATAACATAAAACCAACAAATGAATAGTATTCCTATCCTCCACCACTTTCTAATATAGCCGCCCTAGGTTTTCTTATCATAGGGTAGACATGTTACACCGTATAAATATGATTTTTAAATGAAAGAATGATCTCAAACAATCAAACAAGATATTCTCTGATGTTAACAAGAAGAGGCAGGACTTTACTAGGAACCCGAGTCAAGCAAGTGATAAAATCAACAAACAGCTGAGGGCTGATGAAATATCTCAGTCATGCTATGTCTTTATCTCATCCAAGACAGGTCTACACCATCAACATAAACACATCAACATTAACAATTAAGTTCTGCAATTTAACAAGCACAAGCCTCAACTTTGACCCCTGGAGCACTTTACAGAGCTCAACTTTGACCCCTGGAGCACTTTACAGAGCTCAACTTTGACCCCTGGAGCACTTTACAGAGCTCAACTTTGACCCCTGGAGCACTAGTACAGGCCTCAACTTTGACCCCTGGAGCACTAGTACAGGCCTCAACTTTGACCCCTGGAGCACTAGTACAGGCCTCAACTTTGACCCCTGGAGCACTAGTACAGGCCTCAACTTTGACCCCTGGAGCACTAGTACAGGCCTCAACTTTGACCCCTGGAGCACTAGTACAGGCCTCAACTTTGACCCCTGGAGCACTAGTACAGGCCTCAACTTTGACCCCTGGAGCACTAGTACAGGCCTCAACTTTGACCCCTGGAGCACTAGTACAGGTCTCAACTTTGACCCCTGGAGCATTAGTACAGGTCTCAACTTTGACCCATACAAAACAAAACTATGTAATACTCCTATGTATTCATCAACTAAAACAATAAAACAAAAAGCTCTATTTGCAAGCATTAGCCTTAAGTTTAAGTGGTAATCTGAAGGCTTTACACCTCTGTTAACTTACCACCACCATGTCAAATGATTCAGCAAAATCTTCGAATAAATCAGCAAGATGAAGTAGATTCCATGAAAAAAAATTGTAGCAAACATATTCCATTTAAAATTGTTTTTAAAAAATCCATATCCAGTTGCCTAAATTATTTGTTAGGCTGAATAGATTAAATTAATCCTCTGAGAACTGACTGGTGTGGGCACTAATCCTCTCAGTACTGAGTTATGCAGGCACAAATCCTCTCAGAACTGACTAATGCAGGCACTAATCCTCTCAGTACTGACTGATGCTGACACTAATCCTCTCAGTTCTGACTGATGTGGGCACTAATCCTCTCAGTACTGAGTTATGCTGACACTAATCCTCTCAGTACTGACTGATGCGGGCACTAATCCTCTCAGTACTGAGTTATGCTGACACTAATCCTCTCAGTTCTCACTGATGTGGGCACTAATCCTCTCAGTACTGAGTTATGCTGACACTAATCCTCTCAGAACTGACTGATGCGGGCACTAATCCTCAGTTCTGACTGATGTGGGCACTAATCCTCTCAGTACTGAGTTATACTGACACTAATCCTCTCAGAACTGACTAATGCAGGCACTAATCCTCTCAGAACTGACTAATGCAGGCACTAATCCTCTCAGTACTGAGTTATGCTGACACTAATCCTCTCAGTACTGACTGATGTGGGCACTAATCCTCTCAGTACTGACTGATGTGGGCACTAATCCTCTCAGTACTGAGTTATGCTGGCACTAATCCTCTCAGAACTGACTGATGCGGGCACTAATCCTTTGAGAATTGACTGCTGGAGGCACTAATCCTCAGTACTGACTGATGTGGGCACTAATCCTCTCAGTACTGACTGATGCTGTCACAAATTCACACATATATCAGCTGCCTATCACAGTGCCACCTACTGCCCAAACTAGTCCATGCCAGGCTTGAGCCTAACAGTTGGGGTTGTCCATCGTCCCAATGTCCTGAAGTCTCTTGATGAAAGGGTGACCACTGGCCAGCCGCTTGGCCGAGCTGCAGACAGAGTCCTCCTTGTCCACCTCCAGGACACGCTTGGTTGAGGACTTGAACACGCCCTGCTTGATCATCCTGTTGATGGCCTGGAGGTCCTGTTGAATGAAAACATTTGGTGTGAAGGGGATAGCAATAACACGGCAACAGGGGCAGGTAATTTAAAAAGGGGGAGGTAATTTACAACCAGCAGTGAGTTCAGAAACTATACATTTAAACTATTTTTTTATTTATATAACAGAGTAATCTGCTGGATGAGTCTTTGCTCTACCTTCAAGTTTAGGAATATTTTTGGTAATTATTCTACCTACTCTGTCAGTTTAAGATGACAAAAAACAATTTTTTTTTAAAGTAACAATTGATATTAGATGCTATCATTTTAATATGAAGTGCATGCTTGGAAAATATCAATCTAGCCCTTAAAAGTAATTTTAAAATAAATTTATGACATCACTTTTCTTCTGCTAAATGTGTTATACTTTGGCTCAACCTGCACAAAATGTTCTTTAAGATTTTTAAGATCTCACAGTTATCCGGAATAGCACCAGACTACACCATTGTTAGAATAGGTTTTTCACAAGTTCTGAGGAATAAAACCTGACCCGACCATTGTTAGTATCAGTTACCTTGGAAGGGCTGAGGTTGATGGAGTAGGACATGCCCTGTGGCAAGGGTCCAGTTGTCCCTCTATGGGGGGAGATGAAGAGTGGGTAGCTGCTGGACACCCTACGGGGTGAGGAGGTCAAACACCTGACCGCAGGTAGGGGGGACAGCTTGGGCAGGTCCTGAAAGGTACAGGAAAATTAACATTCATTCAAGATAAGCACATGTTTTAGTAGTTACTGTACTATGTTACAATGTTTTCTCAACTTTCTGAATACTTACCGATGCATCATTATTTTTTTCTGCAAACTTGAGAGCAAAGTTGCGAATCTTCTTTAGATAAACCTTAAAAATTAAAGTGTTTTAGCTATTTGGCCTGTGACCAATAATCTGAGTTATAATATGACTTTAAAAACAAAAAACATACTGCCTAATATTTAGGAATTAAAAAATGGTAATTTACATGATTGACAAGTTCCCCCCAACACCCCATGAATCATGATATTATCAATGACTGACAAGTTTCCCCCAACACAAATCAATCCACTCACCAGGTTGTAGAACTTGATCAAGTCTCCCCGCTCCTCCTCCACATCGTCCACACTTCCCCCCACAAATCTGGTGGGTGTGGGGGGATGGCTGCTGTGTGGCAAGGTACTGGACGACCTTACTGATGGATGCTCTGGTCATACACACACAAAAAAACAAATGAGGAGGTAGCACCATTATCCTTACAACAAGCTCGTATTAAATTTAAAGTTTACATGTATAAAATGCCAAGTCTCACATTATGTCTTCCTTTATGCACATGTTAAAATTATGGCTAACACAATCAAAAGCTTTGTAAAAAACGAAGTTTAAGCACTGAAAGAGCTAATAAAAGATTTCTGTCAATGATTACTTTTATCTCTGTCTTTATCAACATTGACAGGTGAGGACGTTCCGCTGCCTTCGTTACTTTTGCTGCTGTCACTGCTACCTGAACCATGACGGTGTCTTGTCGTCAGTAAGACACTTCTGTAGACCTAAATACAAGAAATTAGAATTAAGGTCAAGGCTAAGGTCAGGAGGAGGGTCATGACCATGACCAGGTCAGGAGTAGGGCAAAGGCTATGGTCAGGATAAGGGTAAAATACAGGTAAATAGTAACAGTGAATTTGCCTTGTTAATATTTTTATAGGTATCATATAATTTATGACATAAGGCCCCATCAGTCCACTGAACTTAATTTTCAGTACTTTGCCTAGTAAGGGGAAAAAAAATGCAGCACTAACAGAAAAAAAAAATCTAAATCATCATCATAGGAAAACCTCTTGAGGTTTTAATGTGCAGGAGACCAGGAGATGGGGACAATCAAGTACAAAGACGCAGGCCTGGTAGGGGTTAAAACAGTAAACTTAAGACTGGTGTTCTGCGACCAAGACAAAGATGGTGCTTCCCCCCCCCCTCCCCAAACTGCATGTATGATTAACCAACAGGGTACTTACATGGCTGTGGGCCTGAGGCTGGAGTCTGTAGCACTTCATGATGTTCTGAAAGGTCAAGGGTTTCTCCGTCACCTTGGCGATCAGGTACATGGAGCACATGATCAGCTGGTCAAGGTGTCTGTCACACATCAGATGGACATGGTTGACCATCGCGTACTCAAAGCATGTCCAGATCTTCTTCAGCAGTTCATCATCCTCAATGTCCAGTTTGTCAAATAGGTCACGGAGCCGTACGCTGGCTAAATGGTACACCTATAGATAATTGACCATCTTAATCAGTCCAGGGGCATTATTAACTCAAATTGGGCATGGATTTTTAGTAATTATAGTAATCGAACTCGTGTGAGCTTTCATTTTTACATGGAATGAGCCGGAAACAATGGGAGGAAAGGGGAGAAGCTAGGAAGAGGGTGCAATTGACACAAGAAAATTCTGGGAATGGGGAGGAGCTTTTATCAGGCAACAGCTAGGGAAGGGAGGAGGTGGGTAAGGGGAAGAACTAACTCTACTCACTTTTCTAAAGAAGAGAGCCAGAGATCCTGTCCTTTTGGGCTTGGTGTAGCTGTGGTCGGGCTCAGTTTTATCCGTTTTCACCAGCAGTGGCTGGAACATACAGTAACACATAATCTTCAATTATTGTTAACTATTAATTATTACCATTGTGGATAGTCCTCTTGGCTAGGCTTCACACCACTTCACACCAAGAGACTAGTACTAGCCCAAAACTTAGCAAAGAAACACTATCAAAAAATTGTGTATGATTGTTGAAATAGTAGAGCTATACAGTTGGTATTGTGGAAGAGGTGAGAGACCGACCCTGTATGGTTTCCTAGAGATGGTGATGGTGCTGGGAGCTGAACTGATGGAGCCTGAGGCTGCCGTGGTGGCCACAGTTGTAGTGGATGTGACACTCCCTGAGGGCTGGGCTATCTGGACGGGTATCAAAATCTGATGAAAACAAAAACCATTTCTACACATGCTTGTTTCATCATCAGTTAAATGGACACCTCAAGGAAATGTTAACTTCAGTCTAACAACAGGCCTCAGCCAATCAACATCAGTCTAACATCAGGCCTCAGCCAATCAACTTCAATGTAACAACAGGCCTCAGCCAATCAACTTCAGCTAACATCAGGCCTCAGCCAATAAAATTCAGTCTAATATCAAGCCTCACCCAACAAAATTCAGTCTAACAACAGGCCTCAGCCTAACAACCTAACATCAAACCTCAGCCAATCAACATTAGGTTAGTATTCAACTCTGAACAAATTAGTATTTAAATAATAAATCTCTGCAAGCAGTACAAAAGATTAGGATTTAACAGTTTAGTTTTATAAGAAGTAATAAAAAACAGGCAATCAAGTATTATTTATAAGCTACTGGCAGCATGGTCCCCTACCCATTAACTTATATGTTGTAAACATTTTGAAATATATTTTTTTAGAAAAGTCATCCTCACAATTTTGTTCTCCATTACACTTACGCACAATTTAAGTGGCATCCATTTTTTTACCACCACTGCATGGTGTGAAAATTACTGAAACTTACACAATGTACACAACTGGCGCACCTATGTTCAACACAACAACAGGTCATAATCATGTCATTGTCATGGTCAACAATATTAAAGGTCAGTCACCAATGACAGGGATAATAGAACTTCGACAGGCTAGAATAACCCGTGGCAATTATAAACTTGACTGACCACTCAGTTAAAAGTTTATCCCATCCAGCTTACACAGCACTGGACCAACTTTTATAAACATTGAAAAACGGAGAGCGCTACCTGTCTTCCATCTTCATTGATGGCCACAATAGCCTGCTGGGTGGAGCTACAGTTGGGTTTCCATATGGGCGTGGTTAGAACACTGCCACTGCCCGCAGCAGCCGCGATTATCGTGTGTTCCCCAGAATTCTGGGTTTTCAGAATGGTGGATGTGATAACAGGAGGCGGGGAATCAGATCTTGGAAGTGTCGATGTTGGCGCGAGAGCCGAAGCTATCTGTAAGTTTTGGGGAAAATTTTGACAATTTTTTTTAGTTTAAATTTTTGTTTACAATACAAAGTTTTTTTTTATTTAAAGACAAGGTTTTATGACATCATCCCTCCCTCTTGCACCCCTTGCACTGACATGAAAACAGGAAGTGGAATATTTTAACTGCTAAGAAAGCCAAAACAGCTCACGTTTCAAATTCGAACTTTCAGGGCGATCTGATACCCCTGAGAGTGATGAATGAACAAGAGAGGTAAAAGGTTAAAGGTGAAAAAGTGACATGAACAACTAGCTCAGCAGTACAAAAACAATTTCAATCCTTGTTTAATCATGGAGGTAAAATGGTAGTGTCTTAGAAAGTTGAATGTTCACTACTTGAAAACAACTACTTGCAAACTTTAAAAACTACTAATTATGATTTGAATGGGTTTCTCTTTGAGTAGATAAAAAAAATTATAATTATTCATCTTAACAAAATTTTTTTTTAAAAACAATTTTGAAATTTGTGTAAATTTAACAGAAAATGAGCTAAGATTGTTTTTGTTGTCACTGCTGATAACTATGTCCAAATGTCATTTCTTGTGTTTTGTTCCTCCAGATTATTCACATCACTTCCTTGTTTTTCATTAATTTGTTAACCCCAGCCACCAGATGCCAGTGTGTTGCACCATTGAACCAAACCTTGGTTAAACAAAAACTTAACAAAAACCAAACTAAACTTCATGCAAAAGTAAAAAAAAAAATAAGCAAACAAACATGCAGTAAAAAAATGCTTACCTTGTTTGAGACGATCAGTGTGTCCGACATTCCACCCTTTAACTGACTCAGCAGAATAGAGCGGGAAGCAGAGTTACTGTGGGAGACAGTGGGCAGTTGGTGGGGGGAGGAGATGATGGTCACCCCTGAAGTGGTCACCGTGCGGGTGTATGTGGTGGTGTTGAGGGTGGAGACATTGGGTGGGACAGAGATCGCCTGGGACAGCGGCACACTGGACGGTCCAGCACCAAACAATCTTCTTTTAGCATTGCCAGGAGACGGGGAGCTAAACCTGTCAGATGCCAGTGGTGCCCCTGGTGACTGGGGGGGCTCAGAGGCTGAAAGATCACAATACATTCAACTGATCAGCTCTACAACTAAACCATTGTAAGTTACAATAAGTAAGCTAATACTAAATTAATATGTGATGGGGCACAAAATTATAATATTAATTTTGTCAAATGACGTGAGTAAGGAAAGAAAAAAAATTTCTTTTTACTTTTTTGTAAACTTTTGATGTCACCCACAAGAGATCGAAGCCTTGGGTGTTTGGCGACGGCAGCTGTGGCCATACCTTGCTTGCTGCCCTCCATTAGGTTCATGGGCGTCACCTGCAAGGTTTCACACAAAATAATAGTAACCACAATGAACAGTACAATAAAAGCTTTAGCCTTTACTCTCAAGTCTACAGGAAAGGAATGATATTCTACAGAAAGATGGGAAAGGGAGGATGTTTATACATGAAAGTGATGACCAACATGTACACACAGTGTACACATTTAACAAAGTGTACACCAGTAGCATGAACATCCAGAGTGTACTCACATCCTCACAGTTAGGCACTGTGTTGTCTTTGATGGCATCCCAGACTGGGGAGTCGCTTCTCCAGGCGTAGCTCTCTAGAATACTTTCCTCTATCTGGTAGACACAATGTTTACACAAACTTTGTATTTCTAGTTTTTGATGTACATAGGTTTCATTAATTAAGACGTTATCCATTTATGACATCCACAAAATGTTTTCTTTTTTATTTTAGACCCCTACCTCAATCCACACTAAACAAGCATGTGAATGCAACAACCCCACTCCCCCAAAATATAACTTTTTTGGACCCCCCCTCATGTGAATATCATAACTGGATGATCCCTAACCATCAAATAGTTATACCAAGCAGAAAACTAAACAGTGTCATAAAATCCAGTCAATGAAAACAAAATGTAACAGTGCATGCAGCACTAGACTCACATGATTCAGGTGTTTGACAACATCTCTTGACAGCCCTTTCTCCGCCCGGATGATAATCTCAATCACCTTGTAGAAGTGATAGCTGCCCAGCTCAAATATATCCACAATCCACGGGAAAGTCCTGATCCAGGAATTATTTTAAAAGGAAAAATTACAATGTTTTCAGTGAAACTATATTAGCAGTGACCTTTTTTTTAATTGCCTTGCCCAATTCCTTCATTAATGTAGAGCAATTTAATATTTTTTAAAGTTCCCTATTAAAATACTAAAAACAAATTTAGAATGAATAACCTGCCTTTGAGAGTTGTAGGAGAAAATGACAATTTCAAGACAACAGGCGAACAGGGAGCGATGAAAAAAATCATTCTCCAGCAAACCCTGAAAAAATAATAGCCACATCCAGTGATAGGTTCAGCATCTCTGTTATAAACTTTGAGATTAACAAAGTTAAGGTAGATATTATCAACAGGAAACCATCAGAAAAATATGTGTGATTTATGGGCTCAACAAACCCAAGAGTGTCCTAGGGACATTAGCATCACCTACCAGTAAATTAATCCCTTTATTTTCTCCTCCTGTCAGTCGTTTTCTCTCCCCTAGTGCGATGGCTTCCAGAGTTTTATAATACAAGCTTTCACCCAACTGGAGTCTCTTGCGGGCAAAGTCAACAGTGGCACCCGCATGACTTTCACTTGACTGAAACAAAAAGGCAGTGAATACATCAGACACACTCTATTGGTTCATTTAAAACAATACAGCAAGGTAAGACAATAACATCAGGTCTTTGTAGATAAGGTTTAGATTCGGTAAAATCTCATTTGTCATAGTAAATTTCCTATTTTAGATGTCTTCTGGAGTATTAGAATAAGATGCATAATAAGATGCAGCAAACTTACTTTTGCATAGTGTTTACAAAATATTTCCCCCATCTCCTTCACCCTTTGTGTGATCTCATCTTGTGGATTTACACTGCAGCTCCTGTATAAAAAATGATCAATCATTAGTAGTCTGCTTTCGGGTTAGAAATATACACAAAAATCAATCATTAGTGATCTGCTTTCTATAATACTGAACAATGGCAGGCAGTACATTTAACAGTCAATCATTAGTGATCTGTTTTTGGCAGTTCAGGATTATAGTGCGAAGTGACCAGTCAGTTTATATTCTTCAGCCCTTAGCCTAAAAATATTATAGACATAACTATTCCTTTTTCATGACAAACTGTAAGTCTGCACTTTTTGTGACTTACTTAAATGACAGGAGACCATCGTGTGACTTAAAGACATGAAACTATTTTTGTGATGTAGTTTAAGACATGAAACTATTGTTGTGACTATGTGAAAGCGTAAAACCCCTTTGTGCCTTACTTGAAAATGTCTAACAACAAATCAGATGGGGATGTCTTAGACCCAGACAACAAATTCTGCAAGCGCGACACACTCTGGGTGGCGGTGGATACAGGGGTTACACTAAGATCCTTTTCTTTCAAATACCTGCGTCCAGTCAGAGGAGTGGACGGGGTCAAAGATTTGGTCTGTTGGTAGGTAAGAGATCAGCACAATATTATCAACTAATAAAAAGTAGTAGCAATAAAAATACCTGGTTGGATAACTGCTAACAAAGCAACAAACCACTGAAAATTAATTTTCACTGTACAACTTGTGCTGATATTCATAAGTTACCTATTTATTTATGCTAAGTACTTAAATATTTATGGTGGAAATACAGATATTTATGACTTTGTTTTTAACAAAAATATGTCTAAATATTAAACAAGTTGAAAGGCATATTTACAAAGTGAGGAGGTTGTATTCTAAAGAATGGTTTAAATTCAAAGCAAATTATTTTATGAATTGTTAAATAAATCAACATTTTCAAGACACTGTAAGTATAATTCAGTACTGAGTTAAAAAGTAATTTTTATGTAAAATAGAAAAAATGGTCATATACATGGGTATCAGAACAAAATGTATTATAAAAAACTTCACCTTAGCAACCATCAGCCTTTCTTACCTCATCAAAATGCTGCTTCAACGAGCGTTTGACCTGCATTTGCTCAGCCAACTCTGTTGTGTTCTGTCCCCCTGGGGTTCCAATCTCCTCGTTAGCATCCTCACCCAGAAATATTCTCTCATCAAAGTCACCCACACTCAGGACATACTCTTCATATAAATTATTGATTATTTTTCTAGAAAAAAAAAGAAAATATATGTTAGTCTTCTTTCACCCACCTTCTACACTAACTTAAACCATATTTTGTTTTCATAAAAAAACTAATAAAAACTAAGGATGACTTACACATTATATTTTTTTTTAAAAAGGTAAATATTTAAATTATTACTATCTCTCCCTTATAAGGGCACAACTGGCTCAAGACAGGCAAAAAACAGGATGTAAACTTGGCACATCACCCCCCCCCCCTTGTTTCAACAGCTTTTACATCCTCTCCCAGCACATTAAACTATCTCTCCCTTATAAGGGCACAACTGGCTCAAGACAGGCAAAAAACAGGATGTAAACTTGGCACATCACCCCCCCCCCCCTTGTTTCAACAGCTTTTACATCCTCTCTCAGCACATTAAACTATCATTAATGGATGGTGAGGGGACTGTTAGGTCTCCATCTGGAGAAACTGAGCTCATAATTTCTGGGTTCTCAAGCATGTATTTATTCAACTACACTATGCTGTCACATTAACCTGTTTACTGCATGCATTTATACAACTAGATTATGCTGTCATCACATCATGTTTTAAAAAAGTAAAACAAAACAAAGTAAATTTTCACATACACATTTTCCTCAAAGTTGCCAAGCTCCAGTATTGCAGAAAGATTGGTTGGCTTTCCCACCAGTGTCTAGGAATGGAAGATATTTTTAAACTTTTATCTTACTAGTAATAAAACAATATTATATGCAACTTATCAGCATTGGCTTATGTTTTAACCCCGTATAATCTTACAAGCAGCGTAACACAAAACATGTCAACAGACCTTCTTGTCAAACAACTTCCTGATGTGTGGCTTCCACCAGTGTTCTTTGATGGTCTTAGCCTCCACCACCAGCCCATCGTGTTTATCACACAAAATCTGCATGATGCATGGGGTGCTTGCTTCTGGCTTCCAGTTTACACTTTGAAAATCTTCTGGCAAACCTGTAAACAAATTTACCTGTATACATTAACTGAGAAAACAAACCAGGTAATCTGTATGTAGACAGTGTTTTGGAGAAAATGTGGAATTTGTTTGTGGCACAATACCACAAACTATTATTTCATTAAAAGAGAGAACAGGACTAGGAAATATGTTAGCTAAAATTACTTTTTACAAGGTGAAAGCAGTTTATATGCTGTTGTTTACTCTAATATGTTAGATTAGGTGTAAGTACAAGCATGTGCTACCTTCAAAGTCTCTGTTCAAGAGATCTTTTCTTCCTCCTAAAACTGCGTTGGCAAAGATCCAGTCAATACAACACAGCAGCAGGTGATAGGAGTTGACCAAGTCATCACTAATAGCTGGGAAGTTGCCTGCAATATCACATTATAACCAATACATGTTAAAATCACACATACTGTAACGTAAGTTAAAATCTCACACGATCCAATATAAGTTAAATATTACACACAAACTGATAAACGTTAAAATATGCAATCCAATGCATAATGTTAGGTGTATCTAAAACAATTTGTCTTAATATTTAATTTCAGTTTATGAATAAAATGTAAAGAAAGGTAGTTGCTCATCACAACAATGAAACTTGCCTTTAACAAGTACAAACAAGGTCCAGGCAAACTTGAAAACTTCGTTTGATGTGCAAGGTAACCTCCTGGAAAATCAAATGGCTACGTTAATTGTGTGTCCATTTAACCAGTAAACCATTAGCCACAAGGTCCAATCAGTCATGATTAATCTGTATTACAATGGTCACTTGCAACAAGTTTCAGGACTTAAACTATTTTTTAAACATGTACATTTCTATAATTAAGTAGCGCTCTAATTACTGAATTGTCATGTAGAAACTGTGTAACTTAATTTTTTAATATATCAGTTATCATCTAAACTTAAGAATGAAAGGGTGTTAATATTTTTTAATAACAATGTCTAAAATAGTGACCTTGTAAGTTGAAGGGGTGAAATTAAAATATTAACAATACATCAAGCCCTTGATATGTTGTTTTTTGTTTTTGTTTTATATTAAAAAAATCATTAGTGCAAGAAGAATTAATTATTTAGCTTAGCATTTGTTAACTTTCGCTCCACAACAGTTGCGTGCTTATTAAAGACAAGTTTTCCTCAAGTTGTTAGCGCAACACACAAGAGAGAACTTTCACCTTTATTTCATGTAAGAGCAAACAGGAATTAGCTGAAACAGCCTATATACTACACCAAAAAAAAAATTCTTTCTTGTACCCTTCTGTTAGCTGCAGTCCTTTTTTAGTCCATTTTCTCCTTTTCTCATAAATAGCTCTGATGATCAGGTGTCAGGTATGATGGGTAAGGTATAAGAATGAGCGTCAAAGGTAGGGAGCATTAATGATATAAAAGGAAGAGAAAAAAAACTTAGACTGTCAATAAAATAAAAACTAAAAAAAAAGTTTAACTGCCTAAATGGCTATACTACTAAATGACAAGTTATTTTTATATTATCTATATGTGGAACAATTGTTTATATAGGGATGAATTGTGTAAATATGTTTTGACAAACAGCCTCATCCATGCAGGTAGAGCGACATGCAGAAAAGCATCTAGATGGATCATGTAAACATGTTACAACTCTTACTCCCCCTTACCTCTGCTTTCTTCCTCTCTGTTGCCGTGGTATTTCATGGGCTGGGTTGATGAAGATGTCCAGGAAAATTGGCTCAAACTTCTTGAAGATAACAGTAGACACTGCAAAGTTCCTCTCCAGTTTGTCGATCTTGTCCCTGAAGGCTTTTGGTAGGCTGGCCATGTCTGACCATTTCCTCATCTTGTTGAAGAACTGTATCAAACTGTGAACAGAACTATGTTTCAGGGTAAATGATAAACAATTAAACAATATGAAATGATTCACAAAATATATAACACTTTGATTGCCATTACTCCCCTGTCAATTGTCTTCATTCTGTTTAATATTTTTTTAATTAATTTAAATTTATGATAATCAATTTATATATTTTTAGTATAAAAACATAGGCAATCAAATAGTTAATACAGTAAAAATGCATAATGACAAATAACTACAGATAATATAATTAAACATGGCGTGACTATATAACCAACTTAATGAGTAATAATTAGTAATAATATTAATTGCAATAGTAAACATGTATTGCTACCTAAATTTTGATGATCTAAGCAGTCTGGTAAGAGAAACACAGTTCCCTTCTATGGTCCCCTGACCCACAGTAGGGACAGAGCCACGTCGGCAAGCCTCATACAGTGCACAAGCCAGCCATTGCATTTGGTCCCCCTGGAAACAAAAATTCACATGCATGAGAGTGGGGCATAGAGACTCATTGTTTGTGAAAATTATTCATTACTTTTTCAACCCAAAACAAATGTAACTTGATCATAAGAAAATATCACATGTTATAATTTTAAAAAGTACATTATCAAAAGCAAAACTATTATAACTAAATCTGAATTTTCTTATACCAAGTTTAACAATTTAGAATGGACAAAGTTATTAAGCTCAAATTTCACTTGGGTTATAAGATACAAAAAAATCCTATTGAGTCACATTTTAGGTGGGGGGATGGGGTTAACTTTAATTAATCTAAGACTGATTTATCATTATGCAAAAATATTGACACAACCTCAATTTGGAAAAATAATGTTTAAAAATTTCAAAATTGCAAAGTCTAGGACCTAGGCCTAGTCTACTTATTTAGGCTCTTTTGGGCTATAGCTTGATGTGATATTTTAATTTTAGTTTAGAGTTTAGGCCAGTAATACAGTAATTAAGTTAAAGCCGTTTAACTCAGTTCAAGCTCTATTTTTTTATGTTACGCCTAAATCAGACAAGGTCACTAGATCTAGATAATAGAGTTCTGGACCTAGAATCTAGATTTAGTCTAGCGAGTAGCTAGAAAGACTAGAGTCTTATTTTTATAGATCTAGAATCTAGATTAGAACTGTAGCAGCTAATAGTCTAGATCTAGATCTACTAGATTTAGAATCTAGATTATAGATCTATATTCTATTCTAATCTAGCAGTCTAGTCTATCCATTATCCAAGTCTAGTGAATAGCGATGTCCTCACACTGCCACACACTACACTACTACTACAGTGATTGAGAGAATAGTCCTCTAGTAACTAGAAATCTAGATCTAGTCTAGCTAAGCTAGACGTCTAACTAGATCTAGTAGCTAGTCTAGATCTATTCTTATTCTAGATTTAAGATTCTAGATCTATACATTCTAGATGATCTAGAATCTAGAAATCTAGATTCTAGAAATCTAGATTAGAATTTAGAAGCTAGACAGTAGAATGACCTAGATCTAATAAATTAATAATATAAAATGCAGTAGAATCTAGTTTACTTTTGATTAGTTAGGCCAACTCATCATAAAGTAGATCTAACTATTAAACTAAGCCACCTGATTCGACCCGTTAGAACTGTCCCGTTATTTTTTTATTTATTTTTTACACTTCAACAGTTGCTCCTTCTTACCTCGAGGGTGTAATTCATCTGAATCTTTTGATAATTTTGCCAGGCTTCTTCTTTGGTTGATGAGTCCATGTTAAGATCCTGGCAAATTTCCTCAAATCGCTGCAAAATAATTTCTTCTCCATCTTCAGACAATCCCATCTTAAGCAGTTTTAATGGTGTAAAAAAACTAAAACACTGCAAACTCGGACATTTTGTAGTCTGAAGATCGTGTTTTACTGAAGAGCTACACTAGGAAGCTCGTGGCGGGAAATGGGACGACATGTCCCTGGGTTGCGGAAATTTTTACCAAAGCTAGAAATCTCAAGCTAAATAATGAAATGATATTATTTTTTAAATAAACCGGTAGTGATCTCCCCTAAACTTTCTCGAATATTCTTATATAAAACAACAAGGGGATGGTAACTGGGGATATAGTTATGATTTTTAATCCATTTTAAATACTAAAACTTTTAAAAATAGAATAGAATCTCAGTAAAAAACAATTGCGCACCAAGCGAACGCCTAATAAAGGTGTGTATAATAGTGCGCAATATTATTAGTACTTTTAAAATTTACATTAGTTTTTTGAGAAATCGGAAGTAGCGTAAATTACTACTTCCTGTCAACGGAAATTACTCAAAATTTAACAGAAGGTAGAGAATTAGATCTTTTACTTACATGTGAAATTTCATTTATCTATCTGAAATAGTACTCAAGTTATAGGCTTTTAAAAAATTCAAAGTAGGAAAAGTACCACTTCCGGTTATCGGAAATCGCTCAAAAGTTGATACGGATCTACGATTTTGATAAAATACTTATATATGAAATTTCATCAACCTAGCTGTAACGGTATTCAAGTTATCGTGTTTACACACGGACAGACAGACAGACAGACAGACACACACACACACACAGACATACGGACAAGATTGCAAAATTATGTTTTTCCGTATCAGTGAGGTGTAAAACGTCGAGATTTGTAAAAATCTCGATTTTTTTTTTTTTGCACGATTACAATACTTTCTCTATACTACGTATATACGAGAAAGTAAAAATCATTCCACAATCATAATAATAATACTGATTTGTTTGAGGTTATACCATATTAGATTTTAGATGTTCATAGTTTAATATTTAATAAGTTATTTTATTGTATAAAATTAACGTAATTAAATATCTTGCTATCATGTCATTGGCCTATGTCTACAGAATCTAGCATTCATGTAACAATAATAATGTGCTTTTATTAAATGGGGGTGTTAATGGACAATGTCATTAAGTCATGTTTGTTTGTTATTGTTGCTGTTGTTTTTTTTTTTTGGTTTTTTTTTTTGTTTTTCTTTTTTTTGGGGGGGGGGGTGCTTTGTATGGCTAAAGTCTTACTCAGAGTTTCTTCCGCCCCCCCCCCCCCCCAACATTTCAAGCGCCCCCCCCCCCCGAACATTTCAAGCGCCCCCCCCCCCCCCCCCCCGGAGGAAAAAGTCTGGAAGAAACACTGGTCTTACTGGTTCGATATAGATCTATAAGCTCATCTTACACAAAAGTGTTCAGCATAAGCGAAACTGTAAATAGCGGGGGAAACCACAATTTTGAATGAAACTATATATATTAAAACCGTGGCTGAAAATCGACGGTGTTGCCCCAACTTTTACATGGCAGGATCATGTATATAATGTAAAAGTAAAATTGCTTAAAAACTCACAATCGCGACAAAGAGAAAAAAAATAGTATATGACTTAACCAATAAATCTGTTTCAATAATCCCTACTTGCCCCAACAAATGGACCTTCAAATCATGAAGCCATTTTGGAAACCATTCAGAATTCATGGGACCCTAACACCCAGGTGACATTTGGTGACCGGGGGGAAAAAGTCACAGGAAAAGTTTTAAAATTTGTCTTAAGGAATATTGTGATGTATTCTACTTGTTGGTAATTGTAACATTTTGTGGGTGGTGTATTTTTAGTAACCAGGGCTGGACTGGGAAAAATCACCATTTGAGCACCATGGTACCACACAGATGCTGGTGTGGAATCCACTGGAAAAGCGGAAGGGGGGGGGGGTAAAATGTCATGGCAAAAACTCGTTCGACAGAGAAAGCTGGAAGATTCGGTTGTCATGGTTGTAGTCTTACGAAAGTAGCCACAAATCGAGTTTGTTTGCGAAGTGTCACCTCTGCTTGATTCTCCATATGTTCCTTAGTAAATCCGAAAGGAGAACATACATTATTATTATTATAAATTAGGTTGACCGTGGTCACAGTTGCGATAAATAATGTCTCTTGAAGATATAACAATTGCAATTGTCTCTAAACATGGGATTCCACTAGCTTATTTATTTTTAATCTTAGGTCCTTTGTACTAGTAAATTTTGTAGGCTTAATACTTTAGAAATTGTGGGGGATTGGGGGGGGGGGACTCAGCTGAGTCACTATGACTGGTGTCAACTGATGCAATGTCCCCCCCCCACACACACTGTCAACTGATGCAATGCCCCCCCCCCACACACACTGTCAACTGATGCAATGCCCCCCCACACACACACACTGTCAACTGATGCAATGCCCCCCCCCACACACACACACACTGTCAATTGATGCAATGCCCCCCCCCCCCACACCCTTCAACACGCGCGCAAGATTTTGCAGTTTCCACATCCTCTTAACTTTATTTGTTTGAGCATAAAAACTACTTTGTCTGTACATCTTGCATTTTTTTTATTAGGTGTCATCCTCTAAAACATTTCAGGTCTATTATAGTCACCTGGCGCGAGCAGCCCCCCCCCCCCCCCCCCGCATTAGAACTCACAATGCTGCTGTGGTGCTAGAAATTATGTATAAGCGGTCTATAATGTTAACTTATAAGCCTATATCTCGCTATATATATATATATATATATATATATATATATATATATATATATATATATATATATATATATATATTGAAAATGCATACTTTACTAGTGTCCGCCCCCGCCCCCATTTAAGTTTTTGTGTCTCTACATGCTAGATCACTTAGATCTCTCGATTTGACATCAGTTGTATGAGAGAGAGAGGGGGGGGGTTGTAGTGTTAGCAGTGGCATCGCTAGATCGGGTGTCACCCGGTGCGGCAATTCGTGGTGTGACCCCACCCCCCAAGTCACAAAGTAATAGATATATATATATAATATGTGTGCGTGTGTCGGCCTACATACGACTATAATTTAAATTTATGCCCCATACGCGTACATGTATGTATGTGTATCAGCTTTAATGACTGCAGACTTAATAGTAACGATGTTTATCTTTTGTCTGTTAATAATACAGTCGGGTGTAGCATTGCTTTCTCTACATTTAGCGCGTTTACGTCATGGTGTCACCCCTACCCCCTTGTAATAATAGTCGATCCGTACTTAAAAGACTATTTAACTTTAATAAATCATTAATGGCACTGGCAAAAAAAAAAGCATTTTTCTTCTGTACATTTTGCCTTTTTTTTTTTTTTGCCTTGGTGTCACCCCCTAAATGACGTGTCACCTGGTGCGGTCCGCACCCCACGTCCCGCCCTCGCTACGACTCTGAGTGTTAGTGACATAAAAATGATATTTAGACATGGACACAGTGCCGGCTCCAGGTTATTTAGCGCCATATAGGCAAAACTTATTAAAAGCGCCCCCCCCCCCCCGTAATTTTTTTTTCGTGCCCCCGTATTATCAGAGGCGTAGCGACCCTTCCGGGCGCCCGGAGACAAACTTTTGATTTGAACCCCCCTCAAACTTTCAATTTGTTTTTCCACCCAATTTTTGCGCCCCCTACGGACAGCGCCCTAGGCGACCGCCTAGTTCGCCTTATAGGTAGCGCCGGCCCTGCATAGGGTTAAAGTAGCCTATGTATTTTCTTTAATATTTTTTTTTTTGCTTGTCTCTGAAGGAAACTCTGTCTTTAGATATCCCAACATCATTTACCCATCTACAACAGTATTAAGATGTATAGTCCTACTGCATGCATTTTTGGTAACCTGCGTGGCTGCACAAAATAGGTCTATTCTAGGTCTATCAATTATTAAGCCTTACAATCTAGTCTAATGTAGATTTAATATCTAATATCTACAATAGATCCAATTCAGGGGTCATCCATACAAGACGTCACGCTTTTTTTGGACGATTTTTACCTCCCCCATTCCCTCCGTCACACATCGTCACAAAAAGCCAGAACCCCCCCCCCCCCCCTAAAATGACGTCACACCTTAGCCAACAACCTCCCCCCCCCCCTCAAAATTGCAGTTCAATTTTTTTTTATACAGCGATATTTTTCCGAAATCTTGTCTGAACTCTGTCGACATAGAGTGTTTTAATCAATTCCTATTAGATCTATACCCTTTATTAAAACAGTTTTCTAAAACGCAAAGTAACGCCTAAAATTCGTTGTCTAACATTGCTTTTTTTTTAATGCAAAAGTGTGACGTCGCACACCTTAACCCCCCCCCCCCCCCCTCCTCATCACACACCATCACAAAATTACAGACCACAGTGTGACCTCATTTATGGATGACCCCCAGGTCAAAATAAAATGTTTTCTTAATCCACTAGACTATAGAATGCTTGTAACTCTTTGCTTGTAACAGGCCTAGATCTAGATCTAGAATATACAGCAGTGGCTCTTAAGGGGTCATCCATAAATGACGTCACATTCGTAGGGGGGAGGGGGGGTCCGTAATTTTGTGACGATGTGTGATGAGGGGGAGGGGGGGGTCAGATGTTTCGACGTCACACTTTTGCATTATAAGAAAGCAAGTTAGAAAACGAATTTTAGACGTTATTTCGCGTTTTAGATAACTGTTTTAATAAATTGTAATAGTTTAGACAAGATTTTAGAAAAATATCGATGTTAAAAAAAATAAAAAAATTCAACTGCAATTTTGAAGGGGGTTGTAGGTTGAGGTGTGACGTCATTTTAGGGGGGGGTATGGTTTTTTGTGACGACGTGTGACGAAGGGAGGGGGGGGGGAGAGGTAAATATCGTCCAAAAAAAGCATGACGTCATTTATGGATGACCCCCAACTTAGGTTCGTTCAAGCCCCAGGGGTTTGGTGTGTCAGTCTCAGACTCTCAGGGACTCATGCAGTAGCGTAGCCAGGATCGTCTCAAGGGGGGGGGGGTCCAACTTTTACCCGGGGACAAGCTTTCGATTTGCACCCCCCCCCCCGCCTCAAACTTTCGATTTGCACCCCCCCTCATACTTTATATATATATATACCGAGGGGTCTATGGGGGGGGGGGGTTATGACCCCCCCCCCTGCTTACGCCACTGGACTCATGTTTCACGATCGGGTTTTGTCAGTGCGGTCGATAAAAAGAAGGGTTCGTTGAATGGGCTTATCATACAACCAGTGGGGTTCAGTTAATATCGGTATCTCCAAAAAGGTTGAGAACCACTGATCTAGAGTCTAGATCTATTTTTTTTTAAAGAAATAAATCATGACAACTAATTCTTAAATGTGGTTACTAGATCTAGATAATAGATAGATCTATCTAGATCTAGAATTCCAGATAAAAATCTAGATCTAGATAGTCTTTAGCCCTTTATAGTAGTGTTTTTATTTAGACCAGGTAGATTCTATAATTTATTTTATTTCTAGAAATCTATAGACTAGATCTAGATCTAGGCCTAGAATCTAGATCTAGATCTATCTTTTTTTTCTATCTACAGTCTAGATCTAGACATCTAGATCTAGAATGTAGATCTAGATCTAAATCTAAATCTAGATTCTAGATGTCTACTCTAGATCTAAATCTAGATGTCTACTCTAGCTACTGCTAGAGTAGTCCAGATCTAGACTAGATCTAGATCTAGATCTAGAGTATTTTGCAGTAGATAGTCGAAATATAGCTCTATAGCATTGCCTGCTATTGTCAATTAATAAACTAGATTCAGATTAGGCCTAGATGTATAGGCTAGTTTTTAATATACAACAGTAAAACATCGGCCAAGCTAAAAAAATATAAAGCGTGAATAAATTGTAATTTATAAACGCAACAAATTTAAAATTAGAATACTAATGCTTAGATTAACATTTTCAAATATCGGGGCTGTAGCTCAAGTGGTAGAGCGCTCGCTTAGCATGTGAGAGGTACGGGGATCGATACCCCGCTGCTCCAGGTTTTTTTTCATATTCATGTTTCATATAGCATAATTATCCTGTATTAATTTTGCTAATGCTAGTGAGACTGCGAGCTCATATACCACTATCGATAATAATTTTGCCAGGTAGTAAAAAAAAATCGATCTACATTAATGATGTATGTAGCCCTCTAGATTGGGTTTTGTATTTTTCTAGTTACCACGGTAAGTGGAAGGGGGGGGGGGGGGGGTAGGAGTGCAGAAAATGGTGAAGCATAAAGATATCAAGTGAATATTAGGCCTACAGAATTTTAAAATCGTTTTTAACTTATTAACTATCTTGAGTGAAAGTTGAGCTCTAGGGAAGGGGTCGGCAACCTGCGGCTCGCGAGTCGCATAAAATACATGCGGCTCTTTTGATGTCAGAATGCGGCCCGCCAGTTCCGTAATAACTATATTATTTTATTTTCATTACTCACAAAATATTATACTGTAAAAAAACAACTTTAAACAAGATAAAAACAATGAGAATAGGTGGAGTAGAGCGTATACAGACAGCTGGCAGCTGCTTGGGTACAAGGCAGAGGCGTAGCTAGGGGGGGGCGGGGGGGGGGGGGGCGGCCGCCCCGGGCGCCGACCCTATGGGGGCGCCAAAAGGGGTGGGAAAATTTTTTTAAAGCTGATTTTATGCTGCAGTTTTGAATTATAAACTGTCTAAGTTAAGAAATGTAATGGCTACACGCATTTACATACTGATTTAACTGTTTTCTATCTTGATTTCTTAATGTAAAACATATACTCTTAAGAAACAGTGACCGGCAAAACCGCTTTGAAGCTTTTCCTAGATGGGGGGGGGGCGCTTTTTCGAGACTTAAAACGGAAGAATTTACACTAGATTGTTGAGTCGATAAACGTTACCACTATTAAAAGAAACCAATTGTATTAAAACGTATTGTACGATTGTTGAACTGTAAAATACGTTAGTGACATTTATCAAGATGGTGCAGGGGGGCGCTTTTAGGCTAAATAAAATAGCAAAATTACACAGGATTCTGAGTAAACAACCTTTAGCTCTCAGAAAGAAACGAATTGTACTGTGCATTGTATAATTGTGTAACATTTTTAAAAAAAAGTTAGTTACGTTAAAAACCGCTCTACAAACTTTGTCCAAGATGGTTGTGATGAGTGTGTGTGGGGGTGGGGGGGGGGGGGGGCGCTTTTTTCGCTAACAAAAATCGCAAGTATTTGTACTGGATTGGTGAGTAGATAACTCTCTTAACACTTAGTAAAGAAACCAAGTGTATTAACGCGTAATGTACAATTTCAATAGCCAGTTTTGTTAAAAAAAAAAGACGCGACTAGTTCTTTGTAAGATTCTTACGATTCTCTCAACTTCAACGTGAGAGATCAGATACTTTTGATCAGTGTTTCTTCCAGACTTTTTTCTCCGGGGGGGCACTTGAAATCTTCGGGGGGACGGGGGAGGCGGTAAACTTTCTTCGGGGGGGGGGCGGACACTGTTAAAAGTATATATTTTCTATATATAAATTATATAAATTTCATTTCGTTCGGGGGGGGCGTAAAAAATTTTCCGGGGGGCTTCGCCCCCCCCCCCCCCCCCCCCCGAAAAGATGCCTGGAAGAAACTGTGTGCGAGAAGGCAGGGCAAATCTGCGAAATCCAAGACTACGAGCTGTTAACATCCGTTGGATTCCAGTTTGTTTTCTCTAGCTTGTTTTGTCATACCATCAACCAATCAACGAAATACCCATGTCGTATTCCAATGTGAACAATAAATATTTCTGATAACTTCTTCTTGTATGTCACATGTGTGTCCTTACTCTAACAAACTTCGAATCCAACTATGTACCATATCACAACAGAGATCGTTCAAAACTAGAACATAAAAGGCTGGTCTAAACATATTAGCGTTAGCTACAAACTACCCTCTAACACAGATCAGGCTTAATTTTTTTTACTGACATTACTAATCTTTCGCAAAAAAAGTTAAACGCATCTTAATGGGAATTAAATTGTGGTAAAGTTTTAAGGAATGAAAATCATACAATGTAATTATTAAACCTTGTCCGGACTGTAGCATACACGCTTACACACACGCTTACACACACAAATACACTCTTACCCACACACAAGCTTATATATAAACACACTATCACACACACATAATTATACACACACACACACACACACATATATATATATATATATATATATATATATATATATATATATATATATATATATATATATATATATAAATATAAGCGGGGGGGGGGGGCGCCAAATTGAAAGTTCGCCCCGGGCGCCGGGAAGGGTCGCTACGCCTCTGGTACAAGGCCCAGCCCCACGGCAGTGGTTCCGTGCTTTCTACTACCGAAATGCACATTTTTTTCCAAATATTCTCAATAGTAATAGTAAAGGTTATTTTATTCAGAAGGCATTTTTGTATGGGTCAGTGGTGCATTCGACTTGAGTGACAGTTTTTTTAGTTATTAGTTTCTAAATTGGGTAGGGATGTTGCTTTAGTTACATAATTTGATTTTATTATCCTAACAGAACTCTAGCTAAAATACTTTATTATGTTTTGTTTGAAACATGTGAATGTTTTTGTATGAATAAATATTTTTCATTTTTAAACCCATTTATTTTAAATTTATTTACCTAATCCTGATCAAATACCATAATATTGAAGAACAATTGTGGAGATTATGTAAATTGTAACTTTTGGTTCTTCCAACTCATCAGGTTGCCGATGCCTGCTCTAGGGTATTCTTGCTAAAATTAATAACATTTCTGGCCAAGAGGCTTAGGATTAACGAAAGGGACAGAAATGATAAGCCACTCCAATGCAATTTGGTTATTGTAAGTTAACATTCCTGCCTACCCACCACTGTCAAATTTTCTGGCATATCAACAATCCACATCTAATTTTTTGTAAGTTGCAACAAACAAAAGGATAGCAATTTAACAAACATTCCTTTTACAATTTTCTTTTATTCTCCAAATAATCAACTTACACTAAACATTTTTTAGATGGCAATTAACAAAGTTAATGCCCTAAAAAAACTTTGAACCATGACATAAAGAATTGCTTTCCTTGGCTTGATTGTACAATCATCGTAGCAATGACACAAGATGGAACAATGGTACAGCCAAGATTGAAATTAACAACACAATCAATTATAAATTTCTTTTTAAAAGTGCATTTTTTTCCATCTATTCTCATGTTTAAAAAGTGAGAATCTGCAAAAAACAAGTCTAGAACAAACAGCATACAGAATAAAAAAATTAAATCTAGCTATTTGATACATGACCTCACCCTTATTAGATGTAAGTTTATTGAATTTAAAAATATAAACAAAATGCTATACTTGGACTGTCAGCATATTGAAAAAGCACTAACACATGCAGTTGAACTCAAAGAATTGCAGAAACCCTTGGCAGATGGTTTGACTTAGGTTGAAATTCCAAAATGAAAAGTCTAGATTAGAGTCACTTTAAAAAAAAGAGAATGTAATTAGCAGATGTGTTTGTTTCTTTTACAAGACATTCACATGATTAACAGCTCCTTACAAAAAAATCCAGTTTTGAGCCATCTCACACTTTCTTAAAAAACAATTATCTAAATGCCTCTGAGAAAGAAAATGTTAAAGGGATGAAATAAAATGATCTTATAAACTTACAACAAGAAGATTAAAAATCACAGGGGCAAGGAAATATTGGGGGTTATTCCCTAGGTCACATCCTATGTTCCAAGCACAATGTACAGGCCTAGTACTCTGCATTCATATCAAAATGATTATGCCAACCACAGTTCAAAAAGTGTCTTGTCTTTCATTTAATTCACAAACCAGCAACCTTTATTCATAGAATCATACACTACTGTGAAAAAGCAATATGGCCAACTTTTCACAGCATATCTGAAGATTTCCATCTATTTCTTTGCACAAGTTTTCACAAAAACAAACATTTCAGTTGCTTAACTACACAAGAATATATTTAACAAAACTCAACAAAATTCTATTTTGATGACTATAAAGTCTTGTGATAATAGCTGTTAGTAATTTTTGACAAAGTAATGTAAATGTATTGATGCACTTATCTATAAAAGCCCATAAATTAAAAAATAAAACTAAAACTAACTTATTTAACAAATTATTATTCCTTTGCCACATTTGAAAAGAACACACCACAACATATAAAAAAACAACCATGTGTTCATGCAAACTGAAGGATAATACATAAATTTAATAGGCTCATTAGTCAGGAAATGTATAAATGCTGTAATAAGATATTCTACAAATGAATTAAAGAGGATTAAATTGTACATACCTTAGCACACACATAATTTTTTTAAATCTACTAAATTACTAGACTTGCTTATAGTATACCCACCCCTAAATAGTGCCTGTGGATAACAATTTCATTAGACTTCATACATCCACTGATACAAGTTCTTGCATAGTTCAACATCCTAGTCATGATTGCACTTGTTAACTAATGACAACTGACAGAAACTTATGGTAAAGAATGGCCTCTCCGATAAACAAACTAGAATATTTTAAAAATTTAACAGCATGTACAGCACTGTGTATCACCAGGGGTGAAACAATTTGCATGCACACCTGAAAATCTTGTTTAGTACTTTTTAAAATCTCAGCATTGTTAAGAGATGGAACATACACAAGTATAGGTACTCTTAAACTGGATTCTTATTCTAAATTCAATGCAAGCTAGTGCCCAAGAGAACATTTGGAGCTCACAAGGTGTCTTAAAAAAATAAATTATACAACAAATGTATCTTACCAGCAAATAATTTATATGTACACATTTTCATTTTAACAACAAGAAGTGCAGAAAACAGTGGGGAATCTATTTTTTAGTAATAACTAGTTATCATTAGCAATGGTTGAAAAAATGAATACAGTGTGGCCTCAAGTACCAATTGCCCTACAACCACAACAGTAAATACTTTAATGTAACAAGATAATCCAAATTGTCTTAGATTTTTTAACCAAAATTAAAATGATTGAGTAACCTATAAATAAAAGCCTATCAACAATACAATATGGTTTTATTAGGAAGATTGTATTTTTTTTTAAAGAAAAAATTATTACTAAATGCAACAGTTATTACTATAGGTGTTTGTTAGAACAACTAATTATTACAGTGAACTCTAGCAGACTTAAGATTCATTCAGTGAAAACAAAAAAATTCTTCACAGGTGATATTTGTATGAACCAGTCTTTAGGTTCTAATTGCCATTGGGAATGAGGCCCTACTGCATGCACTATGACATCAAGTATTTGCCTGTTAGAAATAGAAAAATAATATTACAAAATGTTGTAAGCTGATTGAATAGCCATGGTCAGAACAAATCTAAGCAGCCCATTTCCACCACTTCTGGGTCTAAAACATTAGCCGTTCAACATTTCTTATAAGATAATTGCAAAATGTATGAAGAAAATTCAAAGCTGTATGCTATAAAAATAATGCAAATAAAAGCGTGTTAATTTATTCAAGGTGCAGACAAAGATTTAAAAAGCTAAGAACAAGAATAGAAAGTGAATTGTAAAAGATAAACTATGCATTCAATGTCAGAATTCTTGTCTCAAGAAGAAATTGTATTTAAAAAATCTTTAATAACATGAAATCTTTTAAATTCCTGGCTGTCTACTTCATCTTTCATCATTAACTTAAAAGACTGATTAATGAATCATTGATAGCATATGTACGAAACAATTATCACAAAAAAAAACCAACTCTACCTATATAGAACTAAAAGTACAACTGCCAAATAGTTTTAGGCTTACTTCACGATAAAACTCCCAAATTTTATATTGATAATACTTCAGCTAATCAGCTTTAATGTTTGTACACTATTGTTCTAAGCAAAAAGTTTTAACATCATATTCTCTTTTTTTGTGTATACTAAAACAAAACAAAAAACACCAACTGATTTTTGGGAAAATAAAAGCTCACTGTAAGAAATTGGCTTATACATACACAATACTAATCAGTCTAAACAAAAATCAAATTTGTGTAATTATTATCATGTTTGTACAGATCACAATACAGAAGCTGATTTTAACTAGGTCATTAGACACCTACAACTGGTCATACTCTTGCATTTTTCACAGATACTCAAGGGGTTAAAGAAAAATAAAGGAAAGAGAAAAGAATTGTCTGACCCTGCATGTCAAAGTAAAAATTTTCCAGCAATTAGGCCCAAAAGAATCGCAACAACAATGTACACCACTGGGGGAAAAGCTCGAACAGTAGAACTTGATGCAGGAGTAGGATGTGAAGGAGTAGACATTATAGATTCTGACATAGCGACTTTACGTAGACGCAAGCCTTCATTCTGGGGAGAGAGAAAAAAAATCAACTATTAATAAGTATATTATTATGAGAAAAAAAACCCCAACATTTCTAAATAAATAGGGAACTTAAACATTAAATATCCAATATAAAGCATACCTTTAACTGTTCATTTTCAGTTTTTAGTGACTGAATTTCAGCTTGGGCTTTCTTATAGTCATGCTGAAGTTTTTTCAATTCATCATTACTTGTGGATGAAGCTGTCCTCTGCAAAAAGCATTTAAGTGTAAATGAACACTGCCTTAACATTACAATGACAAATTTTTAAAAAATCTAGTTAGTTTAATAAGTGAAGAGATTTAGAATTTATTTTACAACAGTGATGGTCTCAAATTATACTACATAAAAGCTTTGTGTGTGGTAAAGTGATTAAGTGCTATCATAAAATAATTCTTTAAATTGGCAAAATTTCTGATTATAAAAAGGGAGGATAATCAAGATTCAACTGCCTTACAATTTACATGTTCTCTCTTCCAACATTTTATCAGGCTTAACTACTGTTTCTAATGCAAAAAGTAACATATTATACCATAATGTAAAGATTCATGTGTGCCCAAAACCCACAATACAGAATTATTTCTACTTTGCACAATTATTTTTATAAAATAGTTTGAAGATCAGAATTATAAATTATACCTCCAATTATATTAAAATAATTTCTTGATATCTTGGTGTTTTTATTTACAGAAGGAGAATGTTGAATAAAATAGCAGCCTTTTGGTTAGTCACAATAAAATGATTTGTAATAATTAAAATAATGTTACCTTGGGTGACTCAGCTTTTCTTGCAGTGTCTTCTAAAGTACTCTCAGACTGAAAAATATGTATAAATACAAATTTAACTGTAATTTTGTATAAATTTACATTTGCAAACAATGTGATCGAGACAAGAAAGTAAAAAACTTGAACTAGACAAACTTACAAATGTACAATCCTGACAAGTTTCTAACATTTCTGTTGAAATAGTTTCTTTCAGTTTTGCCATTTGTTGAGCTATGACTTCGCATAAACTATCTGCATCAGGGTTTAATTTCCATAGAATGGAACTAGCATCTAAACCAAACACAGAATCTAATGAGAAGTCACTGTTTGTGTTAGATGGCGTGAAAGACCCTAATAGAGATGGAAAATCTTCTTTCTCTAACTCCTCAATTTGATGATCTAAACTTTCAGTTTTTACTAAATGGCGTTCACAATTACACATCTGATTAATATAAGCATCCAAAAATGTCCCCATGGTGTTTTTGGAGCTAGATAATGTTTTGACCTTAAGCCAAAGATCAAACTTCCTTTTTTTTGTTATTAAATCCAAAAATGAGTTATGGGCATCAAGACAGAATGATAAAGAAGATTTTGACTGAGAAATATTTCCAGTTATTTTAAAATCACCACCTCTAACTCTAACAAAGATAGTATCCATTGGTTTGTGGGATTCAGCATTATTGTTAACATTACTTTGATTTATTACTTTCTTATCTAAGAGTGTTTTCATCTTTGATAGAATTGAAAAAATAAATCTAATACTGAAGTTGAAAACAATTTTTTGTCAAAGCATAAAACTTAAAAAAAAGCTAACTGTTTCAAAAAGTTTGAAACAACAGCAGAAGATGTGTGCATTCATTTAAGTTTTTATTGGTGCACACCAAAATGTGATCAGAAAATGGGAATTCCCAATCTAAAAATAAATCACTACTGCAGCACACATTAAGTAAAACTGATTTAACTGTGTGCATTTAATAACACTTAAGTTTAGCAGAATTCAGATTTTTTAACCAGAAAATAACTGCTAAGCTACAAGTTCTATTCAAAATAATAACATTAAACACTCTTTCCCTGACTCTTCCATAAGCCAAAACATCCCATCCTACGGTAAAATATTAAAACGAGACACACAGTAAGAACAGTTTTATCATTTGTTTCAGTGTAATTACAGAAAAGTATGATAAATACATTTCATAAGCACTCCCCTTACCCCATGGTATTTCCAGAGAGAACAAATACTTTGATGTAATATAAATCCTAATAATTATTTAATTGTAATACTGAATTGTCAAAGAAAAACAACTAAAAAGATTAGCAAAGAAAACAACAGATAAGAGAGTTAATACATATTTTTCAAATGATGACACTATTGAACATGTTTTCTAATGCAAATAAATGTATACATTATATCAATTTTAAAAACTAAGCAAATGTAACATGCTAAAGTGAAAAACTAATGTTTTATTTATTAAAAAAACTTATAAATAATATTTACCTTAGGGACAAAAAGTATATTTTTACAACAAATTAGAAGCCAACAATTAGCTGTAGTTAATTTTAAAAAAATATTAAAAATGTAGCAGATATAAAATGGGAGAAAAAACATTTGGAAGGTTATTGTTATAAAATTATCAAGTTTCTTTCCTTGTACACAAGTTGTAGCAAAATGGTTAACTTACCATTGCAGATGTCTGAAGATCAAGTAATTTTTTTTTAAAACTTACAATTTAATTTTTGTTTGATACTACCTAAAACAAATATTCAACGGTTCAAAGATTTTTAGACTACTACTTTAAAAAAATTACTTTTAAAAACCCCCACTATCCTAAGTACATGAATAAAATCGGAAAATAAACTGAATCAACATTGTGTTTAGATAACATATTTATTAGTGCATAATTTATCTTTTAAAATTGCTTTTACGTTATTGTTTGATTTTAGTTCATTACAGTGTAAACTATTGTGAATATCAGATAAAAAGAGTACCAAATTTACAAAACTAATGACACTGATATGTAGGCATACATAACAAAAAGTTAAAACATATGGTAAACAACTTACATAATGTGCAACTGTATCAACTGTTTTACTACTTTCTGAGGTCATAGTCTGCTGTTGCACCCCATCAGGTAATTCAAAAACACATTTTAGTTTAGTATCCATAAGGCTCTCAGGGGGTGCATCTTTCCACTAATGTAAATGAAAAATAAAACATTTGATAAAAATTCCAAAAGTTAAGAACACAAAATAGTTTTAGTTCCTCAGATAAATAATTAACAGTCAGAAATCTTACCAATACTTCGTGATTATCAACTACATTGTCAGGTGCAAACATTGACTGAACCATAAATTTATGCTTGTTTTTCTCAGTTGGGTCATAATCAAAGGGCTGCAGCATTACTGAAATTAATGTTAGACATGCTTATATTACAGCTATAAAATAAGTTAATACATAAAAAATACCAAAGACAATTTAGACAAAATGCAACACAAGGATTTCTATTCTTTCCAAATTTAATGTTAAAAAATGATTTACCTGCAACAACAATTGATTTTTTAGGTTCCAGAATACCACTGTTTGGTCTCACACAATAGCGCTTTGGAGCCGTTGTTTTTACTTTGAAACATATTCTTTTGTCTGTTGGGTTGGTTAAGTTTAAATCTGCTGTCACTACATCAGTAAAAGGCCCTGCAGAACAGAATTTTTATTTATAGTTGTTAAGCAGTCTGGTACAGAGAAAGTAATAAATAGAAACAGTTTTTAAATTCTGGTCCATGAAAGCTTAAACTTCTCTTTTACATTCTAAAGAGATTCAACAGTGACAAAGTTATAGTAGAACAGAATAAAATGTATGAAATTTAAATATGTCTATTCATTGTATTAGATTTTGAAGTTAAACAAAAATAAACAACTGTATAAAATAGCTTGGTTATTTTGGGACCCTAGAGTACTTAAATTATTGGCGCAGATGAGGTCGGCGTAGTCGGTTCAGTAAAGCTAATTATTTGAACCCCCAAGCATATGTGGCGTGATAGCTTGGGACAGCAACAAATCTAGGATAGAAAACTATAAAATCAAACAACAGATGCCTTGTACATTGTTCTTGATTGGACAAAGGCTATGTAAGCAAATCCAGGAAATGCAGCCTATATGGCCCGTAACAAAAGTTAACACTTTATTAAACAATACCGTAATTGTGTTAGAGGAAACCAAACATTTAAGAGTGAAGAAATAAAAAGGTGCCAATAATGTATTAAAGTAAATAATGAAATTCAGTAATACAAAATTAACAGGTGAAGTGGATCTTACTTGTTGCAAATTAAATACATTTTTAAAAAATCATTTGAAATAATTATGCCCTAAAAATGCATTTTATATATTATTCAATGAAAATTTATAAAGTTAAAAAGTTCACAAAGGCCATGAAATCATATGTAGCTTGAAAGAATAGTGAAAAATGGAGGGTGGCTTTATTTTAGAACTTTCATTTACGACAATGCATTAAACGGGTAAGTGTAACAGCGCAAAAAAAATGTAAAACAAATCTGCCCCAGAAAGTCACAACTTGTTTAATATTATAAATGCCAGTTTCAATGTGCAAAAGCTGCAAGGTTGATAATCCTCAGATGTATTCTCTGAAAGAAAAGCAGCTGTCATATCTATTATCAAAGCCTTACCATAACTTACTATTGCATTCCCATTACTACTAATTTCTGTTTTTAGGTCTCTAGTACTTTAGGGTATTTTTTTGTAGTATTTGCTGACATACCTTACCAGCTGTGTCATCTAGCCTACTTCATAATATTATATTAAAAAGTGTGATTCATTCAAGAAAGTATTTAAAATTTCTCAGAACTATCTGAAAGTTTGTTATACATTAGCCAATATAGTTCAGCAAAAATGTGTCTAGTAACCTATAAAAAACATATAATCTGAATGTGTGTAACAAAAAAGATGTTACAAAAATTCAAACATACAATGGTACCTCAAGATAAGAGTTTAATTCATTCTGTAACATTGCTTGAATGCCAAATTGCTCTTACCTCAAAGCAATTTTCTCCATTGAAATCGATCCCTAAACTTAACCGAACTTTAACATCGCTGCAGTTTTTTTTAACCTAAATATTAGCTTAATTTTCATCAATGCTTTTCTATTGGCTGGTCTTTCTTTATCCATTGTCATGGTTTCCCCACTTTTCCATTCAGGACATTTAATATACCTGTCCAAGGACGTCATTATTCCCTTTCAGAATGTTTCGGTTATTAGTTAACTGTCATTAAGTAGCTCTGATGCACAACCATTTGCAACTTTCTCAAGGTGTTCCTTTTCCTGGATTTTCCATGAAATGTAGAATCCGCAAATCCAAGAAATAAATAGAATTTAGCTCTAGACTAGAAATACCAACCATGCTCTCACACAGAATTAAGTAATAAGCTTACATCTATTTTACAGGACACCATCCTATATGCAAAAAGAGGTGGATAGTAATACACCCCTTACTCCTTTAATTACATTTTTTAAATTACAGACCTACATAAGACTTAAGCCCTCTAAACCATAAACTATACATCAATCTATCGACCAAGCACTCGTGTACCCCCTGGTGTGGTGACTTTTTTCTTTGTTCTATAAATAAGTTGAATAAACGTTTTTGGATGATTATAGATACCGGTGTCCGATAATGGAATCTCCTTTAAAAAAAGGGGTGTTGGGTTGTTAGTAGTATTGTAATCTCGACTAATTTTATGGTTAGAAATTAGGGTTAGGCATATGGTAGGACCAGGGTTGGGGTTAGGGACAGGGTTAGCATTGACATTAGCCAGCCATATGTGTATTTAGTTAACTACCAGTAACCTAGCACCCCTTTTTTAAAGAAGATTCCATTATCGGACACCGCTATAAACATTCTCCCACATTTTTTACAAAGTAAAATTTGATATCAAACTCCATATAAGGGCGTGCGGATAAAAATAATGAATGGGAGAAGATTCATGGATATGCTTGACCAATCATAGTAGAGTACAGTAAATCAAAATAATTCACCCTAAGTTGCAATTAACCACGTGGGCTAAGTAGCAATCTTGTCTCTACATAAAACAATCGCCCTTCTTGTTTGTTTACTTTATTTGCATACATAGGTATACTCTTTTATTTGTTGTTTTAAAATTATACAACAACATTTAGATTAATATTTGAAAATTAGCCAAGAAATATACTGTTGGAACACTACTAAACACTAGTATGTTTTATACTAAGCTATAACAATGCGTCATGACATGTCTGGCAGTTTTAAGAATGTACAAAGTCCATCCCCTTCTTCGCCTTCTCGCTATTCAACCAACGGCCAGTTTATAATCTTGTTACATCATTATGTGATAGGCTTGAACGAGCTCATCAGCCCATCTGACTGCAACGACACGTGTTAATGAGTATATATGCCCAGCTTATATGGAAATACTAGATGGCAGATGGGATAGCTGATAAGAAATCACTTAGGCCCTGTACAGAAACATTGTGCTTGACCCTATCTACACTGATGTATTATTCATGGTTGAATGAACATTGGTAATCCATGGCTCATCAGATCTTCATGCACTATCCAGCGGTGGGGAGGAATGGGGGGGGGGGGGGAAGGAGTAACTTAGTGAGAAAATCTATTAATTTTCACTTTAATAGCTTCGGATGATTTTACTTACTTAAAATGATAGATTAAAGTTGATTAGGCCTAACTAAACATTCTAGATTTTAAAAAAGTAGGCCCTGATAAATACAATCGTGCAATGATGGGTAATCTTAGCATTGAACAAGTAAAACATGCCTAGATCTATATCTAGTATTAGATACTAGATCTATCTAGTCTAGGCCTATTCAATTTTCATTTCAACACAACCATGTCTAAAAAGTCTAGATTTGCTACAAACTGAAACTTACTTCCAGTTGATAACTTCGCTACTCTCTACACTAGATTCTAGAATCTACAAACTACAATACTCTGCAGCTACATTCTACGCTAGCAAATGAATGAGCAATTATGAGATAGCTCTAGATAATTAAACATTGTGCCATGAAAACAGTAATTTACATACCCTTAAAACGTAATTCTCCAGCTGGTTCTAAGAGCAAAGCCTGTTCTCTGTTAGCCATTGTATTTTATAAAAATACAAACGAACTTAATATGAGGGGATCGCCAGATATCAGCATCAGTTCCGACCTCTTCGTGTAATTGCGCATGCGCAATACATTCAGTCTGAAAGCGAGACGTTTTTCAACGGTTAAAAAGACGAAACTATTCTATATTTCAGAAATATGTTTGTTAAAATAATACCAAAACACTCTATTATTTAAAACAAAAAAAATCAAAATATGTAGATTCTAAATCCTTAAAAGAAAAATGGATAATATATTGCATATGAAATGGTTATATATTTAGAAAATGATATCTAGATCTACGCCAATTGTCTACCTACTTTTTCACATAAAATATCTAGATCTAGACATCTAGATATAGATTTCTAGATCTAGATATTTCTAGGTCTTAGGCTAACGCAGTATCATACAATTTGAATATTATATGACTAGACTAGATCTAGATCTTTGAGTTGTACATGTATTTTTTTTAAAAATAATATTGATGTAACTGTTTGAAATGGCAAAAATTACTAAATATAATCGGTATTTGTGTTTTTAATTATCTCATTGTAATGGGATTGTACATTGTAAATTAAATGTACAATCCCATTACAATGAGATAATTAAAAACACAAATACCGATTATATTTAGTAATATACTAGATTAATGTCATCAGAACTGCTCATGAGGGATGATGTAGCCTAGCCCCTCCCCCCTCCCCTCATGTGTCTCACGTCTAATGTAGATCTATAATTTGAAATGCAATAGATGGCACAAGGGGTGTCTCTTTTTTGCTTATAGATCGAGGTCTTATTCAATAAGCCCTATATATGAAATTCGACAAGTACAAATCGTAGCACATCATCACAAATGCGTGATCTCTGAATCCTACTAGAATCTAGGTCTAGGTGTATGCCCATCTTTATTAACTATTCCCCTCATAATCAGTGTTTCTTCCAGACTTTTTTCTCCGGGGGGGGGGCACTTGAAATTTTCGGGGGGGGGGGGGGCGGTAGACTTTCTTCGGGGGGAGGGGGGCGGACACTGCTAAAAGTATATATTTTCTATATAAATTATATAAATTTCATTTCGTTCGGGGGGCGGTAAAAAATTTTCGGGGGGGGGGGGCAAAGCCCCCCCGAAAAGATGCCTGGAAGAAACTCTGCTCATAATGGCCTTTTATCAATTTTAATGCTTAATAAACAAATGCATGCAAAGGTATATGGCAGGTCAAACTGAAGATATATTCTACTATTATATAATATAGTCTATAGACCTTTTTGAATTTGTCATTAAACAATATACACATCGATTATATTTCTTCAGAAAATCAATTGTAAATTTTCTGTGCGGTACCGCCTGAAAACAACATTGAAGCTAATATGGAATGACCTATAAAATTAGTGTATTAGTAGATCTAGATCTGTATGCCTAGCATTTCCGAGGCTAGATCTTAGATCTGTTACCCGAAAAGCTATGTGCAGCTATTGATGACGTCATACCTTCTTTTTATTTATAAAGGCTTAGTTATTTTTTGAACGGTTTTTCTATTTTTCTTAAATAATTAAAAACACGATTAAAATTATGGGGACAAATGTTACATTTTCGTTTTTAAAAAATTAAATTGATAACAGATATTTTAAAAATATAAATCGGTAACAACTGTCATGGCGCATGGTGACAGTAAACAAATTTGAAGTTGGATTGCCTTTATATTTTATCGGCATATGCCTTTACATTTAAACCCACTTTTTAAATAGACATTGTTTGAAATATTTTTGCTAAACATATAGATCTAGATCTAATAACTTTGATTTATTCAATCGATAAAAACTATTTTCCCAAGCATGGACGATATTGATGACTTGTTGGACGAAGTGGAAACAAAGTTTATGAATAAAAAAACAGCCTCACCAGAAAATGTTCACTGTACTGAAAGTACAAAAGCTGTAAAAATATTGAAAAACAAACAAGATAAAAAGGGGTTAGGCATTATAAGATCTACATTTAATTAACTTGACTATACTTTTTATTAGTTTTTATGTAGGCCTAATTATTTAATTATTTATTATTTAATATTTAGTTTAAAGTTAGCCTCAGTAAAGTTGAGTAAAGTCATAAAAGTGTAAAGTTTTAAAGCCTACTTTAACTTAAGTGACTTAAGTCTTAACTTCTTAATTCTTAAGGCTTCAGGAATAAGTATTAAGTAAGTTTTTGTTAGCCTAGCGCCCTGACCTACTTATTTAAACTAGTGTTAATTATTATTAATAAACTAACCTGTTGAGTAAGAGGCTAAGGGCCTAGGCCTAATTAATAATTATAAGAGCTGACCAGCGCCGTAAGCATACACACTACACAGCAATTTAGTTGTTATATTTTTTACTTCTCAGTAATTCATAATTTGTTAATTCAACACCACCAATGCTGCGACTGAAAATATTTTGCTTTAAAACACTATCAGTAGCTTGTTTGTGGAGAACCATTATCCTCACACATTCCCCCCACCCCCCTGAAAGTAGCCTTGACGACAGTTTACAGACGACAATGAAAAGCAGAAGTTGTTATTACCTCCCCTTCAAATTGTTTAAAAACTAAATTATATGCCCATTATATCATTCCCTAATTCGACCCGCCTCTACAATTGTAAACATTTGGCGTGAACCACAGCTTACCAGACTGGTGGGGGTGGGAGTGGTAGCCGTATGACAAGAGAGTGAGGGTGGGAGCGGTTCGGCATGCTTATGTGGTATCCCGCATGGTCCCTCCATGAAGAGAATTAAATATATAGATTTATATTACAACCAGTACTACTTACTACTAAATCTCATTTAGTACCCTTTTGAACGGTGGGTGCTGGTGAAGTAGAGTTCACCTGAGTCAGTGTGGATAGCACTATACCCAGCCACTTTAATTTTTCTCCAATGTAAGTCAGGTACCCATCAAAGCTTGATGGACTCAGGGACTTCCTACAGATTCAAATCCAGGATTCAAACTCATTTTGGGTTTTCAATCAACGCTCTACCATTCTACCACAACATCCCATTAGATCAAGTACTTTAAACAGAATTATTAATAACTAGAGTTGTCTGTTTCTGCCTGTATGAAGTGCAAACCTAAAAAAACCATTTTACTCAAAATAGTCATAGCTCTGTAATTTGAAGGCTTTAATTACAGTATAGTTTTTGAAGTATCTATATCCATCCATTACAATTTCTGTGTCAAAATTTGTTACATTTACATTGAATTGCCTATAGAGGGATATGAGTAATTGAAAATAACCTGATGTTGGTTGCAAATTTTATGTTACACTGACTAACAGAGACCCATTCTGACATAGCGCCTTTTTAAAATAATGTTAGGCTCTTCTCTGAATAAACTGAATGAAATTGTAGAACTCTATATGCCTGCAAACATGTTTATAGTCTATGCTATTTTCTTTACCAAAAAGCAGTGTTTGCTGGGAAAATTGTCTCCCCTTTTTTCAATTTCTATAAATTATTTTATATTGTGCCTAGAGTACAAAATTATGCAGATACAAAACAAAATGTTAAGAATATAAAATTATTTGTTTTCTTGATCTATAAAAATAAGTGAAAAATGATAGGTTTGAGAATGTGTCAACCATTTTATGTCAATCAATAACAAAAGTTGGTGCTATGAACTAGAAAAAGTCTTCAGTTTTTATTTGCAATGCAGCTTTTTCTTAGCTGATCTTATTTTTTTCACAATTAATTCACTGGTGATAATTAGAATTGACTATTTAAAATTTTTCAATTGAACTGAGTTTAACCATAGCATAAGTTAAAGAATGAGGTAATATTGTAATACAGGAAAAAAATAATAAAGAATTTATTTTTAGTAATCCACTTGATGACCTTATAGATGACATCCTTGATATTGATGTGGACAAAAATGAACTGCATGTATGTTTTGATCATTTTTATATACAAATTCAGTAAGAGAAAAATAGCCTGATACTGATAAGTTGAAAAGTTTCTTACCTTAAATTTTAAAATTGTAAAAAAAATTGACCAATTTACTACCAACATATTTGTTTTAAATTACTGCAAGTAATACATATCTGCATTACTCAACACAGAATGTATCTTGCATCAGTATACATTGTATAAAATGGTCTCCTCAGGTGTGTAAAGATTTGATACGGTCACCCCTTCCAAATGAAGGAAATAAAAACGATCATGCAAGAAGGTAAGTGGGACATTGTGTTAACTGTAAAGTCTCGAGTTCGGAAACAACACCCTAAATGTCCACCCAGCTCTGATGGGTACCTGACTCATTGAAAGTAAAAGGGGATGAGCGTAGTGCTGATCACATTATCCCTTCATATGCAAAGATCAATAAAACATGTGAACATAACTAAGTTCATAAATGGTACTTAACTTTTAAATTGTAGAGATCGCTTTATTTTTACTTTTAAATGAGAATGATTAGAGAGAAAAAGAGAAATGTTTGAACGTTTAAATTTATTTTCTCCTGAAGGTGTTTGCCTGTGTTCCTTGGTGGCAGCTCAGATAGTATAGGACTGGGTTCCAGTGCAAACAAGAGGTATAAAGAGTTATCTCATCTTGGGCCATTTTATCATTAAATAGACATTTTGTCCTTATTACATGAATTATTTCTCTTACGCTTATTGATACTACTAACATAAATGAACAGTTGACTAAATTGGTAGGCAAAAGAATTCTCTGATCTATTTCTGTCCAAGTTCTACTTTAAATGTTTTCAAAAAAATTTTTTTTTTCAATCTTCATATTTTGTTTTAGGTTATGAAAATTCTCATTTGACATCGGTTAGTAAACTAGTATTTCATATTATTTGCTATTTTACACGCAGGTCATGTGATCAGCTGCGCTGTACATCATGTGACTTCCGGGTTTGTTTCTTTGATAACCTATCATGGAGCAAGGACACAGATTATCTCTTTCTTCGAAACAATGTCCCAGATTTGCAAAAACTGAAGTCCAGGTTAATCAGAAAAAATGGTAAGCCTTTGAGCAACAAACAAATCTTTAAAAAAAATTCGACAGGAACAACCAAGTAATAGCAGCCAAGTTGGTTCCTAAAAATATATTTATCTCTTTTAAAATGTATAGTTCATGAATATTTAGATGCCATTTCATTTTGATTTTTTTTTAAAACTCCTATTTTAGGATGTAGGGCCTACTGCTGTCAGTGTACATGGAGAAATGTAACAGAGTGTGAGGAACTCAGTGACCCCAGCTTGAAATGGGTGTGCGGCAAGCACTCATGATATGGACAGCAGCTATAGCCTGTCAACTGTGGTCAAACTTAAATGACTTTGTTTTAACTTGCAGAACTACAGACTGCCTTAAAAATTTTGATAGATGGATCCTGTAATATTAAATGTAGTGCAGTCATAATGTTTAACCACTTTTTACCAAATGTTAGTTTCTCATATTTTAGGATGTATATACATACCAAATTTAAAAAAAAAAAATGTCCTCTTATTTTATATAATTCTTTTAACAATTCTTGTTGGTTTGAGTTAAAAAATAAATAAGAGTGTAATTAATGTTGATTGAAGCCAATTTAAGAAACAGTGCAATAATTTATTTTAAAATATGACAGCTATAGATAGCTGGAATAGTTTAGCTTAAACTAGTTGGCAGTTTAATGAAGCTAATTTGTTGTCTTAGATCTTTTTGTGGAACATGAGAACATGAAATCATCCGCAAATGCAACTAATTTGTAAACATCTGTAAACTGAATTTGAGTATTGGACTTTTTGTGTTTATTTCTAATAGGTTAGTAAAATTCCATCCTGAATTGTTTAATTATCAGCAATATGTGTTCTTTTTTAACCTTGCACTATAAATAGCTATGGGTTTTGTACTATAAATAGCAAAAGGTTTGCCACTATTGTCTAAGACATCCCTTGAATATACAACCTGTGAGACTCATAGTTTAGTGATCTCATTTCATCATTATTCCAGGTATTAAAATAAATGAAAAGAAATGAATGTTTTGTTTTTATTCAATTTTGTACAAGTCATTATCTTATGTTAAACAGGATAAAACTCACCACAGATAGTACTAGTTCATGCCAATAGAATTTATTGTACAACTGTAGTAAGGCATCAAAATATGTATATTACTTAACATTCACGGACTCCTAAGTTTTACCAATTTTCTTTCTTGCTTTATGTTGTGATAACTGGCTCTACCAGAGCTTTTTCAGCCAGAAAGAGAGAACAGGAAGTAGTAATTGGCATTTCTCTCACGCATGTTATTGTGAATCTTGCATGTCACATTTAGGCTCCATACATTTTTTTTTCAAACTTAGCAGCCACACATTTGCAGTCAAATCAATCACTTCACCGCATCGCAGATACACATCACAGATAAGCAGTCATGCTTTCACCTATCACAGGCTTCTTCACAAATTTCTTTAGCAAACCGAACAAGTTTTCTATCAGTGATGGTCTCCCCTTCCTCCTCGTAAATTTCTCTTGCCTTCTGAACCCAATATTCCTGACTTCTGCTAAAATAATCTGAGATTCCCTCCCCTTCTCTACGATCAGGAGCATCATCAAAAGTAATTTCCATGCTCTCATCTGAATCTGATGAAAAATAAAAATATGCACAATATTTAAAAAAAGAAAGGTATTTTCAATAACTGCATTATTTTTTTACACCATATAAACATTATACCCTACAACCATATTAATCAGTGGTGTAACAACAATTTCATATTTATTGGTGATTTGGCAATAAATTGGTCTTTAGACCATACCAATTATAACATTAGATGCCTAACTGCGCTGCAGCTTTGCTTGGTTTGACTTACCGTCATCCTCACTATCTGGCTGCTCTGAGCTCTTCGCTGCTGCCCCTTCTGTCTCCTCGTCCGAAGAATCAGAGTCTTGCCACACCTGCAAGTTCTGGTCCTCAGCAATTATAACTGACCACTCGTCCAACTTGTGAATGTCCAGTGAGTAGAAGTCATTCAGTGTTAGCTGCTTGTCACCTTGTTCATAGATCCCTCCATACATGAATAGTCTTCCATCTCGGACCTAACACACAAAGAATGGGACATTAATTAATTACACTATAGATCATTCTTCTCTCAAACAGGAATGTCTTTATCTGAAACCCTGCAACAAATTTCAGTAAATAAAGTACATATTCATGTGGTTCACATCTAAACTAAGTTGTCTAAAACATGAACATCATCATTGGGAAGACCAAGAAGCTTGATAATGAACTAGTAATAGTGCATGCATTGGAGATATTCCAATATATAATACGTAAACATTGACAAACAGGATCAAGTACTCCATCCCCCTAAAATAAAAAATGTATTAACAAACTTTGCCCAGCCATAAAAATCACCACCAAAAATAAATCCAATGAACATACTGTTAGTGATGTGTTCATTCGTTTGGAAGGCCAAAACTGATCCACCTCCATTGTTGCTGCTGGGACATCACCTCCTGTACCAGCTCCCACAACAACTGATGGTTTGGCAATGGTGACTTTAAATATACCATCATCACCAGCAGGATCTGAACCCACTGGCGGTTCCAGCTTTAAGTCCTCTACACACTCCTCAACAACCTCCATCTCATCTTCTGCCTCACCCTCTTCTTCTTCAACCTCTTCATCATTATCTTCTGCATCATCTTTTTTCTTCCTCCTTTTCTTTTTGTCACCTAGCATTTGTTTCTTTCCTCTGAGTAGATACAAATAGTAACAGTTGATAACACAATGTCTACATCACTGGAAATTATCAAAAGTAAAACTTTCACAATGCCTATTCTCGTTGATGTTAATGTTAAAGCTATTAAATAGTAAAAAAAATGAGTCATGTCTTGTACCGGTGCTAGATAAAACAGGGGGGTTAGACAACAGGTAGTTAACACAAATACTTTCAGACACTGGTAATACCAGTGAATAATAATTCAATTAATAGGCCTAAATTCACTTTATTTTAATAAGCTTGTTCCAAACATGTTAGAAAAATCTCCCTTTATAAAACATTTTGTCATTTTTAAATCTAATCTTTTATTAAAAAAATATTTTTATTTCCTTTGTGAAAGAAATCCTTTGATAATTTTTGTGAGCTGATAACAAAACACTAAATCAAGCTGTATCTAAAAAATTATGTGCATGCCATTTGTAAAAAAAATAGCCTAATGTAGATGCTGATAACAAAAATATACTGAACAGTAAATCAAGCTGTACCTGAGTTGCTGAGAAAACCATTTCGCTTTTTCCAGGTCCAATGACCAAAGTTCATTAAAGAAAACGCTCTCTAGATCTTCATCATCATCTTCCTGAGAAAAAACAAAACAAAAGAGTACATAATATGCAACAAGGATTGTCTTCTTTTAATATAAATTATTTTTAATTGAACTTACATTTGTCAGGTTATAAAAGTAAGTAAAGTTCCTCTTACTGGTCCATAGGGTAGATGAAGTAGAGTTCATGATTTTTTACCTAGGCATGTGAAGGGATTTTGTGGTCAGCACTATGCCCAGCCGTCTTTATTTTCAATAACGTAAGTCAGCTACCCACCAGAGCTGGGTAGACTTATGAAAGCCCTGCAAGTCCAGATGAGATCTGAACTCAAGATATTCAGCTTAGCAGTCAACCCCACTAGCGCTCCAATGCCAGATAACATACCCTCCAAAAGGTACAAGACAGAGTTAAGTATCCTTGATCAAGCCTATTTCAACTACAAAGGCAATGAGTAAGTCAAATAAATTCTGTTTAAAAATGTACCTCATCATACACACCACCAAAGAGAAACGCTTTGTTGCCAGGTGCCACTGCAGCACACATGCCAGAGCGGCAAGTGGGTCGAGAGCCTCCTTGTTTCATTGGTTGCCACTTCCATTTTGGGTTGGAGTCTGATGCTCCTTCTCTTTTTTCTAAATGACAAAAACAAAACATTTATCAATTAATAAGATACATACTACAAATAGAAAAGAATATCAACTGAGAAGGAAAACTTTTGTTTTTTAGCCAGCGTAACAAAATATAAAAATTAACAGTGAAATTTGTAATAATTTAAGTTGTTGATAGAATTTCAAAAGAAAAACATTTGTATTTAACAGTTTTTCTTTTTTTATCAAGATAAAATATTTGCATGAATGCTAAACTAACTTTCTTGCATGAGAGCAAACATGTCTGTATGAGTTGTGCCCTTGTCCACATCTTTCTTCAGTCTCTCCTTGCTGTAGCCACCATACACAACTATCTTTCCCAGGTCTGGCATTGGTAACAAGACACACGCTGAGCTGGAAACAGAAGTCATGCAACACTATTTTGTGCAAAGCCAGCTTTTAGGTCAAAGGTCAGCGGCAACCTTCAGGCCAGGGGTCACAGTATCTTTTGGGGTCAGAGGTCACCCTTAGCTTTTAAAACACTTCTCAGCTCTACAGCTTTAAGGTCAAAGAACACCACATTGGTTGCATTATCTTTAAGGTCTCAGGTCAGTTTCATCCCAGGACATAGCTACAGATGGCAGGTCAAAGGTCAGTAAAAACATTCAGGTCAGAAGTCAACTATCTTGGGGGTTACAGGTCAACTATAACTAACAGGTTTTACCAATACTCAGTCATCCAACATGCAAAGACATGTATGTACATTTTCCACAGCACAACATACACACCGTGGGGATGGACCTGATCCGGATGGAGTAAGTGCTGCCCATGTGTATGTCTCCAGATCAAAACTGTACACATCATTATAATATTTATAGTCCCTGTGAAATAGACCAATACATATCAAAAATGATAAATGTTAGAACAATGTAGACCAGTTACGGTAATATCATCACTCTCATGTTTAGAATCTTGTCAAATAAATGATAAACCACATATTCACTGTTAAAATGTTTATAAGAGAAAATAAATACCTTAAACATCACCTCAATACAAAACAGGCGTAGATACCATTTCTACATTTGAAACAAAAAAATCATGCAACCAAAAATTTATTTACCTTATGTTGTCATGGAAACCTCCAAAAACAATAAGCTGTTTCTTCAGGGCAACCATTCTATGTCCACTCCGAGCTGAAGGTCCACCTGGTACCCTGAGGATGAATTGTTGTGGTCATTTTTATGGTTACAATTAGCTGATGTAACAAAGTTGAAACATCATTAAACACCTGGTAAAGAAACAATTTTTATAAACAGAAAAAAAAATATTTGGACTTAATGTCACACAGTACAGGTGATCTGTACTTTTACCATTATTTGTGAAGTATTATTTCTAAGAAAATTGAGAGATGGAAATAAACCATGGATCTGAATTCTAATCCTGCTATACAGGACAGATGTTTCCTCAATATAAGCTTAACAACCTAAATATTAAACACAAATACCTGCATTATTCCTCCAATCTAAACAATGAAAAAGTAAACAAATACCTACTTGATCTCCTCCCATTTTTTATCTCTGAGATGAAGGAGCCAGAGGTCTTTGTAATGGTAGAACTGGCTCTGTGTGTGGCTGGAAAACTCTCCCCCAAAGACCCACATTTGACCCCCTTGGTGTGAGACTGTCACTGCCTGAATGTACACAGGAAAAAAGGATTAAGATCAAATCACTCCTTACAAATCTTAATTGTTAAACCATTATCTAATTAACCTTTACATTTTTATCTGATTACCCCTTTCTTGAATGACACTTTACACAAGTGACATTAGACTAATTGCTCCTTATATTTCATTCTTTACGCCTTTATTTAATTACTCTGTTCACCTTCAGCTTATTACTAACATTTCTTTCAGAGCTATTTCATTTTATGATTCTTTACACAAGTAGTTAATTAGTTTATATACCTCACATTAGCTGTTATGCCGTGATTTAGTAAATTACTAATACTGAACTGTAAAAGAGCTTGAAATATGTTCTTAAGGTGCTTTGTATTTAAATCTAGAAGACAACCTTTTATTTGTAAAAGTTTACCTGGTGTGCACTGCGTGGTGGTGGAGCATTTGGTATGGATATGTGGAGCCATTCATTCTTTTTTATTTGATAACTAAACAAATCATTGTAGACAAACATCTAAAGATAAAAATAAACAATTCTGCAAATTATAAAAATAAAATTTAAAGGTATTTTTAAAATAACTGTTCAAAGTTAGGTAACACATTGTCTTGCTTGATTTCTAAACATGTACTTCTATCTAGAGTCTTATTTTACAAAGTCTTAGCTAAATTATTAAGCTGTCACAACTTAGTCTTCAAACAAGTTAAAATGAATTACTTTGTTTCCAGTAAAGTACTCTCCACCAAACATAAGTAGCTCCTCTCTTTCAGGATGTGAAACTAATGATATGTTGCACCTGAAACAAATTTCTTTTGGTTTAATCTTTACATAACCTGTGATAAACTAAATTGAGTTAGAAACATTTTAAAATTTCCACTTTTTTACTATATAATGTTGAAGTTCAACAAATATCTAGGATAAAACATAATACAATATTTTTTAAATGCAGCTTGGATGGAATGTAGCTATTATTGTACTAGTTTTGCCCAAAAATTATTCCCTGACTGTGACCATACCGTGGTGAAGGTGGAGAACATTTTTCCTCGATTACTTCAAGTTTCTTTCTATCTTGTTCTTTAAATTCAGCGATAAGCTTCTCAATGTCCTCCTAAGAGAAATAAAATGAAGCAAAGTAGTGCAAATTTAATACCCCTTTATAAGAAGATGCTATTGGTGGTGACATTGGTCGACCTATAAATGTATAACACATAGAGTGGAGAATTAACCCCAAATCTTGAACTACATACAAGTGTCCTAACTTCTTCTTCTTCTTTGTTTTAAATTTAGTATTGGAAAGGATCCCCCTTCCAAAACACTTATAAAGGATACGTATCAAGTGGTTTTGCGCCATTGAGGCCATTGACTCCGATTTCAGCCTGCTTTTCTTTTTGGATTTGCTACCATAGCCTTTGTCCAACCAAGAACAAACTACAAGGCATCAGTTGTTTGATTTTGGAGTTGTCTCTCCTAGAAGAGTGGCTATCCCCAGCTAACGAGCCTCATCTACTGGAGTGTTCGAACTTGAGACTGTTCTGTTTAGCTACCTTGAGCTTTACCGACTCGACCACGTCGACCCCAAGTGTCCTAAGAAACTCTATGTTTTAGAGACAAGCTAAGGAGCCTTGATACTTGAAATAGGCTTGAAACTTATCTTCTCCACCAACATTCTCCTTAAGCCTCATGTTCAAGTCAGCTCTTTTCCAAGGTAAATAATTAAGGTCTACATTATAAAACCAGTTTATTTCTTTCATTTCTTTTTATTATGTTTTTATACATTTGACATCTTTCCTTTTCCTTATTCAAAACAGCAGGTAGGAAAAGCAACTGAGTAACATTTTGGTAGCTGGAGTCATGCTAAAACTAAGAGTAAGACAAAGAGTAAGACTAAGACTAAATTTAGTAAACTAAGAGTAAGACTCTACTCAAGATCTAGATATCTAGTGTAAGTCGAGACCTAGATTATTACACGATTTAGATGGTTTTAGATACAGATGTCCGATAATAGACTCTACTATAAAATAGTTGTGTTGGGTTGTTGGTAGCATTGTAATCTCGACTAATTTTATGGTTAGAAATTAGGGTTAGGCCTATGGTAGTTAATGGTAGGACTAGGGTTGGGGTTAGCATTTTAGTGATTAGCCAGCAAAATGTGTGTACTTAGTACATTTTGAACTGACTACTCGGAAAAAGATTTTTCTCCCCAATGTCTCCACTTAGTCTGCAAAAGATAGTTCTGCGCATGCGCAGTGACCAATGGCTAGGGTTAGGGATAGTATTAGCCATTAGGGCTAGCCTAGGGATAGGATTAGTGTTCTGCGGTTGTAAACACACGCATGCGCAGTAACATCGCGATGGCAAGTCGTAGTTTCTCTCCATTGCGCATCTTTTTCCGCCTAGCAATGGTCTTTACATTTTTTGTTAACTACCAGTTAATACAGTTAAAGTTAAAGTTTAAAGAGTAACCAACACCCCTTTTTTTTTTAAAGAAGATTCTATTATCAGACACTGGTATAAAAATTCTCCCTGCGATTTTTATCAATTTTTTATTTGCCGTGGTGGCATGATGTGATGATGGCAATACTTGAATACTATGATAGTATTCTGATAGCAATGATATATTGATCGTACCCTGATTTTGCGGCATTTGCATTTTTTGCGGTAGAAGTAAGTAAAGTAAAGTTTAGTAAAGTTATACAAAAAAAATTCAAAATCTTATTCTTACTTCACCCTTTACGGCCAGTTCTTTTTTAGAACGCTTTTCTGCTTTCTTCTCTGTCTTCAACTCTGTTTTCTCTTTTCCTTTCCCTTTTTTTTCTTTTTTGTTTTTCTTTCCCATTTTTGTGTAACAACTTATCTTATTTTTGTTTTCTTTAACGCATGTAAAAACTGTGTTGGTTTCGAAAGTGTAACCACCTTAACTTCCGCTTCCTCAAAACATTAAAAAACCCACGTGCTACACTAGTTTCGCGCAAATTGTGTTACTGCGTTCTAAATCGGTTTCCCTCTTTAGTGCGTGACTTCTTTTTTTACTGTAAACCGATGTAAAATTATGTAGTTTTCAATTGTCTCTACATAAATCTGAAGTTGTTACGATATATTTAACTTGTTCTGCTAAATTTGTAAAATATAATCGAAATAGTTGCATTACATTATTTTTCTAACTTGAATAGATAATATTTATTGTTTTAATCTTGCTGCTATGCTCGAGGGGCAAATAAAATACATTTCTCGGCTAAGCTACGGTGAAAAAACAGGCAAAATAATAAAATGTATACATTTGCGGCTAAGTAAACATAAATTAGAATCCGACGTAACCATATTTTATGATATATTTAATGATCCAAAAGAATTACCCAAGTGAATTAAATAAATACCTTTTCGACGTTTTACGAAATTGAAGTTCACGGAGAAGATGAAGTTTCTCAGGACTCTGTATTGGATCGATCGATATTGTGGTAAGCACTAAGCCCAGCCGCCACGGGACCGCCTTGTCTGAGATCAACACCACCTTTTATTTTTACAAACACTCTTGGGGGGGGGGGGGGGGGCTTTTGTGACAAGGGAAGATAGAGAAGGGGTTTAAGAAAGTGCAACGATACACTTTGGCATTAAAACATGCGATAACTTTTTCACACTGAATTTTATGAGCTATCTCGTATTACATAATGTAGACTTTTTGTTCATTATTTTAAACATAGACTTAAGCCTGTTACATTTTATAGTTTAAATATCAAACCAATCATTGTTCGATTAGATCTTAATCATTAAAAAACGTAAACCTGATTTCAGGAAAAAAAAACTTCAGCCATTTTTGTTTTTTGTAGCCAGAACGAAAAATATGTTAGGATTGCTGTAGCTTGTCACTACTAAGAACAAAGTGATACATGAACAAACACTTAATATGCGTTTACGTGTCTCATTCAGTGTTTTTTCTAGATCTTTTTTCTCCGGGGATGGGGGGTGGGGGGCACTGGTAAAAGTATATATTTTCTATATAAATTCTATCTCTTGGGGGGTGGTATTCATCATCACTGCCCTTCATCTCTCGCTAACCAAAGCTCTCCAGAGTTCTCTGTCCTTTGCCATTTTTTCAACCTGACTCATGGTGAAGCCCTTGTCTTTGTAGTTTCAGCCTCAAGGTCCCATCGTCAGGTGTTCCTTAGGTCTTTCTTGGTCTGCCTCTCCTCCTCCTGCCTTGTGAATTCCAGGTGAAGGCCTGCCTTGTTATGCTGTATACAGGCTTCCTGTGTGTGTGGCCAATCCATTTCCATTTTCTCTGGAGGATCTCTACTTCAACTAATATCTTCATTTGTGGAAAGTTTTCCTGTTGTTCCCCATAGGTGTGTGTTGCAGATGGTTTCAGTTCAGAGGAACCTGAGTATTTATCTGAGGCTGCTGTTTATAAAAATCTGGACTTTATCAATTATGGTCTTTGTTGTCCCCCAAGTTTCTGTCCAATACAGCAGCTTAAAGGTGCACCTTGGTGGCCAAGGTTAGCTCACTGAAAGCCCGGATGTTCCTTCTCTGCGTGAAGGCTGCTCTTGCTTTGCCGATCCTCACTTGCTGCATCTCTCTCGCCCTGATACTTCAAAATACTATCTAAATATACATATGTATATATGTGGGGGGGGGGGGGGAACTTAAAGCCAGGAGAAAATATCTTAAAGGAAAATTGGTTACAGTAAATGTATTGGGTAGCTAGAAGCGTATTGTTTTAGTCAACTTTGGCTATAAACGGAAAGTTTTGTGTGATAAGTTGTTGACTTCTTTGTTTATTTGTGTGTGTGTGACATTTTTGTACCATAAAAAATAATCGCTAATGGAGTGGAATAGGATGAGGTCGAAGGTTTCAAGTAGGTTACCTCGGCAGCTAATGGCAGTAACGAAATGTAAATCGCCACCAGAATAGAAATAGAGACCCAGACCTTCAACAAGCTCTTGAAAATGTCCACACAAAAAAAAAGCTTATTGAACATAATAGCCAAAATGAGACAGACTCTACCTAGAAATAGAAAGGAGGAGAGGTCACAAACATTGGCATGATCTCAAGTGGCTTGCAAAGACGGATTCGTTGCTGCTTCACAGTAAGCCTTCTCCACCGGGAGAGACGAAGATTAAGTATATAAATTCATTTTTTTAAAAATCGTTATTGTGTATTTTTACCACTATTGTAAAAATGTAATGTATTTTGAGCTTCAATAGTTTGGTAAATAAACAATATTTTAAAACAAAAGGCCCAAAAAAGTTATTCGTCGCCTTCATTCAGTGACGAAAATAAAAACAAATATTAAAATAATATTGTGGAATTAGATCTACCAGAAATTTATGCAAATGTCTCGATCTTTTAAAACGGTATACAAACTCTTTCAGAGCTACCAATCAAAATATTTAATTGAAGAGTATTATATACAATTAATGGTTGATGTCTTGATTATATAGTCAATCAAAATTTGTTTTTGAGAACAAAAGACAAAAACAGTGTTTCTTCCAGACTTTTTTTCTCCGGAGGGGGGGGGGGGGCGATCAACATTTTTTCAGGGGGGTGGACACTAGTAAAATCCATCTCGTTCGGGGGGGGGGGGGGGAGACTTTCTTCGGGCCGAGCCCCCCCCCCCCCCCCCCCCGAAGAGATGACTGGGAGAAACTCTGAACAAAAGGCGATTCAACCAAAGCAATGTCAAGGTTACAAGACTATTACAAGTTTACAGAAATGTAGTCTCAAAGTAAAAATATTATTTTGAAGTTCTACATTTTTAAAACTAATATTTTAAAAACATGAAGGCGTACGGCTACTTAGAAGTAGAAGACATAATTATGCTGTTTATTAATCTTAATCGTGGTGTTGATGTAGTTAAATCATCTTTATGTAACATAACATAGCATAATGTCTTAGGCCTCCATCTTTTTCTTTAGTACTGCTTCGAATTACCACTTCGTGCATTAGGTCAAGTAATAAAATTTGCCGTCTCGACCACGCGTGTTTGACAAAAAAAAACCTTAATAAAATAAAGCTTTTGTACAGCTTTTTCTAACCAATACTGAAAGTAAAATAATTTTCATCCAACTTGACAAATAGAGTACGCTTCTCGATTAGTAAGTACCCTGCAGTGTTTCTTCTAGACTTTTTTTTTATCCGGGGGCACTTGAAATTTCCGGGGGGGGGGGGTGGTCATTGTTAGAAGTATATATTTTCTATATAAATTCCATTTCGTTCGGTGGGGGGGGGGAGGGGGCGGAGCCACCCCCCAAGTGATGCCTGGAAGAAACTCAGGTTCCCTGCTTCCAACAATGTTGAACCAGCTTTTCAGCATCTTTTTTATTTTTAAATACTAGCACACAACTGATCAATCCACAATGAGGCCAGCTTTACATGGTGTAGAAATTTGACCAATGAAACTCCCTTTGTTGGTTGTGGCGTGATTATTTGGCACGGCGTAGTGGTATAGGCGATGCGAATACATGCTTTCTTAAATTAAATATGAGTTTTGATGAACATCCACCAGAGGCTTCAGCAGCTGCGAGCAAGGAAGTTGTAAAATAGCTAACGTAATATCTTGGCTAAAATTTAGTATACAGAGTCTACTCCTCAGATAAGCTGAAAAAAATGTAGTTGGCCTAATCGATCACGGAATTAAAAAACACAAAGCACCTAAAAAACACGGTCGTGTAGGCTTCATCCAAGTAGACATTTAGACCTAGATCTAGATCTAGTCCAGTTTCATATTTATTTTTACTTACACTGTAGACTAGACAACACTGTGGATAAGATAAGCATTCATGTCACGCTTACGTTATCATACTTACTTTTAAATTAGATTAACCGATTCTTACTTTTCTCCCTGAAAAAAAAGGTATGAAAATGTTTAAAATAGTAGTATACTTTTATGAGAGGGATTACACTGTTATTGCTATCATCATCGATTCATGTAAATATTTCACAGAGAAGGGATTTCAAGGTCATGCGGGGACAATGTTCAACTGGCAACAACTGAACTCACCGAGGTCAAATTTCAAGGATCAGTCTTTGACCTTAACTGTCCTCAGGGGCGGGTCATTCGTTACGTAGTTTTTTTTTAAATTTTAAACATTGCTTATTTAGGATGAATATAAATCAGAAGCATTTAAAACATACAAATTCAACATTCGATTAATTGAGAAAATGAAACTAAACAATGATGTTTATTTACGGTTATTAAAATAATGTAATTATAAATAAACTCCATAGTATTCTGAACATATAGGCCTATAGGATCTTTATATGAATCTAACAACAAAATAAGGGTTTACAGTAACATAATAGAATTAAGGAGGTTCCCACTTTATCATTATAAATTTAAAAAATAGTGGAATAAATATTTTCAGTAAACACGAACGTTTAATAAAACAATTAATTCATAAATTGTTTATTAGTATCATTTATATTTAACTCTAAAACTAATTTTCAATGCTTAAGTTTTGGTTTTATATCGTAAAAGGAATGAATGGTCATTGGTTAAGAAGTGTGATGCCCGGATGAGTTATCTGCTCTCCGATGTTTTCAAGGAATCTTACATGGCAATTTAGTTTCAGGGAGCATGATTGATCTAAATTTATGTTTTAGATAGCGATTCGAGTCGCCCACGACAATTTAAGTTAAACCTTGCTGACATCATGGTCAGAAAAGAAGATTTATGTGACTGGTTTAGAAACCTCCGTCCATGTAAAAGGTTGGATTACATGTGTGGGTTGCTGCATATGTGTCTCCCTTATGAACTACGGTTTATCGGCACAGTTCTAGAGGACTTGGCAAAGAAAGATTTTCACTACCTTCGTGATGCTGAAATCAAAGCAAATCAACCAATTGATATATCTAACAGAAATTCTGTTAGTTTGTCAGACGAAAAATTGAGATCTCAACTTATTATAGCGTTAGCACTTTTAAACTCAACAAATTCATCTTGTGCTGAGGTAATTTTTGAAATATTGGATAAACAGTTTGACAGCCTAACTGGATACTTTGACAACAAGAAGGTAGAAAATGAAATAAAGCTTATATTGACAATGGCATCACACCATCCAGCTTTTAAGTTTTATCAGAAACTGAAACTTGGTGAGACCTTGAATAAGGTTGAAGAAGCTTCACATGAATCAATGGTCAGTACCAATAAACTTCTGTCACATAGCACTCGATTTAGATTTAGACTTTTAGTTTATATCTAGATCTAGAGCTAGACAAGAACCACCTGTTTGTTAACTTTATAGCCACTTTGTAGTGTTACACCTCTTGTAGTACTAGATCTAGATGTCTTTAGACTTTAGTAGACTCTTCGACTCTCATACTCGTTTTAATTATCTCATCATAAAGTCATAAAGTAGATCTAGATCAATAGACCTATAAGCCTAATCTTTATAAGTAACTATTTTTTGGCTACTCAATTTAGATCTAATTATTAGATATAGGCCTAGATCTCTATAATTGACATAAAGTAAGCCACTTTTTAAAATACTTTTTTTACTATAATATAATAATATAACTTTTTATAAGAAACTAGAGCACAATTTGGACATTAGACTAGTCATTAGGGCCTTTTACTATTTTTTAACTAATACTTATAGGCCTAGTCTTTCTTATTTAGTATTTCTATTTTCAAACATCAATAAATAAATTAGTCAAACCTGGACCTAAGGATCTCATATCCCCAAGATAAAAAAAAAATCCCTTGAAACTAAAGATTTAAGATAGCTGCAGGCTAGGTACTGAGCTGTGGACAAGGCACTTTAGACAGTAGTAGTGTAAATTTATTAAGATTTTTAAATGGAATAGCACAAGTCCTTAGCTTAGGTATGATTTTATATTTGGGGTAAAAAAAAGTATAGGATTAGGATAGTTAGTGATGAGGGTTGTGCTATGGATTCCTACTAGCAAAAACTGCTTTAATAAAACTTGAATTACATAGGCCTACATCTTTACAGTTACACATCTTTTGGGCCATTTATTTGGTAGATTTTAAAAGTCAAACATAAAACATTATTTCACTAATTTAAAAAAATTAGGAATAAATATAATTTAATTTAGACTTTGACATTAGGCCTATTTAGTTATCTAAAAATATAATTAAAATTATCTGTAATCCTACTAGTATGAGGTTTTTTATAACTTTACTTTATTTAGCTTATTAGTGGTTGAAACATCTTAAAAAGTTTGTCTCTATAGATAGTTTGGACCTACTAGGTAAAATGAGGCTGTTTACTTACACAAACATTTGCTGCTCCTAATCATAATTATCAGAAAAACCCTATATAGATTTAATTGCTAAAAATCTAAACAAAACTAACATTTTTTAAAATAACTTTCCTACCAGTCAACACATACTTACATATTTTGAAGACATTTAAAAATTAAGTGGTTATACAACTCACCTATTGGTTTAGCTATCAAGTATATAGTTTGGACTAAGGTTTCTGTAGTGTAACAGTGCTTCAAATACTTCCTGTTGCTGAATGAAGTACCTTACAATATCATCTTTTAATATATTTTATGCTTGTTTCAGCCCAACGAACTGGAACTAGATTTCTCTATACCACAAAGACCTCTAGAACCTGATGTTGAAGGTATAATTCACAGAAAATACTAAACTTGATTTAAAGTAACTAGAAACATAATATTAAGTGAAATAAATAGGCCTTTATACAGAAACCTATTATTTTAATGTTAAACTGTTAGTATTGAATCAATGGTTTTTGCTTATTAATAGTTTTTAAAATTGTTTTTTAGTGTCTCTGAAAACTATTAAAATAATTGATTATAAAGAGGAACCACAGAACAAGAAGAACTGCCCTGACTATCGGATACAAGTAAGAAAAACATGTAGAAGTATTTTTGTTGTAAATTAGAATGAATTCATGGCTTGCTTCAGGTTAAAACATGTATGAACATTTAGAGCCCTAACACATTTTCTTGTGTTAACAGACAACTTGGTCTAATGGTGATACCACACAAGTTTACATGACTTACAAGCAGCTACAGGAGCTACACAGACAGGTAAATGTTATTTTATTGGATAAGAAATGAGATACAATTTTTTAAAGTTTTGGATAAAATGTTTCTAGCATCAGGTTAGCCGTACGTAATGTATTTTTTATGTTAGTAAAATCATGGGCTTGTTTTGTTTGCTTCAAACACTCATTTTGTTTTTCTTTTAATTGTAAACTGTAAATATATTTATTTTTATGATAGTGTATTAAAGCATTTCAATAATTTTCTGGGTTTAATTAAAACTCAACTATTTTTAAAATGTTTAATCCACAGCTACTTCATGCTTTCCCAGAAGAGAAGAAAAAACACAATTCTGTACCTACATTTGCAGGTAATGAAGAAATAAAAATGCTTAATTTAAAAAATCCCATTATCTAGTGATTTAAACTTTTAAGAGATTTTTTTCTAAGAGATAAATAGTAGTGCTTTTATGTGAAACCATGGCTATTATTTTTTGAGTGAAGTTTATGTGAATTTGTTATGATTAACTCGATTGCAAGCATGTAATTTATAATGAATAATACCTCATATAATCTTAAAAGTTTGCACACTAGCTTTAAGAGTATTTTAAAAATTTAATTTTCTGATTATTTTATAGCTGTGAAGGAGCCTATACAAGAGCAAATGCAGTCTTTGAATGTATATCTTAGGTGAGGTGTTATAATAAACAAATTATAGCCTATATATATCTATAATTAAATTTTTATGTGTTATACATCATTTTAAGGTGCCTAAACCAGTCTTTAGAAATGTAACATAAGTAGATATTTAACCAATTATTACTTATTAATTTATTAAAAATTTTTTGTTTTTGTACAGAACCTTAACTTGTACTGTTTTTTCTTTCTTGCCAGTCACATAGCCAAAGCTCCAGCAAATATTTTCAACAGATTTGGAACCCTCTTTCATCAAGCAACTTGTCACTCTCCATCATTAACTTGTGCAAGCCAAAACCAGCCTCCCCCACAACACTCACTAAATTACCAGCCTAGTCCCTCTCGAGGAGGCAAGTATAACCTATGAAAAATCATTGAAAATATATTTGACTTGTAATTATTTCTAGGAAATTTTTTACCTGTAAGAAAATTATATAAATGTCATTTTTCCAGATCAAACATATGACCACCATCATAGGCATAATGTACAGAGGTAAGGAGTATTAACATTTTTAATATAGTCTTATTATATGCATGCTATATCTTAGCTTAATTCAGTAAAATCCATTTAGCATTTGTGTATGTGTCGGACTACACATTATAGGTTAACTCTTTCACAATGTTGTTTCTACGCCTACAGCAGAATGCAGGCCAACACCTCACCCCCCAACCAGATTTTCCAGGGACCAGTTTCCAGTACCAACTCTCCTGACAATTCACGCACTTCATCCCCTGCTTCTTCTTCAACTGTAACACCTGGCAGAGGTAGTCACAGGAGCAAAACTTCCAACATAGAACTGTCACTGAATCAGCTCTTACTTCTGCTCAATCTGGAAAAGTATTCTGACAATCTTAAAGAATTTACTATAAAACAGGCAAGTTTTTTTTTGGTTGTGGTTTGGTCTTCAATAGCTGGTCACTGTTTACTACCGTTGGCTGCTCCTCTGCTCTGAGTTCTTTTTTCCCCACATATTTGGTCACAAAATTCAGAACCCCATTCCTCCCTTAGGTGCACATGGTATCAATAGACCCAAAACACTAACATGACACAATACTGTACTCTTCCTGTTCACATTTCGTTTTAAAATATTTGAAACAATGTAAACTGTTATTCATGATTCTATTATTATAGCTTGACACAGTCTATATAAAGATAATATGACCTAAAGTACCATTTAGTAAAATAAACGTGTGTTTTGATCATTTGTGTTGTCTAGGTGATATGTATGAGCAAGGAAGACTTTGCCAAAGCTGGATTGCCACCAGATGCTCAAAGTAAACTGAAATCTAAACTTGATCAACTTAAGTGAGTTTTGTTAACTTTCTTGCCAGCATAACAGTATTTTCTAGTTAATTAATTCAGACATGCCTACTGGCCAAAAGCGGAATTGTTCCGTATTTTAAAACAATTGTCTAGTTCTGTCATTCTGTTTTTGACAAAGTTTTTTCCGCTTTAATTTAATTAATGATCAACACATTAGTGAAAATGTAGAAAGAAAGCAAATCAATTGAATTGAAAAAAAGAATAGGGAAAAGTGATTATTTCTCTGTCACATTTCTGTTCCCTTGATTACTTGAAATAGGTAGAATAGATAATGTGGTAAAGTTAGCTGTTGAGATTAGGCGTCATTAAAAATAAACATAATTTTTATAAAGTATTCTGAAGAAATGCAGAAATGTTCTTTTTGGCATTTGTAATTGAATTGTACATTTAATATATTAGTTATATAAAATTATGTAGGAAAATACCATGAAATTATAAAATGAAGCACTAACTACTAGATCTAGTTTAGATAATCTGATCTAGAATCTAGTAACTAGGAGGAAATAGGTAGCCTTAAATCTTAACTAATTACATGCGCTTTAGCATATGTTGTTCATATGGCTTAGTACATAGCAAGGTAGGAAAATCCAAAGTACGTTAAGATAGCATCAACTGTTAAATAATTGTGTTTTAGTAATGGGGGGGAATGTTCTTAGGTTACTGATTAGCCTACATTTAAAAAGAAATGTGGGGTCGGCGTGGTCGGGTCGGTAAAGCTCATGGTTGCTAAACCGAAAAGTCTCGAGTTCGAACCCTCGTGCAGATGAGGCTCGTTAGCTGGGGACAGCCACTCTTCTAGGAGAGACACTCCAAAATTAAAAACAACTGCTGCCTTGTGGTTTGTTCTTGGTTGGACAAAAGGCTATGGAAGCAAATCCAATAAGAAAAGCAGGCTGAAATCGGAGTCAATGGCCTAAATGGCGCAAAACCAGTTGACACGTAACGCTTAATTGTGTTGGAGGCGTGGTCGAGTCTGCAAAAAGCTGATGGTTGATAAATTCGAACAGTCTCGAGTTCAAACCCACTGGCAGATAAATCTCGATCCCCTTCAACACTAATAATTAAGAACGAAGAAGAAGAAGAAAAAGAAATGTAAGCTGACATTAAGCAGTATATAGATGTCGCATAGAAACTAGCTATATATAACTACTAAACACTATTTACTTATGCTTAAATCTACTGTGCAACTGTGTGTAATGTCATAAAGCTTATTTTGATTATTTATTTTTGGTTTAGCAAAGTAGCTTAAAATTCCTCTTCATGTATTACTGTTCCTACTTTTGGTTTCCAGGGGTAGGCATGTCTGTTAACTTTTAAGGGTTCACTAGTTTTGAAGTTGGTTATGATCGTCTATATATATTCTGCTTCCAGTCAGCCAAGCCAAGATTCCCAGAGCAGTAGCACGGAGATTTTATCTAAGCTGCCACCAGCTGAGCCACACCCTGGATTTCCACCTTTTGGGTTGATACATCCCTACTATATGGTGAGCCCACCTTACCACCCATATGTTCAGGGGATTGCAACCTACCCCTCCCAGCATAGCCATTTAGGCTTGCTGCCATCACCCTCTGCCCCACTGGGTGAGCCTTCGGTTAATGCTGAGACAAGTCCACCAGCCAGTCCCCTGCTGCAGCAAACGTTGTCCTTGGAGCAGATTCAAGCCCAGGGCCAAGGAGCTTTGGTACCTGTGATGTCACCCCCTACAGCAATGGCTGATGTAAAAGGGTTGAAACAGTGGCAACATCCATTGGACAGTTCAGGCTCTGAAGAAGACAGAGGTGGCGGTAAGTCAGATATAATATTTTAAATTTTAGATTACAAATATATAAAATGGTTATTGTAAAGTAAAGATTTCCTTAAAATTTCTTCTAAGGATATACAACTTTTAGCAATATAGCTTTCAACCCCAAAATATTAAACTATTTGCATCCCTCAAACATAATTGTACATTTTGAATGCAGTTTAAGTGTTTTTACTTTTGTTGTTCCAGCTGCAACTAAAGGAAAAGGTAGAGGGAGATCACCACAGCAGTCTCAGTCTATGCCTCACATAAATCCAAATACAGCAACAGTGTCTGCCATTGACGATGCTAAGCTCTCTGGAATGACAAATTCTCTGTCAGCGCCTCATGCACATTCAGCACTAATCAGTACTGAGCCTCGGACAGACACTCCCCCTCCGCCACCTTCCCTTATTGTTCCTGTGGGTGCCACACTAGTAAATGGTTACATGTCCGACCCACCTCCGCACCAGTTACCATGCCCTTCAGTTATACCAAACGCAAGGTCAATGATGCGATCGTATAAAACAGCACAGCCAACCCATACTGGCCAAAAAAATTTGATTCCCATGCCTCAATACGATGTCCAACATCAACCACAAGGTATGGGCAAAAATAATGTGAGTAGTGGAGCAATCCACCACTCTAACCTGATTAATATTCATTCCTTAAATGCTCCACCTCCTGTTTCATCTGGTTCTCAAGTAGTGTTGGTGGCAACCAATCCTCAAACACACCTGCAGCAAACGATACTACCACCATCTTTGACAGAAACCGGTAACAATTACGGTTACTATCTCCCACCTTACCATCGGATTGCTACTTCTGTTGCCAATTCACCTGCCATAATGACAACAACACAAACGCTTGGACCGCCTCATTCCCCAGCCCCTGCAGTCAGTGCCATGTGCACAGAGCAGGCCCAGCAAGTCCCATCTATAGGAAATTCTGAGATGGTTGACCCCAGCAGGCCGGATGGACCTACTCCGCCAAGCCACACCCCACCTAACCACAATGTTGCCAAGCCTAATGCAGATTCTGGGACCCCCAGCCCTCCTCTTGCTTCCAATAGCAACAAGCAATCAGTTAATTCTGAGATACCTCCCAATAGAAATATGTCTATATACCTTTATCAAAATGGATATATGAATATGCCTTCTCTTAACCATTACTTTCATCAACCAATCCCCCAGCCTATGCAGCAGCATTTTCCTAATGGATTACAATCTGATGTAATTTGGCCAGGCAGATTTCCTAGCCAGATTGCACATGGCCAAATTCCATTTATTTTAGGAAATTCAATGTATCAACCTTTTAATCCTGCCATTAACCCTACAGTAACCAGTAACTCAAGTGTTCCTAACCCAGTACCCCCTAGTGTCCCAGTTAGTGGTAAAAGTGTCTGTTACAATTGTGGTCAGGCAGGGCATAAGCCATCAAAATGTGAAGAGAACACAATGGAGTCTATATCAAGTAAGTTCTTGTCTTTATTCTTGCTTCAAGTTTTGTTTTATCCTAAATAGTTAAGATGCAAATAAATAGTTAAGTTACAGATAATAATAAACCAATCAAAGATCAGCTGACTAAAATAAATTGCTTTGCCAAAAAATTTTCATTGAATTTTTTTCTCCAGATCCATTTCATCTAGACTACAAACCCAAATCAGATTCAGAATGACCCAGGCTCTTAAAAGACCTTGGTGAAAATATAAAAAAGCCATGGTCTCCTGCTGATCCCATAGCCGTTCTAGTTTTTATGTGATAATCATGTGCTCAAAATCCACTGGTCAAGAACACACAGATAGTGAACGTTCTTTGGTTATATTAACCATGTGTGGCTTGGAATTTTGTGAAGAAACTAAAGAGCAGGAGGCTTTAATCACACCATGCTACTCTAACTGGACTCAACTGCTATTGTATATTTGGAAAAAGATAACCTTAATCTGTATTTGGTTATTAGTGGTCATCTGGGACTTATGTGGTTAAGTTTCAAATACAATTTGGATTTATAAAAAAAAACCCTCCTTGATATCACTACTACATACCATCTTTTTTGTGTTATTCAATTTGGACTTTTGATGTATGCCACATTTGTGAAGGTGTTACTGTCTGGAGGTTTATTGGATTACTTTCTTGACCTGCAGCTCTCAAACCACCAGTGCAAAATAATAGCGAGACAAACTTTGTGTGGAGAGTGTCCGAAAACAGTTCTAGAAAACCCCACAGTACATTTATTGTTTACGGTTTGTAGCATTGTAAAAAAATTGTGATTTATTATCAGAAAAAAAAAGGTTCAGCTAAATACATTAAATTACCTTTAAGTTAAAAAAAAAATGGTTTTGATGGCTACCCTGTGAGCTTGAAGCCATTTTGTCATTTTCTCAGGATATTTCTAACATCTCTTCCCTAACTGACATTGAAAGTTATTAAAATTGTATATTTTTGTATAAAAAATTTATGTATTTTAAATATTTCTGAGTGATTGTTAAGCAGCTTTTTTACAATATTTGTGCAAAAGTTGAGCAGAGCTGTTGGGTGTGCCGTGTTTATTTGCATTTTTAAATTGATTTTGAATTGATTTTTATGATAGATAAAAAATGAGGTAACAAGTTAAGTGGTGTATTTAACTTGGGAAGCAGATATTTTTACTCAGTTGCTTTTAAAATTATAGAAATAACATTGAGGCAAATATAGTTTTTAAAAAAAACTTCCTGAGATGCGTTGCCATTTTTAAAAAAAATAGTTAAACAAGGCTCAAGCATGATCATATATTTTTGTAGCTTTTCTAGAGAAATTAACGTACACAGTTTATTTTACTGGTAAGATTTTTAAACTGCAGGCTGTAGTCAAGATCGTATTTTAAATGTGTTTATATGGAATTCTATTGCTATTGTATTGGTAGAATGGATATAGATTTTCTTTCAAAGCACCACAATGATAGCTTGTATTTTAAAAATCTTCCAAACCACAGTTATTATTTTGTATATGGTCAGTCTTTAATATAAATAGACTTTATTTGGCAGGGGTATTATTTGATCACTATTTTCCATTCTGTTGGAATGTGTATGCCTCTATTGCTAACATCACTGCATTGTTCTTAGATTGTAATGGCATGACTCTTCTTATGTATGCATTTTTTCTGCACAATTAATTTAGTGTCTGTTGCTTTTTTTAAAATCTCACTTTTCTTAATGTAATACGAATAGCCATGCACTGACCATTAATCAATAATTTAAAATGTCTTATTTTTAAAATTTTTTAAAGTAGTGTTTTTATTTTTTGAATTTTAATGAGGAAGCAGAAAAATGAATTTCCTTTCATGAGTTCTATTGGCTGCAAATAGTTATTTTTATAAATTGTCATTTTATTATTAAGATGTTTTACACCAAAATTTCAAAATAACTAATATAAAAAATTAGACTAATGAATTATTTTAAAATCCTAATATTCAGATTTCTATCACTGTGTGTAATCTGTTGAAGTGAGCCTAGTTCCATGACTGCTATGTACATTTGTATAAATATCTTGTTAAGAAAAAGGAACCACTTTATATTTCAACATCTAATAGCAAGTATAGATAAACTGACGTCCCTCAGACCTTTAATCAATACATATTGAATAAATATTAAGCAGTCAAAACCTTCATGGACTAAAGAGCTTTTTTTGTTAATCTCATGCTCTGAACTAAAATTATTGTAATTTAACCATGCCTTTATTGTTCTTGAAAGTACAAGTTATCCCTGCCCATATTGTTCTTAAAATGATAGTACAGTTATCCCTGCCCATATTGTTCTTGAAAGAAGGTATAAGTAATCCCTGCCCTAATTGTTCTTGAAAGAAGGTACAACTAAATACAAGTAATATGTGCCTCACTCAATTCTAGTCTGTGTTAAAACTGTTTTTGCATAATCTTTGTGTTGTCTGCCAGCTAAGCTTTAAACAGTTTTTCCAGCTACTAGTACTACAGATCAAATGAGAAACTATTTATATTAATTTATTCCTTTTACACCTATTTTCTACTGCTCCAGTATTTCATTGATGATGAACTGCAACATGTTATTGAAATTTGTTTATCAAATCAGAACTTGAATGCTTTCATTTTGTAAAAAATGTGTACTTAAAATCTGATGCAACTCTTTCTTTTTTGTGTGAAATCCAACTTAAGTGATTTTCATGGGTCACTGTTATTTGAAGTCTTTTAAAAATGCTTGAAAGATACTTGTGTAATAATTGTAGATACCATCTACATCGATTATGTATAATTTGATCAGTTGTCTGCTAGTTTCAAATTATTTTCATGTAGCAAGGGAATCAGTGTAACTGAGTAGTTAATGGTTTTATAAAGAATTAACTAGTAGCTAAATGTGCTGCATGTTTTTTATGGCTGTTTGCCATACAATTGTCCATTGCTTTCCATCTCAAAAGAAATCAAGTGCAAAAACAGAATTTTAAAAATTATTTTGAGGAAAAGTTCATTATTTGTTTTTTTATATTAAAAAAAAAAAAAAATTGTACAGTTTTCACACTTTTTCTATTAAATGTTTGATAATGTTCCCTTATATATAATACACAAAAGTGATGATAAAATTCAATTTTAATCTTAATGGAAAATGCAATGGAGCTAAAGTTTAGAAGTAGGTTTTATGAGCTGATGTACCTTCATGCATGTTCAAGTCCTCTAGTTCTGATTTTTCTGAAAACATACTCATGACTTGAATGTTTTGTCATCGTTTTGTTGTATAACAATTTATAAAATAATGACATTAAACTCTCAAACTTTAATGAATTATCTGTCATAATTTCAAAGTCAAACTCATTTTTTGATAGTACTTAGCTGCTTCTAAATATTTTTGTGGGGCATTAAAATCATATCTAACCAGATGTAGCTCTTTAAAATGTAACCACTCAATTTAAAATGTTTCTTTTTTCTACTTTATTAGGCTGTACATAAAAAAACTTAAATCTAATAAAAACTTACATGTTGGGCTTGTATATTTAGGGCAGGGGTTGTGGATAAGATCTCTAAACCCAAGTTGCACATTGATGAAGCCAACTTGTATTTATTATTGGTCTCTCTATCACAGAGTATTATATGTATTTATTAAGGGTGTTGTTCTATTGACCATGTTGCATACTTCATACTATAAGCCTGCTTGTACATAATTTGTTCTTTTAAAATTGTCCATATGTCATGAATTGGGTGGGAAAAGTTTTTAATGAAATATATGCATTGATGAATTAAAAAGTTAAAATGCAAGAAAAAAAAAGATAAAATAAAACATGTTCATGTAAGTTATCATGACAAAAAAAAATATTTCAATACAAACTGTCAGAGTCAAGTGTTTTATGTTTTGTCATCTTCTGTGATTTATTGATTAAATTCATGCTTCATTGCTTAAGTTTTATTCTCTGCTTGTTAAAATATTAACAAGAACCTGATAAAACATTGTGGCTCTTAGAATGGACCATAATATTACTTCACATGCTAGTCAGAGATAAGGATGCATTAATAACCTGGGCTCTTAGAATGGACCATAATATTACTTCACATGCTAGTCAGAGATAAGGATGCGTTAATAACCTGCAGGTGAAAAAAATGAACATCTGACCAATACTGTATGGCGTTTGCTAAATTTTAGTTTTAAGCCAAACATGCAGCAACTTTTACTTTTTGAACTAAAGGACATTGACTTAAATTTATGTGCTGTTAGCTGCTTCCTACCATGACTTAACTTTAGGTGGGCCTACTCAATTTAACAACTTTAAAAAAAAATTATGACTGTGGTAAAACTTAGATAATTTGCATTTACCATACAGCAGTGACTAATCTTTGGCTGTTCTAAAAAGTTGACAGATTCAAATAGGTACTAACAAATCAACACAAACAAATCAACAGACACATTAGGTAAAATGTAAATTATTTATTTCCCCCTGCGCTTCCCTCTTTTAAAACCATCATTTTGGTTCCGTTTTGACCACTGGCGTCCACTAATACCAAGCTGAGCTGCACGACTGGTAACATCATTCATGCTGAAAGGGCTCATGTCTGCAATTATATCACTGGACAGGATGTCTATTTTTTGAAGTGACTTTTTGGATGGTCTCTGATCAGGAACAGGCTGGTCTTCACATAGTATTGGATTCATTGCATGTTTCCCACCTTGAGGTTTTGGGAGGGAGTACTGTAACAAGGCAGAAGGAGAGAAATTGATTAAAGGTATACAAGTGATTTAAAATAAAAGTAGTAGTTTTAAATTAAACCAGCAAATGCTCTACAGAAAATGGATAGACCTCTCTGATTAGACATATTCAGGCTTAAACTACTAGTCCAGATCAAATCTGAAATCTTAAAATTGAAAGTCACTGGCAGTTTACACAACTGAAAAGTAGTTTTTTCAATTAGTTTTTTCTTTTCTTTCTGCAAGTAATACCATGAATTATGTAATACCATGACAACCGTCCATTCACAATGGTAGACTTGGAGTGGTGTAATATACAAGCTGACCTGCACCATAAGCACACGCCGCTATTTTGTTGTTTTATTTGCTACTTTTCAGTAATTCATAATTTGTGAATTTAACACTACCCCCCCCCCCCCCACCAAGGGGCTGTCTGTGACGACAATGAAAAGATCAAGGAGAACTTGGTTTCAAATTGTTTAAAAGCTGAATTATCTGCCCCTAATAGCCATCACATTGTAAACATTCAGCGTGAATCACAGCTCACCAGACTGGTGGGGTGTGGGTGGTAGCAATAAGCCTAGAGAGCGGGGAAGGAACAGCTAAGCCCTTACTTGGTGGTGTCTTGTATGGTCCCCACGTAGAGAATTATATATATAGATGTGTGGTTATGAAAAAGATTACATAGCACCCATACCTTCATGCCTTTTGTTCGTATTTTGTAGTTCTTGGCCAGCCAGTATTTTACAGAGCCATCCTTCTCTATTGTTGTAGAGAGACGCTTCAGTGTCTTGTTACCACAGTGTGGACAAAACAATTTTGACGTGTCTTTGGTAATCCTGTACAAGTTAGGAATAAATGTAAACAGTTGAAAATGATGGAATTTCTTTTAGTGCTTACTAAAAAAAGAAAAATAGACAATTTAATCAACAATGGATTTTAATTAGGCCTATGTACAACACAACATTTTTTTGAGATTACAAAGCCTTATAATAAATTAGAAATCTCATAGGCAAAATATAATAATTAAGATAAAAATTCAATTTTTAAATTACCTCATGCACCCAAAGCACCTGAGGACATAGCTCTTGGCTCTGGTAATTAGCATGCCATCTACAGACAACACATTTAACCCCATCTGGATCAGCACATTCTGCTCAAGATAATTAACAAATGAAAACACTGGTTTGGAAAGGCAAGTATCAAACAACTAAGGAAACATCTTTTATTTTATGCTTGAAAATCTAGTTATTTAGATTTTAGGCGATAAAATTATAAAACAAAATTTTGTGTGTGCTAACACCTCACCTGCATTGCAAAATCAGTAGTTAAACAACCAACTGGCACCACATCTGTTTCTAAAGCTGTTTCCACACCCATTGACCTTTTAACCTCAACTATATTAGCGGGGGTTATCCAGCCTTCATCATCATCATCTTCTTCTGATTCTTCCTCTTGGTCTTCCTCTTTGTTTTCTCTGTAAGTTTCAAAACTGTTTTTATCATCTATTTTTCCATCCTTGTCAGTTTTGTCTATGATATCAATTTCTTCTTCCCCTTCATCCTCCACAGTGTAATCTTCCTCTTCATCATCACTTTCATCCTCCTTTTTCTCACCAATCAGATTGCTGGGCAAGGCCTCTCCTTCCTTGTATTGCTATATTTAATAAATGTAACAAAAATCAAGACATTTTTATTAGAAATATTTGATATAATAAGTAGTTCAAACTACTAATTGTCTAATTGAGCACAAGCAGAAACAACTTCAGAAAATATCAATCAGTTTACAACAATGGCAAGTATGTGACACAAATGAATCACAATGGCATTGTTTTGAAAAATTCCACCTTTAAATATATAGAATCTTTTTTAGGCAACAGAATTGATGTTTATATACAACTTCGAGTAAATTGTCAGCATAAAGCGATTAAAAAAAATAAATGAAGTTAACAAACTGATATCCCAATCACACTAAAAGAGCAGTCTCTGAGTAACCAAAAGTAATTTACCTAGAGATAATCCTATAAAGAACTATGCTGGGATAATTAGTTTGTATAGTTTTTAAACATCCCCATGACATTAAAAAAATTGGACCAAGTTACCAAATTATTTATATGAAAAATTGGTTTAAACAAATTAAAAAGAGAGATTTAAGAATATCCACCGGGAGTGAGGACTGGGGCTCATGTCCTTGTGAATGACCACGTTAAACTTAACAGCAATAAGTATATAGGTTATAAAAACACAATTTCATATTAACTTGCATACATAATGTACACATTAAAGTAAATTAAAGAAAAGTTCTTGTGATTAAAAAAACTTAGCTAAACATAAATTGTAATAGAGTAAGAATTGTTTTTGTGTGTGAAGGTCTTAAATGGATAATTTCTTGAGCACTATCAAGAAACAAATTGTTAAGATGCAGGCTTTCTGTAGTTATGTCCTTTACATATTTTACAAAAATTTCAATACCAACCTTAGCAGCCAAGTTAATACCAGATATATCAGTCTTCTGACCAATAACAAATTCAGCCTGTTAAATAATAAAAGAATACAAGTGAACAGTATTAAAAAACACTAGTAAAACCATGCAAGCTTACTGTTAGAGAGTGTTAGTTAATAGTACAAACATCCCCAATTTCCATTAACTGCTACACTTAGGTCCATTTCAAGTATAAAAATAAAATAAAATACTTAAAAAAAAACTTTTTAAAAAACCACGTTTTTCTTGTGGACTAAAAAGTAGAAAATAACTATTTACATACATTTGATGACAAAAAACGTGGGTACGTTCACCATCAAATTTCCCGACCCATCTGCCCGACCCACGTTTTTTGTCATCAAATGTATGTAAATAGTTATTTTCTACTTTTTAGTCAACAAGAAAAACGTTTTTTAAAAAGTTTTTTTTTAAGTATTTTATTTTCTCCTTTTTAGTCCGTTGCTACACATGAAAAACGTGGTTTTTAAAAAAGTGTTTATAAATACACGGACTAAAAAAATCTTGAGCGACCAGGATTCGAACCTGGGTTGTCGCGGCCACAACGCGAAGTACTAACCACTATACGATCACGGCCAGCGCGCTCACATCGATTGGGGCCGAAGTAACTGTGTCTATAGGCCTCCAGTCTTGTCGGTATCTTTAGAAATCATGTCCTCAATTTTATGGTCCTTGGGGCGTAATTAAATTAAGCTAATTACGGTCTCTAATTGCTAGTTTTTATGATTGCATCTGAAATTGTTAGGCGAAAGTAACCTGCATGCCAAATTTCAGAACTATAGAACAATCAGAAGTGGGCTAATTTTCGATGTCAATTTTAACAACAAACACATCCACGCGAAGCTCAGTTAATAAAAACGTGTTAATAAAAACAATTCTCAAAATTTTTTTTAAGGAAAAGGGCTTTTATTATATTTACAAAAAAATGATAATTATATTGGTATAACTAAAAATAAAAGCCTGGGCGCTCAATTATGGAGAATATATTCCCTTTCATATGCAATTCATGGATAGGTTTATGTTCTATAACATAACATAAGACCATGTTCAATTTTCATCATTGAGCGCCCAGGCTTTTATTTTAAGTCATACCAGCATATAGCTTTAGTAAGATTACACCATGAAGAGCATGCAGAAAGAGAAAGAAAATTGTAAATGAATCCGGATAAAATTTATTAGAATGGGTATTTTTAAAGCACATAAAATTTGTTTAGTATGCAAACTAAACTTTTTTCTGGTATTTTTTTTTAAGGCACAATTTAAATTTTGTTGTGATTTGTGAATAAAATAAAAGCCTTTTTCCTGAAAACATTTTTATGTGAGAATTACTTTCCACTTTCATTCGTTCAAAATTAAGTTTACATAGATGTTAAAATCCGTCCAGTAACTTGTGATCTATAAAATTAATTGCCCCTGTTTAGTTTGTGGTTGATGAAAGGGCACAAAATCAGCCACCCACAAAAATAGTCTGGATCAAGCTATCACTAGTTTTTATCTTTTTATCTCTCCTTTTATTGTTGAATATAGTAATTTTAAAATTAAATTGTCTATCTAATAAGAGCTTTTAATAAGATTAAAAAATTAGTTATTCCAGCAATATCATAAAACATCTACCATTGTGCAAAATTTCAGCTCAGTCAGACAATGGAAAGGGTTAAATTAATATTCAAAGATTTGTAGAACCACAAACATACTTAGTGAACGCAACTGAAAAAACATTACTTTTTAGTTTAAGACTACGACAAACAAAATGAATTACTTTTGTAGGTGGTTCCTTGCGAATGTGGTCTGTGCCCCTGAACTGTTTCTCTAGATCATATGCTAGAGCTAAAACTTTCAAATCTACAGCAGAGAGGGCTTGGTAATCCCCAGTCTTTTTAGCAAATGTTGTAACTGCCAGAAGGTTATTTTAGAATTAAAACACAAATATTGGTAAAACAAATACAGAACATGAGCAAAATTTAATGCTTTGAATCTAAACAACAGTTTATAATCTTCAATAACAATTTAATTACCAAAATGTATGGCTTCCCCCGATGGCTCTTTAAACTTGATGTCAATAGGAAGTAACTTCAGTCTTCGTCTAGTAGCCCTGTCACAACTTTCAGCAATAACCTCTGGTACTGTATAAACAGACTCGGCGATTTCCTATGAATGAAATGAAATTTTCTGTAATGCTAACACATTTTTTTTAGAGAAGTGTATGACTGCAGGATGACAGAAAAATGAAGAAAAAAATTCTTTCACTAAGGCACTGTGTTAAGAGCTAGGTCCAAAGAATTTTGAGATACCAAGCAAACATATATGATTGTACTAGTTGCTAGACCAGTCATTTTTATATTTAAATATATGAATATTATCCACAAGGAAGAAAAAGTACCAACACACTAAAAAAAGTTTGTTTATAAAAAATAATTTCCTGTAGGGCCTAATTAATATCGCGTTCAAGGTGTGGATTAGGATTGACATTGGCCAAGGCTATTCCTAGTTTTAAGGAAGATTCCATTACTGGATCATTATCAAATACTTGTATAACACATTTTGCTCATGGTAAACATTTTCAAAAGTAATTTTAAGCAGGTCACTAGAACTAAGACGAAAAATCGTCTACGTCATGTGAAAACGCCATGTCGGATAATAGACTCTTCCATAAAATAGGTGTGTTGGATTGTTAGAAGTATTGTGATCTCGACTAATTTTATGGTTAGAAATTAGGGCATAGGGTTAGGCGTTTGGTAGGACTAGGGTTAGGGACAGGGTCAGCACTGACATTAACCAGCCATGTGGGTAGTTAGTTAATTACCAGTAACCTAACACCCCGTTTATAAAGAAAATTCTATTATCGGACACTGGTATAAAAACTCCCCCATTGTTGTAGAAAAATATGTCTGGTAGGACTAGTGACTATAGAGTTGATCTGTCCATTACGGTGGATCATATAGATCTAGTTAGTACTTAAATAACTTCAAGTAACCTAACTTCTTTTTTTAAAAAAACTGTATTATTGTATCATTATTTATGACATAGGGGTCATCCATAAATGACGTCACTCTTTTTTGGACAATTTTTACCTCCCCCCCCCCCTCCCCTCCATCACAAAAAGCCAGACCCCCCCCCAAAATGTCACATCACACCCCAGCCTACCCTTCCCCCCCCCTCAAAATTGCTGTTGAATTTTTCTTAAAACATCGATATTTTTCCAAAATCTTGTCAGAACTCTGTCAGTGCCAACATATAGATCTAGAGTATTTTGATCAATTCCTATTAAAATTGATCGAAACTGTTTTCTAAAACGCGAAAATAATGGCATTGGCTAAAATAAAACTCTTCTAAAATTGCTTTTTATAATGCAAAAGGGTAAAATCACGATATAGCGTCGGTTATTATTCCGGAACTGTACAGCAGTAAAAAACAGTAAAACCATGGCGTAGTCTGTCAAGCCGTTCCGGAAACCACCGGAAATACTGTAAACCATCATTTATTTGCCGCCATATTATTTTTAACACATAATGTTTAAAAATGTGCAAGGATTGATTTTAGTTGCATTTTAAATACTGTTTTGCTAATTAACTAATTATTTTGTATTTCTAATTATTTAAAGTGTATGTGCTAATTATTGCTGCTACTAAACATTATTCTAGTTATTCTTACTACTTTTAACTTCAGTAAATCTAATCGTCTTATTTTCTAACAGAACTAGAGCTGGTTGTCGCAAATCTTCTGCAGGTATTTTTCTGTTTCTTAAAAAAAAACATTTATTACTACACTCGACTTTATTAATAATATTTAGATTTACTAATTGTTGCTAATTTTTGTCAGTTAAACATTAAATTAAGTTAAAACATAAATTTAATGCACTTGACTTTATTTTTCTTTCAACGGTCAAATAAACTATGGTTTACAGTAACGAAAATTACCGAAACTCAACGAACATTACCCAATAATTTCCGACGCTATATCGTGATTTTACCTGCAAAAGTGTGATGTCACACCATCTGAACCCCCCCTCCCCCTCGTCACAAAATTACGGACCCCCCTTCGTCATTTATGGACGATCCCATATGTCATCAACGCCAACCTTCCATTCCATGATTCCCCCCACCCCCCCTCAAGAAGTGGTTAACCGTCATGACTCATTAAGTTTGTATCTTACAGATAAAATTAAACCAAACAAAATATAGATCTAGATCTTTTAAAAAAAATATTCATTAGTTAGCCTACAGAGTATATTGTCTTACTCGAAGTGGTGCATTGCGAATAAAAGCACCTGTATCAGCAACAACGTGTGTTACTTTTGACATTTTTTTACTTTCAGAATAGAACTATAAAAGTGAACTCTTCCATTTGGAAAAACGTTTTTTTGCAAAAAGCTATTTAAAAATATATTGTGTTTAAATCTATTTTAATTTTTGGATAGAGTATGATAGCTGTACTGTAATAGATCTATTCATCGATATTTTTAAAGTTTGGTCTCAAGTCAGGGCTATATTTCACTTCTGATCTTAGTTACCATCCATTTAATATCGCAATTATTGACGGGTAAAATAGCGTCAAGCATTCCCCCCCACCCCAATCTAAAAAGAAACGCATGAAGATTTAAAAGTATATATTGGAAATAGGTCATCAATCATTCATAATAATAATTCTATAAAAATAAGTAGTTAATATACATATGCAGAAGGTTTAATCTTATTTTTTCGCTGGTGCACCAATAAAGTAGATAGAAAACGACAGTGGTTGTTGTCCTATGCCTACTTACTTAGAGGGTCATGCATACACAGCGTCAAGCTTTTTATAAATGATTTTGTTTCCCTTTCTACCCATCGACATCGTCACAAATCCAGACCCTGGAATGACATCACACTTTAAAAGTTTGGAAACCATGTCAAGCATAGCATAAATACGTATAGTTGCGCTTTTCATAGATCAAAATGCATATATGTATATATATCAGTGGCATAGCGAGGTCGGGTGTCACCCGGTGCGGCACACCAGAGGCGTTGCGACCCTTCCCGGTGACAAACTTTCAAATTTTCGATTTGCACCCCCTCCCTCTAACTTTTGATTTGCACCCCCCCCCTCAAGTTTTTCTCTATATATTTTGCTATTTTTTGCCTTGGTGTCACAGTCTGCACCCCCGCCCCCTGGCTACGCCTCTTATATATATATATATATATATATATATATATATATATATATATATATATATATATATATATATATATATATATATATATATATATATATATATATATATATATATATATCCTATGTATAACAATTTAAAAACTGATAATTGTTTAAGATTTTTCTCTGTCTTAAAATCCGTTATAAGTAGACTGTATTAGCGGTCTTATTTTTAGCCGACAACGGATTAGATTTAGATCTAGATCTAGATCTAGGTCCAGATAGATCTAGAATCTAATTAGGCGTATGTAGTATTTTTTAACTTCAAACTGTACAAAATAAACACAATTAGTTGTGTTTATAGCAAACACAAATTGATTTCTATTTTAATACGTTAATTTAGACAAGTCAGCTGTTTTTGTTTATAGACATTCTATTCTCACATTTTGATCATATGTCTAAGTGAGCCAAAATGGTGGGTGTTTCCTTGTAAAGTATTTTTGCCATTCGTCGTATTATTTTAAAATAAATCTGTATTTCGCATGATGTTTATTATAGTTTTATATAAAGTTATTCTAGAACTTAAAAATCTATCTAGATCTAGCCCTAAAATTAAGTGTGAATCATCTTTTTTTCTAATTTTCTCGAATCAAAATCACTTCACCAGAGTTCAGAGCAGCCAGTCTCATGAATCTCTGTCTGCTGTTGGTTTAGTTTACACTAGTTTACAGTACAGTTACACTTTACTGTGAATGTACTGTTTTACACTACTTTGTAACTTTACTATAAAGTTTACTGTTAAATTATGTAATATATGCTAAAATTAAAGCAGTATTCATTAGTGGACTATACAATACATTTCTAGTCACATCTAGTATTCTAGTGTCATAAGAATTTATTTATTTTATGCAAAACTCACGGTAATCCCTTAGTTTAGCGTCGGAAATTATCGGGTAATGTTTGTTGAGTCTCGGTAACTAGAGTTACGGTAAACCATGGTTTATTTGACCATTGAAATATAAATAAATTGAAAGTCGATTGTAGTTAATTATATATATATATATATATATATATATAATTATATAGTATACTATAGGCCTATATGTAATTATATCTTAATACAACAGTCAGTACACATATACACAGATACACAACAGCAGTGAGTGTAACTGTTTTGCAGTGAGATAGAAAAAACTTTACTTAAAACTGAGTGGTGAAAAAGTTGCATTGAGATCAATAAATCAATATAAATATGAAATAAGTGTATAGTAAAAAAAAACCACAATTACCGTTTCCCCATCTTTTATATGTCATCTTACTATCTACAAGTACTAACATAAAAGAACCCAATACCAGCTCTTTTATTGATGTAAATTTGTAATGTAATTTTTATGATGAACATTATAGCCGTCAACACCACAACTTTCACCCCAGGAAGAACAGGAAAAACTGCTGGAGGAGGCGCTCAATGTGGTCAAGACGCAAGCATTCCAGATGAAAAGATGTCTGGTGAATATTATTCACTTACCATATACACTATTAGTCATTAGCATATAACGCTTTTGAAAATTACTTTATATCGTTGTTAAAAATGTTTGTTTTTTATGCTTTCTATCAGGACAAAGGAAGGTTGATGGATGGGTTAAAACACGCTTCTACCATGTTAGGAGAACTCCGCACTTCCCTTTTATCACCTAAGAGCTACTATGAATGCTGTATCCTTTTAAAAGTGTATTTTATTTAAATTTATAAGCTAATATACTTTTAATAAACACAGCAGGAAAAAAGTCAGGGGAAGTACAGGTGGGTGAAAGAGATGGCAGCTTGAATTATAGTGTATCATTTATTAATTATACCTGAAATACAGCTGAGCAGTAGTAGTTTATGTTTGAAACTAGCAAAATAATCTCTAATGTAATGACATTATATTCCTTGATGCCATGTTCAGACATGGCCATATCAGATGAGCTGAGACACCTAGAGATGTACCTGGTAGACGAGTTTCAAAAAGGTCGCAAGGTGGCAGACTTGTATGAGCTGGTGCAGTATGCTGGGAACATAGTTCCGCGTTTGTACGTCAGGATATTTTTTTTAGAAATTAGTTCATATAAGTGTGCTTGTACTTTTTTTTTAGACATGGTTACTTGTTTTGTAAGAAAACTTATAACTTGTCAAAATGCCAGCATTGATTAGCTTAAATAGTTTCATTCAAATCTGGTTATCTGTACTTTTAGGTTCAGCTGGGTTATTGATGTCAGTGGCGTAGGCAGGGGGGGGGGGGGGGTTAGGGGGGGTCATAACCCCCCCATAGACCCCTCGGTATATATATAAAAAGTATGAGGGGGGGTGCAAATCGAAAGTTTGAGGGGAGGGGTGCAAATCGAAAGTTTGTCCCCGGGTAAAAATTGGAACCCCCCCCCCATGAGACGATCCTGGCTACGCCACTGATTGATGTATTAATTCTATTTAATCTACTATTGCTACACATACAACAGGTATCTTCTTATTACTGTTGGTACTGTTTATATCAAGTCCAATGAGCTGTCTAGAAAAGATATCCTCAAGGATCTTGTGGAGATGTGCCGTGGGGTTCAACATCCCTTACGTGGGCTTTTCTTGAGGAATTATTTGCTCCAATGCACCAAAAATGTTTTGCCAGATGCTGTTGAAGACCAGAGGTTGGAGCAATTAGATTTAAACTACTCTTTCCAAAACCTTTATTACAAGCTAGGACAAATCGATAAGTGACATGACTTTATCTGTTTACAATGTATTACTAGACTAGTAACAATTTATGAGCTGTGTATTATGTTTGCAACAGCACTGAAAGCAGTGGAGGTGAGTCTGGCACTGTGATGGACTCTGTAGATTTTATACACCTGAACTTTGCTGAGATGAACAAGCTCTGGGTCCGCATGCAGCACCAGGGACATTCCAGGGACAGAGAGCGCAGGGAGAATGAGAGACGCGAGCTGCGGATTTTGGTTGGGACAAACCTCGTCAGACTTAGCCAGTTGGAGTGTATTGATGTGGAGAAATTTAAACAGGTAAGCTAAAGTGATTTAAAGAAATTTAAACAGGTAAGCTAGAGTGATTTAGAGAAATTTAAACAGGTAAGCTTAAGTGATTTAGAGAAATTTAAACAGGTAAGCTAAAGTGATTTAGAGAAATTTCAACAGGTAAGCTAAAGTGATTTAGAGAAATTTAAACAGGTAAGCTAAAATGGTTTAGAGAAGTTTAAACAGGTAAGCTTAAGTGATTTAGAGAAATTTAAACAGGTAAGCTGAAGTGATTTAGAGAAAATTAAACAGGTAAGCTAAAATGATTTAGAGAAGTTTAAACAGGTAAGCTGAAGTGATTTAGAGAAATTTAAACTGGTAAGCTAAAATGATTTAGAGAAATTTAAACTAATTAAAAATATAAACCTTTAAATTATGCCTAAGGTTTCAGTGTACCTTAAGCATGAAGAGTGTTAGTTCATAATGAGTTTAAAAATCTGTTTTATAATTTTCCAGTCTGTGTTGCCTGGAGTTCTTGAACAGGTGGTTAACTGTAAGGATGCCATCGCCCAGGAGTACCTCATGGAGTGTATCATTCAGGTAACTTGTCTTGACATATAGTACCTTGTATGAGGCTCCTTGAAAAATACCTATTGGGATATTGCCTAAAAATAAATTTCTCAAATGGACTATTACCAGAATGGACAATTTCTACAATAAAACAAATACAAAAACCTTTATAATCATAAATGTTTAAATGCATTGAGAATAAGAAAATAAAGTGAACTTGCTTTGATAAAAGCTTCGGTTGCTCATGAAATCTCTTACACATTTCAGTGAGCTAAATATTATTTTGTACTCTGCATGATGTTGATTGTATTTGTTTTAGGTGTTCCCGGACGATTTTCATTTGCAGTCACTGAATTCTTTTCTTCGTGCTTGCGCAGAACTTCACCCAAATGTTAATGTGAAAAACATCATAATTGCCCTCATTGACAGGTAATCCTTTCACCATCCCATTTTTTTCTCTACATGTTTGCTGTATGGTAATACAATTGTTTCTAAATATCATGGTTACAAATTTTAAAATTTGATTTGTTAGATTGGCTTCATTTGCTCAGAATGAAGAAGGTTCTGGAATCCCACCAGAAATTCAGCTTTTTGATATTTTCTCCCAACAAATTTCACAAGTCATTCAAGTAAGTTTATTAAAACCCAGCCTGCATTACCGTTACTCTTTTTAATTCTGTAGTTACAAAAAAATATTATGGATTTTGATTAAAATAAAGCATTTATGAATTGTTTAGAACCGACCAGACATGGCCCCAGAGGATATTGTCTCTCTTCAAGTGGCCCTCATTAATCTGGCCCTCAAGTGTTATCCAGATAAAGTGGATTATGTAGACAAAGTCCTGGAGACAACAGAAGAAATTTTCAACCGGCTCAACCTGGATCAGTGAGTTTACCTGTGTGATATTTTACCTGCTTGTGGTTAATAGAAGAGGCATATGAGGATAAGTTATTAGCACATTTGTTTTTTAAATGTTTTTGGTCCATTTGTTTTTTTAAACAATTTTTTTTTGGGAGGCAGACTAAGTTTTAAGTATTAGTACCTACAGGTCCATGAAAGTCCTAGAATATGCTACTTAGGAATAATATCTCCCATCTACTTGCTTGTTGAATAAATACTGTTCTTACTTTATTATTACACTGAAAGGTAAAGGTAAAGTGCATTGTTTTTTAACCATTCAATTGAAGAGCTATGGATTACAGCAAGTAACTAAAAGAAAAACATACATGATACATTGTGATTTCCTGTTGAATGTGGTCATGTGGACAAAAGTTACCCCTTTCAAACCTGGCGGTCCATGGGACTGATGAGTCGAGTTCACCTGTTTCTGTGACCTCATGTGATAGTGGGGTCAGTTTGATGCCCAGCCCTCTTTGTTTTCCCTAATGTGTCAGGTACAGGTCATGCTAGGTGGACTTAGAGACGTCCTGCAGATGAACCCAGATTCCCAACTTGAGACTTTTGGGTTAGCAGTAATTTGCTCTACCAACCTGCTAAGCCGTCCGTTATGTAGACAGTCACATGTTCTCTGTTGATGTTTAAGCTAAAAAAAAAAATGACTTTTTGTCATAAAAAGTGTTTGCTTGTTTACCTCCCCTCCTTAGTGTTGAGCATGGCAGCCCTGTGTCCAAAGAGCTGATGAGGCTGATGAAAATCCCCATTGACACCTACAACAACATTCTAACTGTACTAGAGTTGCAACACTTTGGTCCCCTGTTTGAGTACTTCGACTTCAAGGGGAGGCAGCTCATGAGCTGCCATATTATCAACAATGCTTTGGAAAATGAAACCCAGATCCCTGCTCAGGAGAATGTAAGCTGTAAAAATTGAAAACTTTTGGTCTTTCAGTCTTTCCTCTCCATCATAAAAAGTATAAGTTTTGTGAATACAATTTTTATAAACTACATTCATGTATAACAATTTTTTTAACTATGAAATTTGGTAAAAATGGAATTAGCATTTTGCATGATTATTGTTTTGGTAAAAAAACTGCTATTGATTATGTGAGGAAAGCTCTTCAGTGTTCTAAAATAAATAAGTTTCTTAGATATTTCTAACAATTGCCTACCCATTGTATCTAGGTTGATTCAATTTTAAACATTGTGAATTGTATGGTGCAAGACCAAAACGACCAACCAGAAGAACCATATGACCCTGAGGATTTTGCAGAGGAGCAAGGCCTTATGGGAAGATTCATCCACTTGCTTCATTCTGATGACTCTAATCAACAATTCCTCGTAAGTCTCCTTTTGCTAAATTAGTTGGTTAATTTTCAATCAATTATTAATATTTTTTCCCATTTTCATTATATTATTGGCAGTTTCATTTAGACAAACAGTATTTTCAAACAGAGATCCACTTTTTGTTTGTAGTCAGATTGTGTCCAATACTTTTCTATCTGCTATCAGATCCTGAACACAGCCAGGAAGCACTTCGGAGCAGGGGGAGACAAACGTATCAAATACACATTGCCACCAATAGTATTTGCTGCATATAGGTTGGCATTCAGATACAAACAGTTGCAAGATGAGGTCTGGTTTCTTTCTCATTTTCTTTTAGAATAATGTTCAAAATGCTTCATTCACATCATCTTAAAACAGCATATAAAACAACAAAAAATATTATTTGTTAAATTTTCAATGATGTTACTTTTTTCAATGCATTTAACAGCTTATTAATATTAAGTTAAACAAAAATGTGTTTAGGATGAAAACTGGGAAAAGAAGTGCCAGAAGATCTTCCAATTCTGCCATCAAACTATTGGTGCCCTGATCAAGGCTGAACAAGCAGAGATACCACTGAGGCTGTTTTTACAGGGCTCACTAGTGGCTGGCCAGATTGGCTTTGAGAACTCAGAGACCGTGGCATATGAATTCCTCTCACAGGTCTGCCATCATTCTGTGTTTTCCAATTAATGAAATTACTCACTCCTCTGAGTTTTAAAGTTTAAAATTAGTATTTAAAAATTTTTTTTTTCAGAAAATTTTCCACTTCACATTTTTTCTTTGGGTTAGCTAGTCACTCACTGTAACAATTATTTTTTCTAACAATCAGAGCAAATGGAGGGGAGTTTATCGAATAATTACTTGGTACTGTTTCTCCGGCTAATGATTGGCAGATGTTCAACCAATTCGTTTTTTACTTAAAGGCGTTCTCCATTTATGAAGATGAAATCAGTGACAGCAAAGCTCAGCTGTCCGCCATTACACTGATCATCGGCACCTTGGAACAGATGTCTTGTTTTGGGGAGGAGAACCAGGAGCCACTGTTCACACAGTGTGCTCTAGCAGCATCCAAACTGCTCAAAAAACCTGACCAATGTCGAGGTGTCTCTGTCAGTTCCCATCTCTTCTGGTCAGGAAAGTCTGCTAAATCAGGGGAGGTAAGGCATATCTTGTTTGTCTTCTAAATCAAGTTTTTTATCATATATAGTCAGGAAACTGAAATGAGGGGTGTATGAAAATGAAGAAAAAATTGTATGTGTTGGTGTCAGTGGCTTAGGCAGGTGTTCTCGCTTCCCCACCTTTCATGGACCCTTAAAATAGCAGTAAAACTATAGCTTCATTGTTTATTAATGTCAAAAAATGCTCAACCTTACTACATTTAGAAAGAATCAGAGAATATAAATATATATATATATATATATATATATAACTATATTCGTTGGAAAGACTTCTGAGCGAAAATAAAATGAAAACAATATTTTTTTGCAGCTACGAGATGCTAAGAGAGTATCAGATTGTTTGAAAAAAGGTGTGAAAATTGCCAACCAATGCATGGATAGTTCAGTACAAGTTCAGCTCTTTGTGGAAGTCCTGAATCACTATGTTTATTTCTATGAAAAAGGCTGTGAACAGGCTAGTAGTTTTTTTTTTTTAAAACATTCATTTCCCAGCATCATCATTTATAAATTTTGCACATTACCAAATTTCTATATCAATGTTATATGATTACCATTATAATTAAGTTAGATACATAAAAATGCAACCACCCAAATAGCTGTAAGAAAGGAATACAATCAGAACAAAAAAATTTTTTTTTTTCAAAATCTTTGTACAGATTTCAGTTCAAGTCCTGAATCAAATAATATTGAAAATTCGAGAGCTTTTGCCCAACCTGGAGTCAAACGAGGAGACCGAATCAATTAACAAACACTTCAAGAACACTTTGGAGCACCTGCAACACAAGGTTGACACCCCAGAAACAGCTGGACTGTATGAGGGCTTATCTTTGTGAAACTTATTTTATTTACGTGTCTGCTTGTTTATTTTGATGACCTTTTTTAAACTCCCTACACTATTGTACTGAAGTGATATTTGATAATACTTGTGTTGTAGAGGTTGATCAGATCATGAGACCTGCATTAAAACTTTAAGTGAATGTTTTCTGTTCTAGTCTCTTACACTAGCATTGAGACAACTGTTTTATGTTGGTACTATTGTTGAGCATTTAAAAAAAAATGTGGTAAAAATAATTTTTTGAAATCTTTTCATTCTACATTTAACTTCAGTAAAAGTGCAACATTGTGACAGAAATGAATTTTAATTTAATGTGGTGTTACAAGTGTGGTATGGAAAATAAAATCTAGCGACTCATTATTAGAACATACATTAGGAAGAATATTACTAGCAGATTCTGAACTATTTATTTATGCAGGAATCTTTGTGTGTAAACAATTATTTCTTTCAACCTATGGGTTTATAAACTGTAATTAAATGTTGAATGGAATAAAAATAGCTACATTAGAATCTGATCTGTTTATGTAATTTGTTACTATGGTCTTTCTATTCTGATGTATGAACATTAACTACATAATAGTAGGAAACTATTGAAAAGTCATCCTTCAACTGGACTGAGTTTTTTCATCCCCATACTGACATTCATAGCTAGAACCTTTCAATGGGAGGGGGTGACCAAGCTCTAGAGTTCAAGTTAGTCAACATCCCTGAGTCTACAAAGGCGGCTAGCCATAGTGCTGACTGTCCCTTGATATGCAGAGGGCACAGAAACTTCTATCAACATGAAACTTCAGGTTAAAAAAGGCAACTCTTTCAATCAAGAAAACAGGAGTACTAGAATCTAGAGAAAACTTGTCAGAACTATCCAGCAAGCAATTTAAAAAACAAATTCAACTAGTATTTCAGCTCACAAATAAAGCAGGAAAGATCTCCCCTACATTTTCTCAAATGTTCTTATTTAAAAAAGAATAGAATCTTGTAGAAAAAAGAATTGCGCAACAAGTGAACAGCAATGTTGCATGTATAGCAGCACAGAATATATTAGCACTTTATAAAGTTTTTTTTTTTTTGAGAAATCAGAAATGGCGTTAAGTACTACTTCTGGCCACCAGAAATGACTCAAAACTTGACAGAAAAAAAATAATCTTGCACTTGTATGTAAAATTTCGTCTATCATAAACAGCACTTAAGCTATAGGCTTATGCAGGAAATTGATACAGAACAGCAAATTTGACATACTTGCATATGAAATCGATTTCACAGACATACAAAAATTGTAAAAGTAAGCTTTTCTGACTCTGAGGTATAATTTAGTATAAAACTGCGATATTTGTGAAAATCTCGATTTTGATTTTTTGCATGATAACAATACTTCCCCTATTCTTCGTTTACGAGCAAGCAAAAATAGAGCTGGTAAATAAAAATAAAAACAAATTCCAAAGTTAATACAAATTTTATTTTTAACTCTAAAAATCATACCATTTACACAAATATTTACCCAACAAGGACAGTCACTAGATTTTAAATGTCCGTTTATACTAAATGATAAAGAAAACTCAGTCATAAATTTAAGTTGATCATAAAAAAGGTGTACACGCTGATCATAAATGTGCCTTCTAAAAGTTCTACCCAGCTTACAGAATTTCTCTTTTCAACATAATTCCACAACTGGATGTAAAATAAATTAAACAGAGAAATGTTAGAAAGACATCATGTATCAACGGACAGATTTATCAGAATGGAACTGCATAAGACTGTCAAAAACGGCTGCTGCTATGCACAAGAACTAATTATGGCCCACATTACTTTTTCCATTCCATCTTGTCATAATCCCACTTAGAGGCGATACCAGTAACAATTCCCTGGTGTTGGTCTATCATTAACTGCAACACTTTTTCCGCGTGTTCAGGGGTAAGTGTGCTTGCTTGTTTTGGATAGACTGCAACAGAGAGCAACAAGTTAATAGAAGGTTATAAAAATAAACTAAGCTAATGATTAATTGAGAATCATAAAATAAATTTAATTTACCAAATTTTTTGACAAAGAACATGATCCAGCCAGTCACAGCTAACCCAAGAAGAACTGAGCCAAAAATAATTTTCCATTCACCAGTGGGAGCCTCGATCTCACTGAATGTCTGACAGAAACTTGCCCTGTACACTGAAAGCAACAAAAACAGGTATCTGTGATAATGTATTAAAGAAATTTTAGAAGAAAAGTAATTCTTGAAGTGAGGGTAGTGTTTCATTGCATTATGGAAGTATTTTGTGTATAAATTAATAATGAACGGAAGCTGTGGAAAATAGTTTATGGAGGAGATAAGAAATTTAGGTTTCGACTAGTCTGCATAGAGGGTAGAGGTTGTCTAGTGTGTCCTGAGAATATCCATTGTTAACTGTCTTGCCTTGGTTGAATCAACATGAAGATTAGCCCTAGTGGGAAATTATTGCCGTATAGATGGTCCAGCATTAAAGTGTCGGCTCGTCCTAGTGTTTGGATTGAATTCTGTCCTGTTCATAACAGGTTTTTAAAAAAAATAAAACTTAGAAAGAAAAGACTTAGAGTTCTTTATTGACAGGGTTCATGCTCAAAAGTTCAAATAAAATTCCAGGAGTTTTCCAGGACTTTTCCAGGAGTTTAAAAAAAATTCAAGGAGATTTTAAAAACAAAAAAGAAACCCAATTTGTACATTTTTTAAAAAAAGCGTACTTAATAATACATTTAATTAGCTAAGCCAAAGCAAAAATTTAATTTCAGTAAAAGTAAAACAATATATTAGTTACATATTAGGATAGAGGCTATCAATCTGACTACAGACCAGTTTGAATTTTCAAAATCTGACCATAAACAAAAAAGTTATGATTTTTTTTGTCATTAAAAAAATAGATTTTTCAGACAACCTGGGTAGACCATGAAAGAGGAAAAATACTGGGAGGGTATGGACCAAATTTTTCATTATAAAAGAGGTATAAATGCAAGCAGACTTCACCAATTAATATCATTTGGTGATATTTTATTGATTTTTGGATGCCAAATCCAACGATGCTAGGCTAGTCGACCAACCCGATGAACGTGTCAGACGAATATTATGTAATTTCAGAGACAAAAGTCTGACAAGATTTGATCTATGCCCAAGGATTAGTAACATCAACTCCACAAAGTGAAAGGGGGAAGGGAGGTGGGGTATAAAACCACCGTACGAGTGTTACACAACATCAAAGGCGACGATCGTTGGCTTGTCGCGTCACGGCACGGAGTAGTGGGGGCGGGTTGAGCTATGGATGTTACGTTGGGTGTTACATACCGTGTAGGATGGTCAGTGTCTTCCCCCACCCACCCCAGCCCATTTTGGTCGATTTGGCAAGCTAGTATTAAGCGTATTAACAATTTTTAGTCAACCGAAAAAAAGAGCCACTGGAAAAATTTAATTTATTTTCTATAGCCATTTTTACGAAAAATTAATGTATAAAATAAAATAATGAAACGTTACGCGAATCAGCTTTGTTTGATCGGGTCGCAGCTATCCGGGTTTTCTAAAGAAGATTAATTTTGACTATTAGTCCTGAGCCGTAAATACTACTACAACTTTTTTTTTTTTTGCTGTTTCAATAGTTTAAGACAAAGTTAAGAAACATGCCTGTATACTTTAAAAATGCAATAGCCGACAAGTCAAACACGGGAACACATGTAGGCCTATCTATCTTTAGAAATTGTTTATAGTATCATCCAATCGGGTCAATCGCCTAGCATCACGTGACCACACACTCTGCTGTGCCACACGATGTGTAGATCACGGCAGTGCGATTCAGTCGGACAACGGCAGATGCGTTTATTTTAATTTTCGTCCCATTTAAAAACTACTATTCAATTATTGGCGGAACAAAATCAAATAATTTCGGTCGGGTTTTGCGCCGCGGGTTAATAAAATTTCATGAGATTTTAGGAGAATTTTTAAAATTTCAGGAGAATTCCAGGAGGTTTTTATATTTTTTCAAATTCCAGGAGAATTCCAGGAGATTTTTACGTTTTTTAAGATTCCAGGAGTTTTCCAGGACCTCCTGGAATTTCAGGAGGCCGCACGAACCCTGTATTGACAACATCACTTGAATGTGAATTATCATTGAAATTATTAGTAGTTGCGGCAACACCCATCAGTAGAACCTCAGCATGGCATGCTAAATAACACAAAAGGCATCAAAGAAATAATCGCAATCTTATAATTAAAATTAACGCTGAACAGAAAAGCATGGACAACTTACAGGCTTTTTTGTCCTCTAATGTTAACTTTTTCCAGTCCCCCTTCTCCTGTTGTCTTAGTTTGGCAATGTCTGCTGTTTCCTCCTTAAATCTAATAGCTGGACATGGGAACTCACACCTGTCTATGTAAGAGGCCATCCCATTGACACCATACCCAACAACTTCTCGATTACCTGAGGAAAAAAAGATAGTAAAAAATGTCATTAGAAACCTATCATACAAAATAAATAGGCTGGCTTTAGCCTTAACAAATGTAAGCAGATACCAACCTATTTTTGGATAAATTTCATCTTTTAACTTTTGATCTAGAACAACATTCCTGGAACAAATAGGGGATGCTGTAATAGTCCGTTGAGGGATTTTTGAAGCCCTAACACAAACACGAAGTAAATGGCTGCTCATCCTGTAACAGATCATTGATAAATGGTAAACAAGGAATAACAGTGGAAATTGCATTAAACTATCAGCCAGTCTGTTGGACAGTGAAGCCTAGTGGTAGAGCACCACACTGATAATCAAAAAGTCTCAAGTTCAAATACAGGTTCAAATAGATAGAACATCCTAAAGTCCACCCCCAACTCTGATGGGTACCTAACTCATGTTAGGGAAAGTAAAAGTGACTGACCACCTTATCTCTTCATATGCAGAGGTCACAGAAGAATGTGAACACTAATTCACTTGCCACATAGACCGTCAGGTTTGAAAGGGAACTTTTACCCTTTCAGGTCTAAACAATAGAGAATTATGGACCTAACCATCAGCAATAGGCCTAATTGTTTTAGTTGTATTTTTGGAGAAGTCTGAGGCAGATATCTGGTGTAATTGAAAACTAGAAAGTAATTTAAAAAAAAACAGCCACAAGTGCAATGTACGGTGCATATTAAAATGTGTTACCAGATAGATAATGTTATAAATTCTTATTATGACAAGACTGCTATTTAAAAACATGCTGTCGTAGGTCCTAGATCTGCAAATTAATACTTTTTAAAACAAATGCAATAGGCCTATAAATACTAAATAGGCCTATAGATCTATACTTCATCTAAAAAATTTCAAATGACAAGCCAATTTGTTTAGGCCCCCTTACTTAGACCTAGACATAATTATTTATTTTTATATTTTAGGCCCAACTTTTTTTTTTTTACTGTAACTGAATTAACCCATAAACTTAACTTGTAGGCCCTAGGCCTAAATAATAAATTAGCCTACTAGGCCTAAACTAAATTAATTAAAATAGGGTTGTCGGCATCCGCCGAGTTCGCGGTAAAAACATGACCCGAAATCGCCCATTACTTTCTGATACCGGACCCACGAGATTTGGTTTTGCATACTAATAAGTTTTTAATTTATGGTAATTAATTAAGTTTAAAAGGTCATTTCCTAAGGTTAATTAAAAAGTAGAGTGGTTGTCTCTTAGTTTTAATGGCTTTGCGACCTGATTGCATGCTGTCTCTGCTTTGGTCTTCCCTCTGTATCAAGGTTAGTTTCAAATACGTTGGAATCTCGATTTTTTAAAGGATTCCTCTAGATGAGAGTAGATTACTGATCAGACATATCTTAAGTAATTGGAAATGAAATTTGTTTTTGGATATTTTGACTCCGACATTAGTTATACCCCTCCGAACGTAGTCACTGTATGTAGGTCACGCTGCCACCATTGTTATATTTTTTCATCCCGATCTTCCTGCCTTTAAGTTTGATCAACTAATAACAGCATTCTTATGGCATGTGCAAATAAATCTAATTTTTTATTTCAAAATATATTTACATACCCATCTTTAATTTTTTCAGCTCTAGTTCTAGTTTTGCAGAATATGTTTTTCCTAAAAATCCAATTTTGTCAGACTAGACTCTAGACTGGCACTGACAAGAGTCTGACCTAGATCTAGGTTACCTGTCTGTTGCTATACACTAGCATTGTGCTAACTGTAATTTTAAGTATTCAAGTTCTACTTACCCTTAGATATAGTTATATGCTGAAAATCAGAATCCATACACAATTCACACATAAAAACATTGATCTGATAACTTCATTTCACTTATTACAAAATGGCTTTTATATGGACTCTACTTCACCTCCACAAAATAACAAGGCAGTTATAGACACATTACAGTGTTCAAGTCATTTACTTTAGATTTCTGACTATGGAGTTCTTTCATTCACTGTATTTATATAAAATATTGCTTTAGAAACATTTTCATATTTGCGCAGCAGTTTTATAACAAAATGGCTTAAAGATGGACTCTACTTCACCTGCCCAAAATAATGAGGCAATTATATGCACATAACAGTGTTCAAGTCATTTACTTTAGATTTCTAACTTTGTAGTTCTTTCATTTGCTGTATTTATATAAAATAGGGCTTTAGAAACATTTTCATATTTGCGCAGCACACAGTTTTTTGGGGTTATGGGAGGAAGCCAACACAAAAATATAAGTTCTGTATTATTTTTATTAATTTCAACAGCATTTACAAGTTCTATATATCATTCTAGTTAAACTCTGCAAATATGAACAAAATACAACTGCAAGTAAAATAACTATGCTCAATTTATTCAGGTATACCATGACTTGTCACAATTGGCCAATGCAAAAGCAAGGGGATTCCACCCCTCACAAAAAAATTCGCCAAAAAAAAACTATTTGAGCTAGACAGAAAATCTTTTTTGTTTTGTTTTCATTTTGTTGAGCTCTACAAGAATATGTAATTTTTATTTTTATATGATGATTAGTGTTTTTTTACCTAAATCCCTAATTAAAATTAAGACAATTGTAACTAAAAATTCTCACTCAAATGACACTGATTTTTAGAATCAGCCTCGTTTAAATATTCAAATAACTTATTTTTATTTGCATGAACACAATTGTAGGTTATACGCATCCCATTGTTAGTCTTTGATTACTGAACAAAAAGGTTTCACAATGTTATGATAATATAGGAAATAGTCAAAACCTACACTCAAGCGTGACCTTCACTTAGTCTATTTCCTCTAGATCTATTACTTCTCAATAGTCACGTACACTGGCCGGTGAGGTAAAAATTAGATCAATGATTCGACTGATAAGAACCGAGTAATTTTCAAAAATATTCATTCAGTGATCAAATACACGCTTGGGAGATTAAAGAACCAGTTTATATTTTTAAAACGGTTGAAACTGTGAACAATTTGCATGACAAAACGAAAATTAATAAACTTTCCGTACCTAGTCCTTTTAACGATACACAACAAACGAATGTTAGGATTTAGAGGACTTCTCGTCCAATCACGTTACACGCTACTTGGGAGCTTCCGGTATGTTTTAATAAAAACATAAATTTTACCCCCTCCCCCTTTCGCGTTTAATGGGTTTTAATACTATTTTAATATTCTAAGTAATAGAAATTTGTAAATACTTTTTGATTTTTTAAAATTAAGCAATAGTGGTTTTAGAATAATAATTAAAAAAAAGTATATTAAATTTAAGTAAGCTTAAATATATCCATAATATATTGATCCAAGCTATTCTTTATAGTAAACAGTGGTTCATTATTACGCCTCTGAAGAATAGTGGAAGTAACACCACGGAAAATTGATATTTTATCTAGAGGAAACTTCAATTAATTTTTTAAAAATTAATTAAGCATCAACTCAAGTCAAATTCGATGTCGCTTGCATTCACATTGCATTGTCATGGGGTTCTTGACGTACGTGTCAAGTTAGAAAGAAATAGGTTAATTGGAAGTGGTCGAGATTTCGCTCGCCCGTTTCAACCCATGACAACCGACAAAAAGCATAAAGCACGAGGAAGCAAGTTAAAAAAAGGTTTTATAAAATACAATATGCATAACTTTTACTGCTCATTCACATATTATAACATATTTTATTTAAGCTAACTGTCAATTAAATGAGTGTAGAAAGATACAGATGCGCCTTTTCCTAAATTTTTTAAAAACTGTAACTGCGGTCAACATTATTACTAAACTGTTGGTTGTGTGATGGTGTCACCATCATTACTAAACTGTTGGTTGTGGGGGAGGGTCACCATCATTACTAAACTGTTGGTTGTGTGATGGTGTCACCATCATTACTAAACTGTTGGTTGTGTGATGGTGTCACCATCATTACTAAACTGTTGGTTGTGTGATGGTGTCACCATCATTACTAAACTGTTGGTTGTGTGATGGTGTCACCATCATTACTAAACTGTTGGTTGTGTGATGGTGTCACCATCATTACTAAACTGTTGGTTGTGTGATGGTGTCACCATCATTACTAAACTGTTGGTTGTGGGGGAGTGTCACCATCATTACTAAACTGTTGGTTGTGGGGGAGTGTCACCATCATCACTAAACTGTTGGTTGTGGGGGAGTGTCACCATCATCACTAAACTGTTGGTTGTGTGATGGTGTCACCATCATTACTAAACTGTTGGTTGTGTGATGGTGTCACCATCATTACTAAACTGTTGGTTGTGGGGGAGTGTCACCATCATTACTAAACTGTTGGTTGTGGGGGAGTGTCACCATCATCACTAAACTGTTGGTTGTGGGGGAGTGTCACCATCATTACTAAACTGTTGGTTGTGTGATGGTGTCACCATCATTACTAAACTGTTGGTTGTGTGATGGTGTCACCATCATTACTAAACTGTTGGTTGTGTGATGGTGTCACCATCATTACTAAACTGTTGGTTGTGGGGGAGTGTCACCATCATTACTAAACTGTTGGTTGTGGGGGAGTGTCACCATCATCACTAAACTGTTGGTTGTGGGGGAGTGTCACCATCATTACTAAACTGTTGGTTGTGTGATGGTGTCACCATCATTACTAAACTGTTGGTTGTGTGATGGTGTCACCATCATTACTAAACTGTTGGTTGTGTGATGGTGTCACCATCATTACTAAACTGTTGGTTGTGTGATGGTGTCACCATCATCACTAAACTGTTGGTTGTGGGGGAGGGTCACCATCATTACTAAACTGTTGGTTGTGTGATGGTGTCACCATCATTACTAAACTGTTGGTTGTGGGGGAGGGTCACCATCATTACTAAACTGTTGGTTGTGGAATATAACTGACGAGTGTCACCATCACTGACCAAGTCGTCTAGGTGGCGCTACAATACTCATTTGAATATTTGAGCCTTTTAAATAAATACAGCTCAACGCGAGAAATAAAAGGAACGCTTGAAATGCTTGAAAATGGTGACTTAAAAGAATGCGAAATCGACAAATTCTGTCAAAATTGCGTGTGTGTGTGTGGGGGGGGGGGGGGTGTGACACCAGGATGTAAACCTGCAAACGATAAAGAAAACAATACTACATCCAGCTATATATATAGATGAAGATATATATATATATATATATATATATATATATATATATATATATATATATATATATATATATATATATATATATATATATATTGGGGCGGGGGGGGGGACGACATGAGGTATCAGTCACACGCCACATTTCAGGTATACCAACATGTCAGTGGTGTATTCTGTTTTTAACAGGACTATAAAAAGCCACACTAACGACCAGGAACTTTTCTCTACTACGGAGGTTATTCATACTTTTTATATTCGTTTCAAAACAGAGTGTACCAACCACGGACTTGTTAATATGATATGTTGATATACCTGTCATGTTGATATACTTGATATGTTGATATACTTGACATGATATACCTGACATGTTGATATACTTGACATGATATACCTTACATGTTGATATACCTGACATGATATATCTGACATGTTGATACGCCTGGTCTGCTAACATACCTTGTATTATGTTGATACAGCAGCTCTATTGATCCATCTGATACGACTAGACACACTGGGCTATGCTAAGAAACATTAGGCTCTGTTGTTCTAATAGAAAATCAACACAGTTATGCTCTGGTAATTACAGCTTTAATCCTTGTATGTATAAACATTTCAAATTTAACGAAAGACCTTCTATTAATAGTCTAAAATACGTGACAATATTATTTACAACAACGTAACATGACGTCATCGGTCAAGACATCAGGGATGAAAAAAAAAACAACAGGTGAGATTTTTCTTTGTTCCAGGAAACTAATCATCTCAAAGCTGTCAGCACATCATCAATTCCAGTCCCCGGTGGGGGGAGGGGGGGGGGGGGGGCAAGCATCACCAGGCGACACGACAGTTAAAACACGACGGGTCAGAGGATCAGGCAGTCAAACGGCAGCGGGGGTCACCTAGCTCTCAGCGTGTCGCTCTGGTCAACTGGCGCTCTAAACACCTAATCCAGTAGGGCGCGGGATTAACACAATCTCAAGTAAGCAGCTTAAATAAAGGTCCATATTAAATAAAAGAAATTAATAAACTAGCTTATTAGCCTACATAAATAAGTTTATATAGGGCCTGTATATATATATATATATATATATATATATATATATATATATATATATATATATATATATATATATATATATACGTTTATTACGACACACTGTGGAAGATATGGTCGGGTGTTAGAGCGAACTACTACTTACACAAACAAATCTTGGGCTCACATTCTTATTCATATTAAATAAAAGAAATTAATAAACTAGCTTATTAGCCTACATAAATAAGTTTATATAGGGCCTGTATATATATATATATATATATATATATATATATATATATATATATATATATATATATATATATATATACGTTTATTACGACACACAGTAGATGATATGATCGGGTGTTAGAGCGAACTACTACTTACACAAACAAATCTTGGGCTCACATTCTATCTACGCTCTATGGTTTCGTTTAAATACCAAGCCTTGCTATGCACCTGACTCACGTTGAAGAAAGTAAAGGTTGCTGGGCATAGGCCTGATCATATTAAGTATTGCTAGAGTCACAGAAACTATAGAGCTCATCACCTGTAATATTAACCGTAAGGTTCAAAAGGATATGTTTCGCAAAAATATAATTAACGTTAAGCTTTTTAAATAATCGATTCATCCCCCCATCACCAGACTTCGTCACAAAAAGTCAGACCTCCTCCCTTAACGTCACACGTGAGTTCACCCCCTCCCCCTCTTTGTTTTTGTATTTATTTGAGCGTCTTCTTACATCAAGGGGATATAACCAGGCTAGGTTGATTTTGCCGTGAAAATTAATTGGGTTGTTTCTATTGAATGGCAAGCCCTCATTAAAGCGAAAAACCATAATAATATACTTGACGGTAAAATCTACAATAAAAAATAACATTACATGTACCATAAAACAAACCAGCTTTACTTTAACGTCGCCATTTCTTAGTTATTTCTCATTTTAAAATAAAATGAGCGATTTGAGGGAGAGTTAGGCCAAAACGTGACGTCACATAATGTGTGGACCTTTTAGCCACCTTGCCTTCTAGGTTGTGAATGGTTTCATGATTAATTATCTGAAATCGTAATCAACTGCATTCTATGTAGCCTAACCTGCTAACCATATACGTCTCAGAATTGATTTTAGGAGACTTTATTGAAAAAAATATTTTTAGTGGATTTTAAAACTTTTTATTCTTCAGAAATAAGGTGGGCAGTGGCGTAGCGAGGGGTGGGGGGTGGGGCGGGGGTGCGGACCGCACCGGGTGACACCATTTAGGGGGAGTGATACCAAGGCAACAAATAGCAAATATAGAGAAAAATGATAATTTCACTTAATTAAGTGATTAATTCGAGGGGGGGGGGTTCTAATCGAAAGATTGAGGGGGAAAGCAAATAGAAAGTTTGATGGGGGGGGGGGGGGGTTGCAAATCGAAAGATTGAGGGGGGGGATGCAAATCGAAAGTTGAAAGTTTGTCCCCGGGAATGGTCGCTACGCCTCTGGGGGGTGACACCATTAAGTGCCGCACCGGGTGACACCCGACCTCGCTACGCCACTGTGTCTGGGTAGATATAAAATAAATTAAAATTAAAATTTCGGTGCCTTGAGACTCAGCTGACATAATGTAAGGCGTCAGTGTGACTCTAGCATATACATGTATTTATAATGTAAGGCGTCAGTGTGACTCTGGCATAAACATGTATTTATAATGTAAGGCATCAGTGTGACTCTAGCATATACATGTATTTATAATGTAAGGCGTCAGTGTGACTCTAGCATAAACATGTATTTATAATGTAAGGTTTGGGTGCACCTGTAAACATCTCGAATGTAAAATGCAAGTATGACTCTTTATGCACACTTCTATAATAATGTTAAGTATAAGTATGAAAACTAATTAACTAATGCCTATAAATATACCAGTTTCAGCAACTGTTGTGGTTTTACAGTAATAATGCAGTATAATTAGATATACGCATACTTTAGTTTAATTATAATTACTTAAAATTTTATGAAATGAACAGCCAATTAACGTGTGGTCACCACTAATTATGTGGCCTTACTTAATTGTACAGGCCCCCCACAGGTGTAAAGAGATGAAAAAATGGCCGGACGGACTACAATGCTGTTGATCTGTTCTAGTTTCATTATTACAGGTCTGTTCACATACGCTTGAAAGCATGTTCTCTTAAATGTAAGCATGTAAGCATATATGTATGCAAGCATGAAACATGTATTGTGCTTATGAATTTTTATGTTAGTGTTTATATATATATATATATATATATATATATATATATATATATATATTAATATATATATATATATATATTAATATATATATATATATATATATATATATATATATATATATATATATATATATATATATATATATATATATATATATATATATTAATATATATATATATTATATATATCCAATATAATGTATTATGTTGCTCTACAATGTGAAGGGGCAGATTTGTTAGCTGTGACTAGCCATGAGAAGACAGCCAAAGAAGTGAGTCATTGTTAAAAAAAATATTCATGTTTCAAGTATATTTAGCTCACCCATTGTGTAATGTATAAGTTTACATTTATTCTACACTTTTTACATGGACTGACTCGCAGGAGAATTAAGTCAAACTCTACATGGTGCAGAGGCGTAGCGACCCCTCCCGGCGCCCGGGGACAACATTTCGATTTGCTCCCCCCCCCTCGAACTTTTACATTTGCACCCCCCCCTCAAACTTTCGATTTGCACCCCCCTCGAACTTTTCATTTGCACCCCCCCACTCAAACTTTCAATTTGGCGCCCCCTTAAGGTCGGCGCCCGGGGACATATGTCCCCCCCGCCCCCCCCCCCCTCGCTACGCCTCTGACATGGTGCTGTTAAAATATGTGTTGATATTGTGTGGCATAGTAGTAATTGTTACATTGCAGTAAGTCAGCAACGTTCCCGTTCGTGCCCAAGACACATGTGGCAGAAGAAGTAGAGTTCATCAGTTTCAGAGTCTAGAGCACATGAAGTGTGGTCAGAACTATGCCCAGCCGCATTTGTTTCCTTAACCTGAGTTAAGTACCCATCAGAGCTGAGTGGACTCAGGGACGTTCTACTAACTTGAACCTGGATTCATACTCGAAATAAGTCAGCGATAGTTCATTCAAACATCTTTTGGCGGGAAGAGCAATTATTTCCTGTTTACTGTATAAACCAACAATATAATCCATTCAGCTAGATGCTATCTCTTTGGAATTTGCAGATTGAAAATTATTGTTAAAACGTCAGACATAAATAATGTAATTTATAGATAATAAATGTATAATATAAAATGATAGCTGACCAATAAATCTTCAAAACTATCACCATGACCTGCAGTATATAAATTTACTGATACAACAAAGTGTTTACAACTCACAACACAATCGCCAATAGAAGACAAACTTACAACACAACTAACAACAGTATACAAACTTACAACACAACTAACAACAGTAAACAAACTTACAACACAATCACCAACAGTAAACAAACTTACAACACAATCACAAAACATATACAAACTTACAACACAATCACCAACAGTATACAAACTTACAACACAATCACCAACAGTATACAATTTTACAACACAATCACAAAACATATACAAACTTACAACACAATCACCAATAGTAGACAAACTTACATCACAATCACCAACAGTAAACAAACTTACAACACAATCACCAACAGTATACAATTTTACAACACAATCACAAAACATATACAAAATTACAACACAATCACCAACAGTAGATAAACTTACAACACAATCACCAACAGTACACAAACTCACAAAATCACCAACACATAATAATAATTATGTTGTTTGTGTTTAAAAGAATTTCACGAGAGAACACAATCACCAACAGTAAACAATTTTACAACACAATCACAAAACATATACAAACTTACAACACAATCACCAACAATAGATAAACTTACAACACAATCACAAAACATATACAAACTTACAACACAATCACCAACTGTATACAATTTCACAACACAATCACTACCACATAATAATAATTATGTTGTTTGTGTTTAAAAGAACTTCACAAGAGAAGAAGCGTTTAATCTATGTACCCAAAGAATCCGTGAGAGCAACATTGTTCGAAATTGTTTGAATGTTTTGAAACCTGACGACATTGACAACAGCGTGAAGGATTGTGCGTTGGATGTGGCGGTAACTGTTGTTCTTGAGTAAAATCTTAAAGCTAGCATATTAAGACCATTCATAGACGCTAGACGCTGGTATATTAAGACAGTTCATAGACGCTAGACGCTGGTATATTAAGACCAATCATAGACGCTAGACGCTGGTATATTAAGACCATAGACGCTAGACGCTGGTATATTAAGACCATTCATAGACGCTAGACGCTGGTATATTAAGACCAATCATTTAAGCGTAACGTAAAATTACTTAAAGTTTATAAAATAGCTTTAAAAAGGGAGTTTGCTCCACTACCTGGCAATTAATTTAAAAAAAAAAAATTAGGAATAATATTTTTCAGGTTTGAAAGGGAAACTTACATTTTATTTTTATTATTTGATATTTTTTGTTATTTAATCAGCTTTTATTTAATTGATCATTTACATAATTGATTCTTATCTTATACATTTAACGCTTTGCTTCAAAGGCAAGCGGTGCGACTTTTTGGATAGATCCCATCCTGAAATCACTGAGTGAAGCATGCAAGCTCCACTATTTGCTGAGCGTCCCTGTCAACGAGTCCTTGCCCAAACCGATTCTTGAAGATCTGTGCACCATCAATTGTGGGGAACATGGAAAGTGTAATCTTGGTAAATGGTGTAAATTTTTAAACATCTTGAATAAAAAGCAGTGTACCTATGATTATCAAAATCTGGGGAGCAGCCAACTACAAGGCGCCAGTATTTTTATAGTTAATTTATATAATCTAAATATGTTTATTGTGCTGTACTTGATGCGCACACAAAGAAAACATTTACCTTCTGAACTTACCAGTTTATGTGCTTGTGATGACGGTTTATTTACCACAGGCCGATGTGTATGTGATGACGGTTTATTTACCACAGGCCGATGTGTATGTGATGACGGTTTATTTACCACAGGCCGATGTGTATGTGATGACGGTTTATTTACCACAGGCCGATGTGTATGTGATGACGGTTTATTTACCACAGGCCGATGTGTATGTGATTACGGTTTATTTACCACAGGCCGATGTGTATGTGATGACGGTTTATTTACCACAGGCCGATGTGTATGTGATGACGGTTTATTTACCACAGGCCGATGTGTATGTGATGACGGTTTATTTACCACAGGCCGATGTGTATGTGATGACGGTTTATTTACCACAGGCCGATGTGTTTGTGATGACGGTTTATTTACCACAGGCCGATGTGTATGTGATGACGGTTTATTTACCACAGGCCGATGTGTATGTGATGACGGTTTATTTACCACAGGCCGATGTGTTTGTGATGACGGTTTATTTACCACAGGCCGATGTGTATGTGATGACGGTTTATTTACCCCGGGCCGATGTGTATGTGATGACGGTTTATTTATCACAGGCCGATGTGTTTGCGATGAAGGTTTTGCTGGCGAAGCTTGTGACATCTCAGTCGACACCGTACCGAGTGTTGCCATGACAACCTCCCTATGGGACCTACAGGATTCGTCACGTGGTGGCGTGACGATCACCGGAAGTGGATTCTTTAACTCCAGTCTTATCACATGTTTCCTTACGTACCAGGTATTTAATCCAAGGTGGCAGACTATTGTACTGGGGGGGGGGGGGGGGGCTATACAAGGGCGATGATGACCAACTCATGGGTAGTCCGTTAGCTTTATCATCAAGAGCCGGTCAAGACAGTCGGAAGCATTAAAGACCGCAGTGAATGCATTATAAGCAGCAAATCAAGAGGGAGGCGGATAACTCGGCTTATAGAGGGATAGTGTGTCATTTCTGTGCCAAGCCTCTATTACTTTTTTTTAACGTGAGTCATGTACCCCTCAGAGCTGGGGCGACCCAGGGAGGTCAATGAACCCGAGTCCAGGATTTTAATGCGAGAGTTACGGGATTGTATTCGTGTGCTCTACAACCTAACCACGCCGTTCTCAATCCGCACAAAGCTCTCTCTCCTTCTCCTCTCTCTCTCTCTCTCTCTCTCACAGACACACACACACTCTCTCTCCTGTAATAAAAAAAAATCCTCTGCAGGTGTATAACTCTGTGCAGCTGACGTCACTTCCGGCGGTGTATGACAGTGACGTCGTTGTCTACTGCCCCATCCCAATCAACGGCAACTTGAGCATCCAAATCGCCAACGACGGCAGGAGAGGTAGTGTCGGCAGTGCCGAGGTCTATTCTTACAATTCCAGCTGCCAGGATTGTTCACAGAATCCAGGGAGTGATGTCCGCTGTTCCACCAAAGTAATCCTTTTTATAGAATAATGATGGATGATGTTGCTAAACCGAAAAGTCTAGAGTTCGAACCCTTGGGCAGATGAGGCTCGTTAGCTGGAACAGCCACTCTTCTAGGAGAGACAACTCCGAAATCAAACAACTGCTGCCTTGTAGTTTGTTCTTGGTAGGACAAAGGCTATGGAAGCAAATCCAAAAAAAAAAGCAGGCTGAAATCGGAGTCAATGGCATCAATGGCGCATAGCCAATTGACACGTATACTTAATTGTGTTGGGGGGGGGTCGCTTCCAACACTAAAATTAAGAACGAAGAAGAAGAATGATGATATTACACACAACATGCACACATCACACACATTACACACTGTGTAGCCTACTGATCACACACTATGTAATGTCTTAAATGTCAAGCGGATACAAGTCTTATGTAGCTTATACAATTTTAAAAATTGATTAGTTTTAAACAATTTATATTTAGAAGTAAAATAGCATGTATTGTTAATTTAAATTTAACAGCTTTTAAATAAATTCTGTCCAAATATATAATTGATATGTATTTCAGGAAAAGAAGTGCATGATTAAAGACGCGTGTTTTGACGAAGCTGACCTTGACCCTGGGGACAGTTGTTATGTTTGTGCAAGCAAAGTGAGCACTGCAACTTGGACCAGGAAGCTAGGTGAGTACTGGAGAGCCTGCACGTGTTGTATCACTAAGGAGTTTAGAGCTGCTTACCGTTTTGTTATATTGTGTTATATTGGGTATGGTGGTTGTAAGGTACACTTTGGTGGAACCCTAGGGTCTATGAGGCAGGTGAAGTAGATTATACTTTTTTCAGTGGGCTTGGCATATTAAAGTATAGTATGGTCAACACTATGCCCAGCCGCCTTTAGTTTCCCTAAAGTGAGTCAGGTACCCATTAGAGCTGGGTGGACTCAGGGATTACATACACTAAAGCCCGGGATCCGAACTGGAGACTTCCGGGTTCGCAGTCGAAAACCCAACCCCTCGGTATCGTGGTGATATAGAACAAAACTTCATAACACCACCCTAGATTTTGTTCTTTTCTGTTCTTGTGTGCTATATTTATACCAACGAACAGTTCGCTAGATGTGGTGACACACCCGGTATGTTTGGTTTGTTGTAGGCGCATATCGGGTTAACAGTTATATTTTTAAATGAACGGGTAACAAGCAATTTTCTTTAAAACACTATATTAGTCCCATACTTGACTTTTGTGATAACAGTTTTTAAGGTACCAAGTTGTGCCATGATTTGTGGGTGTTTCCTAGAAACGGTGTGTAATAAAAGAGGTGTTTGCAAAATGCTTGAACATTTATAGGTTTATTTAGGGGAAGAAGGTTGGACAAAGTTATCAAATTTAAAAATACCAACTGCACAATCCCACACAGCTTTTATTAAATGTATAAGCATATTCTAGAAAACGAAACAAAAAAATATAACAGATCAACACTGATCTAGGATAGTATGCAATTTATTACATATTTAAAATAATCAATTATAATATAATTTTTAAATTACAAATTATGATTCCATTTTTATACTTCAGATGAAAGCTGTAGACAGACTAATGTCTGGGTGTTCATTTGGCCTTCACTCCTCGGGATTTTTCTCTTGCTTGGAACCTTCTCAGTCGTTTTTCTTGTGAGGAAATACCAAAAAAGGTAATTAACATAGATAATTAATAAAGGTAATTAACATACATAATCAATATAGGTAAATAACATAAGGTTATCGACCAAACTGTTTTATGCGGAAGATCCTGATAAGCACAGATACGGTGATTTAAATACCATTTCTAGTTTTAAAAATTAAAATGATTCTGACTACCTACATTTTTATTTAAAAAAGAAACACAAACCTTAAATAAAACTATGCCACGAAATGTGATGTATGTTTGAATTATATCAACATATATTTTCATACACATATGGTCCAAAAACCCACTGGATGAACATCCATCGATCAAAGACCTACCTACATCTCATAATATAATGATGTCTTTTACTTCCCGCTATACAGTGGCACTTACGACCTCGGCAAGGTGCAGGCCAAGTTTGAGATGGGCGTGTTCACAATAACACACTCGGCTCAAACCCAGTAACTGGCTGCAGAAAGAAAGTTCCAGAACGACCAAGTAACTGGCTGCAGAAAGAAAGTTCCAGAACGACCAAGTAACTGGCTGTAGAAAGAAAGTTCCAGAACGACCAAGTAACTGGCTGTAGAAAGAAAGTTCCAGAACGACCAAGTAACTGGCTGTAGAAAGAAAGTTCCAGAACGACCAAGTAACTGGCTGCAGAAAGAAAGTTCCAGAACGACCAAGTAACTGGCTGTAGAAAGAAAGTTCCAGAACGACCAAGTAACTGGCTGTAGAAAGAAAGTTCCAGAACGACCAAGTAACTGGCTGCAGAAAGAAAGTACCAGAACGACCAAGTAACTGGCTGTAGAAAGAAAGTTCCAGAACGACCAAGTAACTGGCTGTAGAAAGAAAGTTCCAGATCGACCAAGTAACTGGCTGTAGAAAGAAAGTTCCAGAACGACCAAGTAACTGGCTGTAGAAAGAAAAGTTCAAGATCGACCAAGACGTCTTTTTTTTTAAAAACCGTTTTACTCTTTTCATTAATTTTTTGCTTGAAATTTATGTTAAAACCAAGAAAACTGTAAATAATTCAACATTTTCGGCTAATACATTCTCATTCAAGTTAAACCCGAAATACACATCTCATCGCGTTGTATTATTTGTACAGTAAGGTAAATTCTAATCTTCTCCACATAGCACGTGAATCAAGCCAACATTCAATTTAACATGTACCTTTGTAAAAAATAATAATATCTGAACATGATAAACACAAATTAAATTCTTGTATCATGATTATGATGTTTTTGCAGATATAGATCTACACAACAATATTAAAAAAAATAATTCGTATTAGTGATACTTGCACAGACTTTTTCATTAGTTATGTGATCTCTGTATGAGATCTTTAGGAGTCTCCAAGGCCTGGATTCTTCTCTGGAGGTCTGTGTTGAGGGTCCATACACCAGCACAGTAGGACAAACAACAGCCACAACAACCAATGACCGCATGAGTCTAACTATTGTGCTACCAGCGGTCAGCGGTCAAAGCCAGCGTATGCTCATAGCAGGGGTCAAATTAAGGGTTCGCACATAGCCAGGGGATCAAATTAAGGGTTTGATATTGCACAACTTGCGCACTAAATGAATGTATTACCCGCACCGCACTACACCGTGATTAGATAACCATAAAGGACGCGATAAATGGAAGACGGAAATGTTTGAGACTAAATTAACAAGAGCTGTTATCATTTTGTCGAGTTTTCTAGCCTTATATACTGCTACATCAGAGGCGGGTAAGTGTTGAAGGTTAGGCGCAGGGCTTTTTTTTTATTAGACTGCTAATGTCTAGCAGTTAATGTATCGTGTAGATCTATATTTACTTTGGAATTTGCTTAGGGGGTCATATCAAGTTTAGGTTTATTTTTAGATTGTACAGAAGTCCAGGGGTTAATGGACATGACCGAGTTAGTGAGAGGGTAATCTCACGATATAGCTCTGTTATTATACAGGAATGGCACAGTAAAAACAAACAACAGTAAAGCCATAGCGTAGTCTGTCAAGCCGTTCCGGAAACTACCACAAGTACTGTAAACCATATTTTATTTAGTGCCATATTTTTTAAAATACATAATAGTTTTTTGTTAACTATTTTGTATTGCTAATTATTTTAAAGTGTATTTGCTAATGGACACGAGCGAGAAAACTCTCAAAGGTATTTGAGAGGTGTATAAATTAGTTTAAAAATCAGGCACAGCGTAGTTACAATTAATATGGTTATAAAATCCTGTCTGTCTGGTTTATTTCGGACTTTACTAAAGATTGGGTCTATTTGATGTTTTAAAAATTTTCGGTAACTAATTGAAAATTTAAAAACAAGCCAAAACAATTTGGTTTTCACGTGTAATGGCGACATAAACAATGGCATCCTGCTATTGGATAGGCCGCCATTGATTTTATTGTACACATTGTAAGCTAAAAATAGAAAACTAGGTCATGGGGTTTTAAATTTGCATGGTTATTTAAAAACTTGATCTGCAAAGTTTTGTAAACAAATAGTTATCGATCACTAAGTTACTGTACAGCCAATCAATATTTGTCTTACGAAAGTGAAACATCCGGTTATAACTTAGGCTTGATGAAAATAAATAGAAATGTAGCCTTAAACTCAACAAATTATTTTCAAGTTCTCTGGATTTGCAACTTTTATAGCATTTATTCTAAAAATATAAAATTTCTAAATTAATTTTAGGCTTAAGTTTTTATTTTTTATTTTTTTTACGGTCTAAATCTAAAAAGCACGTTTTTATTCCATGTCAACAACATTGGGGACGGAATCTCGTCAACTCGCTCGCCTCCATTAGTATTGCTCTTAAACATTGTTCTAGTAGTCCTACTTCTTATTACTTAAGTACATCGAATCGTTTTATTTTACAAGGCCTAAATGTAGTTGTCACAAATCTTCTGCAAGTTTTCTTTCTGTGTTTCTTTATTTGTATATATATTACTCGACTTTATTAATACTATTTAGGTCTAAATCTACTAATTTTTAAAAAATTTAAAAAAAATTCTGTCTATTAAACTTAAAATTAAGTTAAAAATTAAAGCCATCGACTTTGGTGTACACATTGTCAGAAAAGCCAGACCCCCCCCCCTTAAAATGACG